ATAGGATATAATAATTACGTGTCACTTAGCAAGAGTCGCTGGGCACTACCAAAATCGGGTTATTCTCTTCTTTCAACACCATACTTGAGACCAGCCAGCAGCAACGACTTTGCAGAAGCATGTTCATTCTCAGCTTCTCGACCATCCTGTCGTGTGACTCTGGGCAGCCAAAACAGCCGTGATCCAGATACGATACAGGAAGAGCCCTTACTCGGGTTACTTTAACTCCACCTCTCATGAAATGTCATATAATGGTGATAGATGGTGAACGTGTTCAGGCTTGAAGCTGCCTCAATACTGTCCTTGCATTCAACGCTGCGTCTGATGAACGAAATATTAACAATAAAGTAACTGTGTTGTCTCATTCTAAGAACTATAATATCTTTAGGACGAAATCGATATTTATCTTCACTGTCCAGTCTGATTCCATCTTCTAATCCTATTTAGAGCCTCGAAATGTCTGAATGTGAGAAGACGTGTGAAATAATGAACGTTGCAGTGGGTAAAACACGCATGAGCTGCTTGGAAGCAACTATCAACTTGCAGCGACGTCCAGGATAACCCCGAGGGCATTGACCATGTCTATGACGGAACAAGTAGTGAACCATCTGCTCATCATTTAATGGCAGTCTTAATGACCCTATGGCGACCCTTTGATAGCGCAGTCTTGCAAATTGTCTGTTTCAACAGAGTATCCCTGCTGGCAGGGAGATATATCAACAAGGAAGCGGGAAAGAACTGTGACCGATAACAACGAAGATGGATGAATAAGGCTTTCTAGATATGATCTGTGAGTCAAGAGCTTCTGATAAGCCATCGAGAGATACTCGTGGCTGAAATAGCTCATGGGCCAGAGCAGCAACATACTTCGTCAAATGTAAGCCATCTTTTGAAGTCTCCTGACAAAAGACCTCGAAGGAGTTGAGACATTTGTAGACTAATCCCACGATACAGTATTAGCATGCGTACCAGTCCATCGCTTCTCTCCCATAGTGTTGTTACAGTTCTCGTTGAGGACGGAGAACCCTCAGTATGTTTGGCAATCCATCCTTCTAGCCCATCTGGGTGAGGTGTTCTCCAGAGCAAGGGGGCATTAGCAGATCCATCAGGTGCCATCTATTTTATTCGTTTCGTTCATCAACTGGGACAGGAATGCGAAATTTGACACTTGAGAAATCATTCAGGGGGTTAGTAAGGGAGAAGTTCAATGCGAACACATGAGTATATTGAACGTGAAAAGGTTTGAGGGATGAGAGGTAAGTCTCGTCTGCTTGATAATAGTCACGACAAGTAGCAAGTGCTATGTCTCTATTCGAAAGGATTGAAGCGATAAGCGAAAGGGGGGGAGAGAGTCGGAGTGAGAGTAGGAGTGAGAAGCGTGCAAGTACAGCTGTTATTTAGTTTTACCGGCAACAATTCTTTTCATATGTCCACACAAGTTGGTCCCCATTTTAGCTTCGACGTGCTTGGGATGACAATCGAGGAATATTCACCCGATAATGGCGATCTTGTCCTTTCCCTGGCACAACAATTCAAGAATAAGGGCAAGTATATGAACAGAAAAAGAAAAGACATTATGCAAAGGTCGTAGCGACGGGCAGCTTGAATGGTCGCAATGCAATTATGTTGGCTCAAGTTTGGGTATCCGTGGCCACTATCTATCCCAGTAACAATTGTTTTACTCCTCAGTCTCCTCATCTGCCTTGGCTTCAGCAGATTTGCCCTTCTTCTTCTTGTCTTTCTTTTCCTTCTTATCCTTCTTGCTCTTCTTTGTCTTAACTTTCTTGTCTTTCTTGCTCTCCTCCTCCTCACCATTAACTGCTGCCTCCACGACGTCACCTACACCCATCTTCATGTTGTCCTCAGTAACATGCTCTTCAGCGGCAGGCTCTTGGTCAGGGTGCTCTTCTACGACTTCTGGAACTGGCTTGGCAGGTGGCTTCTCCCTTTCTGCAACCTTTGGTCCACGCTGTGGCAGACTTGATGGAACGTTGGCGTCCACCTCTCTCATCCACAACTTCCAGTCTCCGCGGCGGGTCTTCCACATATCACCCTTCCAGTTGCGCCAGACACTTCTACCCATCCAGCTGTCACGCAACTCCGCCTCATGATCGCCCAAGCGTGCCATAAAAGCTTCCTTCATATGGAAGGGAATACTTCGCTCCTTGCCTTTGCTAGGAACCTCAACGATAGCATTGATGAGGTTATGACCGAACTGGGATATGGCGAGTTCGTGAGTATGAGGCAGTATGGCACTAGCGATAGACTTGTGGAAGGCAGGATTCGAAGAAGATGTAGCAAGGGCGGTGGTAAGGACAGTAACGGTAGGCATGGACGTAGTGGCAAGGCGGACCAGAGTCTGTGACTCGAGGGCAAGTAATGATTCTTGCACACCCTTTGTCGGTCCCGGAATGGAAAGGAGAGTAGTCAGAAGTTGAGCACCATGGGACTGAATTGCGTACTCGTTTTTAGAAAGTTGCTGGACATCTTTCTTCTTCTTCTCTTCGTCTTTCAAACCGCACAGGAAAATGACCAGGTCAGCCGGTGTCTTTCCACATCCCTCCTTGAGCCCCTTGTTGAGTTTCTTGATCTCGTCGTTGGCACCGCGGGCATTGCACCTCTCAAATAGCGTCTTGAGAACATTGAGCCTGGACTTTGCGACTAGTTGAGGCACGGTTGGTGTAATCTTCTCAACGGCCTGCACCAGGTCATCTTTGCTCAGCCGATTCAGGACTCGTATAGCAGCATAGCACGAAACATCATTTCGGACGTAACCCTCTATTCTGGGGAGAAAGATGTTCTGGTTGAGAGCTTTGAAAACTTTGCCAGGGCAGTGTGTGATGAGTGTCTCGATAAGTCGTGAACCGATCTGGTCATAGATCATGCCGTTAATGAATTCGGATGCTTCTGATGAGCCGTCGCTTAAAGACTTTGGAGCGCCGGGTAACAGCTGGAATAGTAGAGTCGGCTGTTCAGACTCAGCCTTTTGCTCGGTCTTGTTGAGTGTCAGGTCAAGCTCAAGGAGAAGCTGAAGTGTAGGGTTTCCGATAGGATGTCTGGCAAGCACTCGCAAGGCGGTAGCATCCATCCCTGCCGTTGAGTCTTGGATGATCTTTTTTGCTGCCATTGAAAACGATTCGGGTACTGCCCTCAACCCTTGGTTCGCCTCATCTGTTGCTGAGCCTCCTGCCACTGAGATTTTCTCCTTCTTCTTGCTCTTGATGAGACTTCGCACCGATGCATCCCCCAAGGGTCGGCCAGCCAAGACCAATAATAGCACGCGCAGAGTGTGTGATGCGAATCGATCGGTGATGAGGTATGATAGAGCGCCTTCGAGCTCGTCGAGCGTAGCCAGAAAAAGATTCTCCATGGACGCCTCGGGCTTTTGCATGTCAACATCGGCGCCCTTGGTATCAAGCACATATCCAGAAAGCTCTTGTGATACCACACCAGCAGATCGCAAGAAGAGCGCCTCACAACAATGGCTCGCGAATCGGTGCTGTACCAATGAGAGGAAGTGCCCACCGAAAGCTTCAAACAAACGCTTCTTTTGCGCTGTGTTCGACAGTTGTATGAGACGCTCCATCAATCGCGAACAGGACTGACTACTGGCTAGTTTGAGCTCCTTGCCCTCCGCCTCCTTCCAGACGTTTTCCAGAAAGATGTCGCGATCCTCGGTTGATGGAAACTGGTTGAGCTCTAACAGTTCGTCCGCGCGACGGAAGTATTCCTGCTCTTCTTCTGCGAGCATTCCGAAGAACTCCTTCTCACCAAGGCCATTCTGCTGAGGATCCTGGCCATCTTGGTAGTCGAAACCATCGGTGTTGTCGTTGTCTTCGTAAGTGCGCTGTCGCTTGTTCTCGCTCTCGTAAGTCTCGTGCTGTTGTTCAGCTTCTTCGATTCTCTTTCGCTTCTTCTCCTCGCGGCCAGCGCCACGTCTTGTTCTGGGCTTGGGCATTTTGATTGACTTGATCTGAAGAATGTCGATCTGCGCAAGTAGATAGAAACTTTTTGGTGGGGCCGTTCATTCGTCTCGACTTTTCTAAAATTTTGGCTGGCGCCAGATAAGATGTTATCGATAAGATAGTCCAAACACCAAGTACAAGACATGATAGTTACACAAAATTTGTAACGCACTTTATTATGCCGAAACATGAAACTTGTATAAAAACAAGAAACATGTGTGTCTAAATCCTCGTTACGGATTCCTCGCCCGGACCCTGGTAACGCCATAGCTACCCAAGCAGCTGGCTCCATGAACCGATGCAACAGCATCAAGACCTTACATGCAGATTTAAATTAGACGATGTCTTATGACTCAGAGGTACTTGAAACTTGCGTAACGGTGGCTACTTATATCTTGGTGTCGATATGTATGGCCTCACTCTGGCCCTTCCATACGATCAGTCGACTTTCTGGACCCGTATTCGTGTCTTGTCTGCGGGCGTAGGCATGAAAGTTGCACCTGGCCCATTCGTGCTAGCGAGGGGATCTTACGTGAAGACATAGGTTCCACTTCTTTCCTCATATCTAGGATGCAGGGCTATCGGAGATAAGAGCTCCTCTGCCGCAAAGCTGGTAGTGTATGATGACTTCCAATAACAGGCCACTGCATCGAGTCCTACAATGCATGTATTCTTCAGAGACCTGTGAGCGTAGTCCAGAAACCCCGGCCCGGCATCTATGCTTCCAGATCGCTTACGGTCAACGACAAAGGCATGATATTCGGCTCTAGTTCAGCGATGAGGGGCGCCGACAAGGGTTCGTGGACAGAGTCACCCAATAGCTATTAAGTAATAACAACCCTAAGCTACTATCTCAATCATAGGTTCAGTACAAATACTTCAGGCTGTCGTTCATAGTCAGCCAAGACCGAAGGAAAACAATGGCCCTGGCAGCAGTGCTCAGTGTGGCGTACTTAGCGGCGGAGACTGGGTACTTTTATTATGGATGTCTGGGGCTCCTTGCTCTCGATATCACGACGAACAGGTTGCCGTCTTCCTGCGGCTTCTGTGCAATCAAGAACCAGTAAAGGGGGTGATCATTTGCAGTATGTCTAAAGCTGCCTCTTCTATGGTCGTTTCGAGCGCTGACAACTGAGAAAGAGATGATTACCTAGCGGCTGTTCAGCCGTTGAAGAACAAGTATCTCGACTGGCTGTGAATTTCCGTTACAGATGATCCAAGATGGAAGCGAGCCGCTAAAATAGTGCTGAGCTTTCCTGATGCTGATCTGTCCCCTGATTAGACTTGAAACGCATGATCGCCAAACTCATGTACTCAGAGTAAGACGAGAGCCTGTCGAGAGATATTGTTCTGACGAATTGGAGGTAGCTTGAACTGTCCGGCAGCCGTTATTGAGAGTCTCGACATGGCTCAGGTCAAAGCGCGGATCCATACGTTGCTGATGACCATCGAGCTCTAGTTTTCCAACCTTGTCCTGACCATGCCCTCTATCATCTCCCAGACTTTGCTTTTTCTTCACAGACGGGGCTAGAAAGATAATTTAGCGAGACATTAGGACGCGTACTGCTCTTAGAACCTTTGACCTGGCGAGTATAAGAGGGGCGTAGAGTAGCAAGCCAAATTATCGTCTATCACAGTCAGTACCCATCGGATTAATACATTTCGTTCTCTTTCCATAACTCAGTTCCGTATCCACAAATGGCCCCATCAAAGAGTCCTAGTCCCGTGGACGCCATGATTGTCAACATCCCTCAGGAACTCGAGCCCAAGGGCCCCAGTGGTACTGTTATTATACCAAAAAGTCAGTCCAAGAACAAGAAAGCCGCCGCCTCTGGCGAAGCCAACTCCAAGGCCTGATTTTGCAACCAAATCCATCGAATCAACACACAAGACCACCCTTTGGGTATTGAGCTACGGATGATGGTCAAGAAGCACGAACAAAATATGCACGGTAAAATATACGAATGGTCATGAACTGTAAAGGTGCGCATGAATCCCCCAAGGCCGCCTCTTAAAACCATTCTGACTGTAATCTTCCAGTTCGAAGCATCATGGTTGTCAAAGATTGCAGCAAAGGAATTCATGGCTCTGAGAACAAATTCAAAAGCTGTGGTTATTCAGGTAGCACCAGGACTTTGACGGGGATATAATTTCGATTCATTTAATGATTTTACATTATTTAGATAGGATAATAGGCACTTTATTGGAACATCGAAACATTGAAAATCCTGAAGGATAAAAGTGCCAATATATCGTCTTCCTGGTGATATAACATGAATGACATCGTCTGAATAGGGATAATTGAACGCGCTTAAATAAGCGCGATTGTTGCACAAACACGTAGATCATCTATGAGAAATGGGGCCTGAACTGTTATAACTCAAGTCAGGGGCCAGTAACTAACCTGATACATCCAGGGAACGGGTGGGTGTTGACGGATCGTTGTGATTGGGCTCGATCCGGTCTATCCTGGCTGACAGCGCCGATTATGTACGTGCTGTGATTTGCTTTTGTTTAGCACAGCCCATCGACCTGCAGCGACAATCTTGCGCCTGACTCGACCAACAACTTTGCATAAAAAAGAAGGCAGCTGCAGCTGCAGCTGCAGTTGCGGTGTGTCGTGTCGTTGTATAATGGTGGCCGAGATGGAACTGGTAGTGGTAGAAATGAGCCTCACTGCATGCCCAAAGGTACCGCAATGTTGTGTGTCCGTCGTCAGCGTGCAATGATGTATGAAACCAGCGAAGATAAAAGGTTCTCTTGGCCCCTGTCAATTGATCTCACCAAGCTTGACTAGGGAGCCATTGCGCAGGTAGAAAGCAGGTGAATTGTGCGATCGCAGCGCCAAAATGTCTCGACCTTGCCCGATGAACGCACCTGAAGGCAACTTTGTACAAAAGCCAGCCAGTGAGCCACCACGGAGTGAGGAAGCCGGTGCACCAAGCATGAGACCTGGAATAGGTATGAGATATTGAATATGAATATCACCCAAGTACGGCAAACATCTGACTTCGGCCCAGATCTCGAACGCCAAGCAGGAGGCTGGGGTATGTTCCATTCATGTCCTGTGATTGTTAGCATGCGCTGATATGTGGTATCCAGGAGGAGAAAGAGGTTGGGCTCGCATGTGTCGACAGATACAGCAAGACAAGAGGCACATGGTAGCGCCTCGGTTGACACACATAGTCTGGCGCTGTATTACCCTGCGAGCGAACCGCATGGTGACTCTTTATGCCGAGACCGAAAAAGCATCTGGATTGGGTGAAGAAGTTACGAATTTGGACGAAAAGCTTGAGGATGAATGTCTAAAATATTGTAAGCCAAGGGGACATCAGCAAGCACCATCTCCTTACACGACTGCAAGCTAATATACTCTCTCAAAGTACATCTGATACTTCAAGCAAGCCAGGTATCCGCACTCGACAAGCCAGGTAACTATTTCTTGAGGCACCTCTTGCCTTGCTTCAAAGAGATGTTAAACAGCCGGGACGGGGACGGCGTCTATCTTGACGAGCCGATGAACGACTGGGTATCTCTCAATCAACCAAACAGAATGGATCAACTCATCTGTCTTGCCCCCCACACAAAGGTCGGCAGAGCACTCTTTGTAAGCCACTCCCTTGCGCCATTCGCAAAGTGGTATGTACTGACAAGCCCTAGAGACCGTTCGTTACCGGGAAAGAAGAGATCGGCAATAATGTTCAGTATCACTACAATGAAGGGATCATACGATCGATAGCATTCACCCTTTTCACCTCTATCATTGCTGTGTTTGCTTGCGCCCCAGCCGCGATTCAGTCGCTGAATGTCCGATCAACGGTGGGTGAAGTAGTTGTGTATCTCGTGTTTGTGATCGCGTTTGGCTGGCTGAGCCAGGGGCTGATTTTGGGATTTGAGAAAGTTTTGCTCTCTTGTCTTGCCTACGCCGGATTGATGGCAACCCTTCTTCGAGGGGGTTGATATCGTGAGAGGGACGGATGGACTAGAGACCGGAGGGTTGGAAGGCGAGTAGGGGTTAAGATTGGACTGTATCGGAACGACTTGAGAAGCCGTGTGTAAGAGAGTGGATGTATATTGGACAATCGTTTGTAGAATCGCATTCCTTGAGACTCCTCTGTTAGCAGTGATGTCAATGAGGTAGATGTACGGGAACCATGGCTAAGAGTTCGTGTAGGGAGGTCACGGTAAGACAGCTCAGATGTCGAGATAGCGGACTTGCCTTCTGAAAGACCAAGAAAAAGCAGTAACGATAGAAACAGAAGCGAGACTCATCGCGTAGCATGAGAGACTATAAACACATGACTTTGATTGAGATAGGGCTGTAAGGTGTGAATGTTTGGAGACGGAAAGGAGACAACACCAGGTGGGCACGGCAAACTATCCTTCCGATGCGGCTCTGCAATGGGTACAAGGGGCACATGGAAGATGAAGGTACCGTTTAGAAACAACAAGGCGCCTTCTTTTATTACCTCCTGGCAGAATCTACGATCTAGGACTATGAACCCCTGAGCATAGACAGACCTTAGATTGCGAAACCATGATCGATCTTGTTCAACATTGCATAGAGCAGTTCACCCATTACCGAGCGTCCTACTACCACACCGAGACATAGCCAATCCAAGGCTTACTCGGAACTCCCCTCTGTCGCGCGAAACACGAACGCGCTTGAGGTTGTTGATACAGTTGTACTGGAAATTAAAGAGTATCTGAGCGACAACTGACATGGTTTTGCTGGGAACGGGGCGAGAGAAGGCGGTGAACTGCAGTCTTTGGCCGCCACCTTCGTACCAAGACGCAATAAAGCCGCCAACGTCGAGAACTTGGACGAAGTCATCTTTGAAGAGCCATTGCATGTTTAATCGGCTTTAGTGCAATGGGACCAAGTTCCTGGGGCGATGGGGGTACTCTGCAGAGTGTAAGCACGGTCTCGTCGCCACAGAAACCCCATATCCAAAAACATCTTGGCGTCAATGTGGTTGTAACCGATGATCCTGGGGTCTGGCTGTGGAGTAGTGTAGCCCTTTACTCGGTCTGTGTAGATCAATGGCGCAGAACCGAGTTAGGCCAGAATGGTTGAGTTGAAAAGCATTGATAGGCAGGTAGATACCTGATGAACGCACGCATGCATTGACCTGTTTCGGGGTTGAAGGTTGAAGGTATCCCCGACAATGAGCATGGATACTGCGACCATTTCTGCTCTTGATGAAAATGAAAAAGAGGCAACGGGTGGCTGGTTGCCTGAGGGCCTCTGGCTCAAGACACCAATAACAACGGCTGGTAGAAACTCGAGTATTCATCAAACAAGCCTTTCCTCCATTGTCGTTCATTGGCATCACGCAGTTATCCTCACTAGTGTCCTGTTAGCGATACCAAGGTTAAAACCGCCTGCTGATATCCTTGGCGATAGTTGATAGAATTGTGCGCAACCGCGTCAGAGACTGCACTGCGAGAGGCCGCAAACAGACCAAACAACAACGCTTTCGGAACCCAATACACTATGGCGAAACAATCTATCTGTTAGTTGGAAATTCCCAGCCTTGCAGGCGGTTCCTTTTGATTCGATTCGGTAAAGTGCCCTGACAGTCCTGCGTAATCCTAGACCGCCTTTCTTAGGCAGTTCGAGGTCACTGCCATTCACCACGTTGATGCTAATCCGGACATCAACCATTTGTATATCCTCAAAACAAAGATTAACAAAGGCAACGTCAATCGAAACTTCACCTAAAGTTTGATTGTTTCCCATTCATCATTCGATGTTGTCGGATATGCTCAGACACCAGACCCATGTCCTTTCCCAGCGATGCGATTCGCAGATGACTGACGAACGAGCCTGTAACCCGGATCCTTCAGTCGCCATTATGCTCTGGCTGCCGCCTGGCTTGACCTCAAATTACCGCACTCGCGGTAAATCAGAATGAACATTATATCGTTGCCTGCAGGTATTTCGAAAGGTCTGTGGTGCTGCATGGACAGAAGAAGATGAGGGGGCTCTCCAACCCGATTGCTTGTTGGGCGTCAAAGGTGTTGAAGGAGACACGCTCATCCCATTTGGCAGTGTCAAAAGGACGAGTTGGCCCATATCGCAACAAAGATGAATTCAGCAAGTGCAAGAATGAATGCTTTGCTCAGACCCGGGAGGAGAAGTTTGTTGGTCTACCTATAACCTCGATCCAGGGGCTGACAGTTGGGTCTTAATAACGGCATCCATCCATGGCTCGGACAATCTGAATGGCGCAGCGGCAGTGCCCTGAACCTCCACTGCCCCAGTGGGAATTTGGAGTAACTTGGAACCACCAATGATGAATCGCAGGAATATTATGCACGCAATCTCCAACATTTCCCGTGTCTGAAGCGCAGCAGTATTCAGTCGACTAGCATGTTGCTCAAGCCATTGGATGTTGTCAGCTCTTATTATGACCAAAAAAAGGCTCTCAAAGTTGGAGCAGAATGTGCCGGGATGAGCATTGGATAGTGCAGTGTTGTTACCTGAATATCCTGTTTTCCAATGAAAGGAGACATTGCAGCCAGGGTCTGGACGAGCTTCCTCCTACGAGCCTGTCTGAAGGCATTGGATCGAAAATGGACTCTACAGTAATGCCAATGCACTGAAAGTGGATGCTCATTCTGGTAGGTATCCATAATTTGGCTACACCTGAAGAACAATTATACCCGGGGCTCTCGCCAGGTAGGAGGCAGTCCTCCATCTCCTGACCAGTAGGTTACAAAAAAATGGTCATTCGAAGGGGCCCAAAAACAATTCACACTTTGACTTCAAGTTGAGCCTTCACAAAGCTCAAGGTCTCAGGCAACAACACGTTGAGATAACGCTCAAAAACCTGCGAGGACAGGAGACTCGCTAGCAACGGATCTCCTTTGCGAACAATGACATTGTCAGCAATTGAACTCAACTTTGAAAGGGACCTCTAGCAAGGTCTGGTGGCGAATTTGAAAAGACCAAGGCATTCCTGTCGACATGTTTTTTCCGGGTGCTCCAGAAGTTCGCGTAACACCTGAGCCTCCGAACTTGACCCCCGACGTCCAGAGGACAGACGGCTAAGGCTTTTACAAAACATGTTGGGTCTTCGTTCCATCAGCCAGGTGGTCGTGAATCACCCTCCTCCTGGAGTTTTCGGGCAGCATTATGAATCTTACGGTGAGCAGAGAGTTTTGACACGACAGTCGAGGTTGGAAAGATGAATTGCCAGCTATGCTCTCTACCCACCCATCCATCTATCCATCCATCATGAATACAGCCCCGCTGAGGCCATCCTGTGGACGCCTTTTTCCATCAACAAAATCAGCAAATAACCAGCCTCTAGATATGAAGCATTCAACAGTACAAAGAGCGGTGAATATCAAATACCAACGTGTTTTGCATCTCAATCAACTCAGCCTCACTTTCATGAGAGGATGGCCCCTTGGAACGGCCGGCTATCTGCGAATCTCGAGCCGGTGAAGCCAGAAAGGGAGTCATTGCCATCTCTTGTTACCCGACCAACACCCTCACGATGCTCGACGTGTTCATCGCCCAATGACAAGAAAAAGAGGATCTGCATCTCCCGGTGCATCTTGATCACGCACATGAAGTCTCGAGCAAGTACTTTTTTGTATCTCTCTTGAGGGAGCGGTACGGCCCGTGTGCCGCAGATTATTGGTCTACTTGGGCGAGGAACAGATATTACCGAGGTCACACGACGGTACACTCGTTCATGATTCGTCTATCAGCTATATTCGTGGATCAAAATGTGGCACACAGCCCCATGGTCAACTTTTCTGTTTAGATTGAGCCGCACTCAGAGGTCAGCCTGAGCCACCCAGCCTGATTCTGAAGGACATTTCTTGGCCGCGCCAGACGAGTGCTCGATGCGGTATATGACACTATATGCTGTTGGTCGACGGTTAGATGTATTGAGAATACACGCGCGGCTAGGGGACACTGGTGGATTATAGAAATGCCTAGAGAACACCAATTTAAGTACCATATGGTCTTGTTGAAGATACGAACCTTTTGAGTTTATCCCTTATCAAAGACGTCCGTCGCGATTTTAGACTCTTACATACTTTCATACCAGATAGGAGCACTATTGGTAGCCAAGAACTCATGAGGTTTCGAGGATAGATCAACAGTGGCGCGTCTATATCGTCTGTACCAGGCGCACAGTAGACACTGTACATGTGAAATCTGAAGAAAGAAGCTTAGTGAGCATCTATCTAAGTAGAGACTGTTTCTTTCCCTGGCTAATGACAATGTGCTTGCGTGGTCCGATATTACTAGGGTCATCGGCTTATATATATCTCCATATGGAGGTCGCCAGACACCCATTTTCATCATAGTTTGCGATTTCATATGTAATTTTCGAGCAATTGGTGACCATCATTATCAATACCAGTCCTGGAAATCTAACATCACAGACACCGCAAACAGTGCTAACATTCTAGTCCTAAATATGTATGCCCAGCTTCAATAAGTAAGCGGACCTGGTTGCCTCAATGATGGCCTGACGAAGAGGTTTGGTGAGCAAAGAACTTCTCAGTAAAGAATACCGCTTATTTTCGACCGTTCCAGAAATACGTCTATCTTTGACGTTGTGAGACAGACGCAAAGCCACGAGGACTAACGCGCTCGCCGAGAGCTGAGATTGCAAGTCCTACGATAGAGATGAAGAGAACGCTAGAATCGTTTATGGATTAGTACATCGATAGATCCAGAGTGTTGGAAACTGTAGGGCTGACACGTAGATCAAGCTCCGGTCCGAACCAGATCCGATAAGGAAACATGATTCATCAAAGGTCAGACCGATAGACGTAACGCTTTCCATCTGACAAGGAACTTTTGTGCGCTTCTTCCAGACGGCTAGACACATTCAGCTATCTCAGTAGCACGGCAATGTCAAGAGCTTCGAACTCATTTGGTAAGCCATATCGATATCTCGGCGAGATAGATCAAGGCAACAATGCCAGCACTTCTGACAGGCTATTAAAGCATTATATCGCGAATGGCTTCTATTAGCGGCGGGGTGGCGCCGGTAGGGCAGAGAGGCGGCCGCCCCCATGACCGAGATACCCGATGAGGCTCAATCAAACATGGCGGGAGCTCTGATAGATGCTAGCAATCACTAGTTCCTCCATGGGCTGAGCTGAAGTGGAGGGCGCCAAATCGCTGGATCCTTGTGAAAATCAATGGAGTGCCCCTAAGACAGTAACTTGTGGCACCTCGGTTGTTGGACTCGATATTTAGAACCTCTAAGCAGCCTTAGGTTGGAAGTGTTGGTTGTTCGTGCATGTCTAGTAGGGGCTATGAGGCTGGCTGACGAGATGTTGATGAGCCTGAAGTCAGCGGTGAAACACGTCTACGCTTGCGTTTTGGTGTTGTTATAAGATGGGTTGGTTCCTGTGCATCAGCTTCTGACTACCGATGGAAATACAATTAGTCTTTGTTTCTTTTCTACCCCTGATTAAAATCTACAACCGTAACCACGTTCCCTTGGTTCCTCAGAATGGCTGATAATGGACCCAGCAATGGCTCTCCTAGTGATCTAATACCCGATGACAGGACAGGAGATTCTTCTTGCCAACAAGACAAGTTTTCCCCTGCCGACTCCATACCAGCTACCCGTGCTCTGGACGTGATCGGGGCAGAATCAGGGTCTTGTACACAGATTAAAAGTGAGAATGCGATTGGCAATCTTTCACCCTCCTCAGGCCCCTCGTCCCTTCAACTCAAGGAACTAAATGAACTACCTGCGAGTTTAAGTCGGGGATGGCGCTTCTACGGCGCTTTTGGTACATTGTGTCTTGTCACCTTCATCATCGCTCTTGACTCAACCATCATTTGCGTTGCATTACCTGTAAGCTCCTGATATAAGATCCTAACACGAGTCCTCGCTAACATGAACCGTTCAAAGACGATTGCAGAAGACATTGGTGCTACGGCTATCGAAGCCTTTTGGTGCGGTACCAGTTTCCTCCTCGCCTCGACCGTCGTTCAACCCCCTGTTGCCTCCCTATCTCATATATTTGGCCGTCGTCCTGCATTGCTCGCTTCTCTCACTGTGTTTGCGGGTGGTAGCATTATGGCTGCTCTGGCGAAGAATATTGCCGTGCTACTCGGTGGTCGGACACTTCAGGGCCTTGGCTCTGGTGGCATCCTTGCTTTGACATATGTTATCGCTACAGACCTTGTGAGCCTCAGGGAGAGGGGTAAATGGTTCGGCCTTATCTCCCTCAACTGGGCTATCGGAAGCATTCTTGGTCCCTTGATCGGCGGTGCTCTCGTTGAAGTGTCCTGGCCCTGGCTGTTCTGGATCAATTTGCCATTCTGTGGTCTTGCCTATATTGCTATTCCTATCACAATGCGCATTAAGCGAAAGGGGGATACTTCAGTCAACACAAAGATCAAAGAATTCGATTGGATCGGGACTATCATCTTTGTTGGCTCTTTGACAAGTTTCCTGATCCCTTTGAGCTGCGGTAAGTTGCCCCTGCTGATACAGCCAACTCTGTAACTACTTGTTGATGATCATCTATAGGTGGCATAATGTATGATTGGAGCAGCCCCAGGACCGTCATACCTCTTATATTCGGTATTCTGGGACTCATTTCGTTTGGTATTCACATCAAATTCTGCAGAAAGTACTGTAAATGCGACCCTCTCCTACGACCCAGTCTATTCACCTCCCTTACGGCTCTCTCTGCATACTTTGCTACTGTTATCCACGGTATAACGGTATGGTGTCTTCTTTACTATGTTCCATTATACCACGAGGTCAGGGGATCATCACCTATCACTGCGGGTGTTGCTGTCATGCCATTTACCGGGACGGTGGCTCCCGCTGCTGTCATAGTTGGGCTCCTGATTGCCAAGACGGGGACATACAGGCCCTTCATATGGGCTGGATGGGTTCTTGTGCCCACTGGAATGGGCTTGATGCTGCTGCTTGATAATCATACTGAAACCTTTAGATGGGTACTCATCTACCTTACCGGGGGTCTTGGTCTCGGTATCCTCTATTCAGCTCAAGCATTTGCTGCTCAAGCTTCAGCTTCCAATTCCGACTTGCCATTCGCTGCCAGCTTTTATGCTTTCTGTCGGTCTCTGGGTCAAGGCATCGGTGTTGCTGTCGGCGGCGTCACCTTCCAGAACGAGTTCCGCAAACAGGTTGAGAAAAGCCCGGAGTTTGCTTCCAAAGCCAATGAATGGGCCAAAGACGCGTCAGCGTTAGTTCAGACCCTCAAGAAGTCCCCCTCTAGCATGCAGCTCATGAATGACACTATCATCGATGGATATATTAATGGCCTTCGAACCGTCTGGTTGGTACTAACTTTACTTGCATGCATCGCTCTCTTGGTGTCACTCGTCTGTGTCAAGGCGAAAAGCCTCGATCGTAAATTTGAGACTGAGCATGCTCTGGACCAAGCAGGTCCTAAGGAGAAGAAAGACCAAAGAGTCCCGGAAGTTAATGTTTGATAGAATATGGGATTATTTCGCTGTAGTGCTGGAGTATTGCTTTTTGAATAATGCAGAATAATTGACTGTCTTCCCACGGTCCTCTTATCGCAACATAAGTCAGCACATGTAAGAGATATCGAAGTTCTTGAAGTGGTACACTGATAGATGACTGGGGTGAGGAAACATAGCCATGTGCGTAGCCCAACTTATCTCTTTCCTATCTAGCCATTTCCCAAAGCACCAAGAGCGCTGGCAATAATCCCGATGAAAACCCTCTTCAGGTATAGTATCCCTTGGGGGAATAGCTTATTCATGGTGAAAACCAAAGTCCACAACATCATCCATAGATCGAGGTATAGACACGATGCTTTGGCACAAGTCCGGGCGATCGAGCTTCGCCATACGTTTAGCGATAGCATGGGTTTGGCAGTTTCCCTTAACACCACTATGACCCGGAGCCCAAATGAGAGACAAAGCTACTCCTAATCGCACTAATTCGTGAGATCGTTGTCGAACTAACGAGTCGAGAGGCGGTATTGGGAAGTACTAAATCTCGGAGCACCGCGAAATAGCCTCTCTCGAGTTAGAGAATATGGCAACTCTGCGTATACTAGAAGTCGGTTGTTGCGAAACAACGAATATAGCTGCTTCGAGGGCCCCAGTGATGTTCATGACTTCGACATCTCCGATATGAGCGTTGTGTCCTTTTACTTGCCAGCCTATTTCCTTCAAGATAGCCTTTTCCCTCCCCAAAGACTTATCCATGAAGACAACTGGACCACCGCCATTGACCACATTTGCAATTGACCTATCGGCCCACAGGGTCAAAACATCAAGGCTTCGTCTCGACCCGCGTCAATAGCTAGGCTGCGCGCTTGGCATTTTGCCTTAGGTACCATAATTGCACCTGTAAATGTTTCGGTATCGATCTCTGCAGGGGGGGGGGGGGCATGGTGGCTCTCTGTCGAATCTGTCTCTCTTGTTAAATCGTTCGCAATCTTTCTTGAAAGACTTTCTCAGAGGTACATGGGTTCGTCGTTCCTCTTCTATGGCTTTCTTTTTTTTTTTTCTTTCTTTTTTTTTCGAGCTGCCTCCTTCGCAGCAGACTTTTTTTCCTTTAGCCTTTGCTTCTTCTGCTCTTGTTGACTTGTGAGCCGAGCCATTCTCATGTGCTATATTGTCCGAAAAATAATCCTCCGTAAATTTAAAGAGAGACAGCAGGTCCTCTTCTAGCTCCTCCATGTCCTTGCCTTCTCGGGGCTCAGGCATCGTGGTGGTGAGTGAAGGGTGTCTTTCTAGGAGCTCAGTATCAGGAACAGACTGAGTCGCACAAGCCTCTACCTAGAGGCTTGTGCGCTAATTTTATTTGAAGGAAGTTGCAAATTAGACTTTTGGGAGCATATTCTTTTTGTGTTATATGTTGCTAATGCACACGAGAAGGTTCATTATAATAACCTACCCAAGGGGAGGCAAGAAAACTTAGGACCTCTAACCTAAGTGACAAAATGACTTAGGTATAGTTTAGTTTAGATTTTGTTTACCTTAGATTATATACTTTTGTCACCTAGGCCCAGGGTCAGAAGTTTTCTTGCTCCCTAGAGCTACCTTATATTTAAATAGTAAACTCTTCTTTGCGTGAATCTCAACGCAATGGAGCGTCGACCTGATAGTTCAAAGGGAAAACCTTGTTCTCCTCTGCTTAGTTCAAGAGTATTAATTCTTATGGTCTTAACGACAGCCTGCTTACAAATCTTCGGATCCTATCTCATGAGAGAAATTACAGTTAAGAGCATCCTAGGACGCAGAGTGTGGTATAAATAAGATGATACTTTTTTTTCCCCTTGCCGTCAGCCTTGTACGAGGCCATCGAGCTTTTTAACTTTTCTACAAAGGCTTAAACAGTGAGACCCCTATAGCAGGCCATCATCACAGAAGTCAAAATTATATCAATGGCACAATTGCTGCCTTAACCAAGCAGTATGAATACCAGCTCTCAGCAGCTGGGTCAACCTTCTTCCTAAGGTGATACTGTAATAAAGCACAACATTCAGGTTAATGCCACTTTCTCTAATTGCATGATGCTATCTTGTGCAGGAGTATTGGCACTTGAAGAACTACTACGTATTACCCTTTTATTACACAAAACCTTCAACTGGTTTATTACTCTAATAACCTTTTAGAGTTTTATATCTCCAGGCGATGCCTAAAGTATATACAATAGGCACCTTTTTTTTCCCCAGCGCTTTTGCAGTCCTTAATAAGTTTAAGGAGATATAGAATATTTAATAGGCAGTAATTACGCCATTAAGGCAGATAATTCTTATTAGATTTTGACTTCTGTGATAATAGCCTGCTATAGGGCCTTACTGGTTAAGTCTTTAATAGAAAGTTATTAAACTTGATAGCCTCGTATAAGGCTGAAGGCAAGGGAGGGCAGGGGCGATGGAACATTTAACGACAGCTTGGTGGTTTTAGCAAGCTCGTCTTGAACATGTGTCAAGTTATTCAATTGACAACTTTTCGAATAATAACGCATCAAGGCAAGATGGCCGAGCGGTCTAAGGCGCTGTGTTCAGGTTCGATTAGAACTAGCAACGATTCGCAGTCTCGAAAGGGGCCTGGGTTCGAATCCCAGTCTTGTCAGCTTTCTTTTTATCTGGCTTCAACAACAGGAGGTCTTAATTTTTAGTCCCATTATATTCATCATGCCTGATTATGGTACAGGTAGGCAGGCTTAGGAGGCAATATAACTTAGGACCTCTATTCTCAATAATTAAAAAAACTTTGGGAAGTTTAGTATATATTAGCAAGCCTTTAGACCAGTTGATTTTGGCAACCAAGTTTAACGTCTTAAGTTTTCTTACTCCCTGAGGGCAGACAACCGTAGATTCGTTCCAGGTAATGGCGTCACCGGCCAGGCCAGTGCGAGCCCCCCCTGACTTCTAAGTTCAGGTACCGCCCCTCCAAATCGGCAGGTTCCTCTAATAGCACACGCGCTTGTCGCGCTTCGCGATCTCAACTCGTGTAAATTGATGCTCGCTTCCTTCTCAACCGGTTCATCTCGTTTCCTTCCCCATGTTCTATTAATCCTCACCTATAAACTCACGAATGTCTTGGACTCTAAACACGAAATGGCAACAGCCTCGTCTTCTTCGAATCTCTCGTCGCCGTCATCTTTTGTGACGGCGCATGATGCTACGCTTGATAAATCCACGGCCGCCAGTAGCCCCGTTCATGAGAACCCATGTCCCTATCGCGATGCGCGACAACTGCCCCGCGACTTGAAGGCGCATTGCCAGATTTTACTCGAAGAGCAACTGTGTATGCTGGTGCTCGCTCCTCTTAATGGTAACTTACACTTACAGCTCGATAGATGGTTCCGCGATCAATCTCCTCAACAGCATTGCCGCCTCTGGCATATCCAAGCACACTCCTTCGAAGAAGCACGTCCTTGTCCCTCCTCCAAGCCATCTCGCTCTATTAAATACTCTTGTTATTCATCCTCTCCACACCACCCGTGCGGAGAAGAAAGACCAGCTTGACGTTGCCTCACAGGCTCTCGACTATTTGCGCAATATTCTTCTAGTTGCCGGTCCCATTAATGCCGATCTCAGAACAGCCTTCCAATTCAGCTCTACACCACGCTCAGGTCGCCGCTGGGATCAATATGGACAGGGAAACGATAGCGATATATCAGACACGGAATCAAATGGCGACGACGAACGACTTCGAGGCAAACTTGCCAACGACGGTAGCATATGGAACCGTGGACAAGACTTTTGGTCAACCATTGGTTGGGCATTCAACTGCAGCACGTTATATCCGAAGCGATGGCAATACTGGAAAGCCTGGCTAGAGTTGATGTTGGATGTCTTGGAGGCCGACTGGAACGAGCGCGAGCGATGCGACAAGGAGGCGCAATTAGCCAATGGCCCAGAGAGCGAGCTACCCCGTACATCACGCAATGAATCCATCATTGTCATGTATATGGAGCAACAAAACGGGCGACAAAATGGAGCTAAAGGATTTGTCAAAGCCATATTTGCCGATGGAGGCGAGATATCGTCGTCTGCCTTCCGCGAGGTTTTTGATAAGGAACCCAGAGGCCCGAGCAAGACGTCTAACAAACGAAAGCGGGAACAGGTGCTGGACCTGGAAAACGACAAATTTGGGGACTACTTTGATGATGAATCAATCTCTTCGGGAGTTTCTGAACCACCAACGCCTCAAAAGCCTAAGGACACGCGAAAACTCGGCGCAGCAAGTGTACACTCGCAAGGGCTGGTCGAGTCTGTCGACATACGCCTTCGTCTGTTCAGATTACTTTCTGCGGTGACATGGTCACTCCGAAAGCCTTCCGAGCTTCATCGTTTATATGAGGAGTACACTGCCTCCCTCAAACTTCTCCCACTCCCTATGTTTACTCTTTTTGCATGCCAGAGACCAAATCCCCTTCTATCTGAAGCACATATTACCATCACCAAAGAATTATTCGATTTATTACTACCATCATCGTACAAAGATCCTTCAAAGGTCGACCCAGAAGGTGACGCAGAGGGAAGTTTGACCTTGTCAATGTTAGAACAGTGTTTTGTCCCTCATCCGGCGAATACCGTAGCTCTGGAAGACAACGCGAAATTGTCCCTAGTCGTTGAAGACGCTATACAACTTCTTTGGGCATGCGATCTAATGGTCTATTCTGAAGAGTTTGAAGAGGCTGTTGAGAAGGGCATCAAAGCTCGAGAAGCAAAAGCAAAGAAGAGGCGTACTGGGAAAGTTAAGGGTGATGAAGCCGACGCTCTTGCGCAAGAGATCCTGACTAATTCAGGTGAAAGAATTCGGTTGCTTTTGGAAGTTTTAAAAGCTTCTCAGGAAGCGGAGTCATGAGACGGTTAATGGGGCGATGGTTCTTATTGGTTTTCTGGTGGTAACGTACATATTATAGACTATCCAGTGCATGAACATAATGCCGTAATGAATGATGATACCCAAGATTCTGCCGTTGAATCTGTTTCGTCTCTTTCCGCGACTCTTGTACATTGTTGCTACATTTGATATGGTAATCATGGCTTGCTGGACCAGTTGAGCCGGTCAGTACTTTAACTGAAGCTCTATTGCTCAACGTTTCTTGGCTGCTGTAGGACTCCAAGAAGTTGGTTGCCATGTCTCGCCTGGTGCTCTAGCCTTGGCCGTAGCCCAAGGATCATCCTTCTTTTCAGCCTCTTCTTTGGTCTTTTTTGCGCCCGTGTCAGTCTGCTCACCACTCCTGGCGTCTTGTTGTAAAGGACTAGCCTTCGCCGGTGAAAGCAACGGTGCCGGCGCAGCCTGTGGCGCCTCCATAACTCGCGGTTTGGCCTCCCATCGAGCATCCGCCTCAGCAGCAAGCTTCTGCATCCTCACCCGGCGCAAAACATCGCTGTGTTGTTCCTCGATGCTTGGAGGTTCTTCTCGTGTATGCCGTAGCCATTGGTGCCATTGTGGGCTGACCTTTACGGAAGAGTAGTGTGTTGATCGCGGGTATTTAACAATTCTTCGCCAGCGCTCATTACTCTCAGCGCCTCTCGTGAGTCGAAATTCCCAGTACGTGTTACCTTGAAGGTCGTAACCTGGTGGCATGTAAGTGGGAGGAGAGTGGTGGAGGGAAGATTAAAAACAAACCCACGAGGAAGCGCTTGCGCCATGGCAAGCGGAGAGCTTTCCACTTGTACCAGGCCCGCGCAACAGGCCCAATCTGATTTGTGGCCATGGGCTTCTTTTGTTTCAATTTGTGACCTTGAATGTCACCAAAGGATATGGGGGGCGCAAATGTTCTGGTGAAGTCTTGAATCCATGACACACACACAGCCACTTTCATGATGCACCAGCCACCTCACCCCAGCCACCTCATAACTCCCAGTCCACGTCATTTCATGGTGGGCTGGATGCTGGGATCGGGTGCATGCCGCCCAATCTTGCCTGCTTGAACGCAAGCTGCTAATCCCTTGGATACTTACTTACCTACCTCGGATACCCGGGACCATCCTATTCTCTCTTCCTATTCTTCTCAATCAACACTTGATTTCTATCCTGGAAGTTGACCTTCAAGACAATTACTTGGAGACAGCTTCATTTGTTCTATTGAGAATCGATACCCATCCCCTCCCTGCGTTCAAGAAGCTGTGCGACTTTTGCGACAGGACCGTACTCTCTACGTCGCTTACCAGTGCAAACGCTTGAATCTCAACTCGTACCAGTCGAGATACAAATCTAATTCCTCATTCCTCAGAGTGGTTGAATTGCTATTTCGAGAACCTATCCGCGAGCCGTCATCATGGCGTCCGTGTCGTCGCTGGATAAGGACTTGCGCAAGATGCGCCTTGAGAAATACACACCAGCAGCGGCGAATGAAGCTCGTTCATGGATCGAAGATATTCTCGGAGAGAGTCTTCCTTCGTCCGATCTCCTCGAAGGACTAAAAGATGGAGTTGCTCTATGCAAGTAAGTCACCTCTAAGGCTGGCGATCATGAATGCGGGACTTACACGATTCTCAGACTCGCCAATCTCGCCCTACCACCTCCTGGGGTTCGGTTCAAGCAATCGGCCATGCCTTTCGTACAGATGGAAAACATCTCGCTATTTCTCCGTGCTTGCCAATCTCCACCACTGAACCTCCACCAACATGATACATTCCTTACTGTCGATCTTTTTGAGCAGAAGGACCCAGCGCAAGTACTTCAATGTATCGGCGCATTCAGCAGAGCGGCCCATGCTGCTAATCCTCAAAACTTTTCCACCTCGATTGGACCTAAAAATCGACCTGAAACGGTTACTCCACAAGGAACAGGTTCAAGGACACCTACCGGGACACGCGACAGGGGCGCATCCGTTACGAGCAACAAGTCGCCTGCTTTTGGACGCTCTGCTGCTCTGCCACATCGAACAGGTGATTCGGGCTCTGGGCGGTGGAGTCCTACCAAGAGCCCTACCCCGAAGAATGGGCCCGAATCTCCTGGCGCCGTTAGCAGCTGGAGCAAAAAGGAGCACGAAGGTACTACTGCGCCGGCTTGGAATATTGCACAGTATGGTTACTTGGGGGGCGCTAGCCAAGGTAATCTCGGTATATCGTTTGGTGGTAGGCGACAGATCACCAATGCTGGTCCCCGCGTGCCAACTCTCGCTGAGAAGGAGCGCCGTCGAAAGGAGGAGGAAGAGCGTGCTCACCGTGAAGCGGAAGAAGGGGAGAGGCAGCGAGCTGAAGAGGAGGATCGCGCCCGGGTTGAGGAAGAGCTCAGGTGGGAGCAGGAAACAGAACAACTCCGAGAAAAGGAGCGGCAGGCTGCCGAAGAAGAGAAGCGCAGATGGGAGGAGGAGGAACGGCAATGGAAATTGACAGAAGAGAAACGGCGCAAGGAGGAGGAAGATGCCGAAGCCCGACTTGCCGAAGAACGAAAAAGCGTGAAGAATCGTGGTGATTCTAAGCTGACGGGGCAGTTCCTGAGTCAGTACCGAGCCGACCAAGGAGCATCACAACAAGACGGTGCTTCAGAAGATGACTACAAGAACCGTGTGAAGCAGTTGGAGCAAGAGTTGGAGCTCGCTCGACAACGAGAAGCCGAGTATGAGCAAGAGCGTCAAGTGAGAGCTCAACGTCAAGGAAGCATAGAGACAAAGCCAACTCCTAAGCCAAAGCCTAAGCTGGTATCCAGTCCTCCAACACGTTCTGACTCATGGTCTAAAGACGAGCGAGAAGTTCTGAGGACTCGGTCTCCTTTCAACAGAGAACCCCTTCAAACAAATAACGCTCCTGTATTACCCTCAAGGTCACCTCGCCCCTTGCCTGACCCGACTGCCCTTCCCCAGGCCAAGTCACAGAACACGAGCAGCCGGCCCCTTCCGGATCCCGCCGCATACTCCTCGAGACCTACACCCGCCGCTCCCAGCCGTACCGACCGCTTTCTATCAAGTAATCCAGCCCCTTCACCACCTGCAGCCCAGGCGACTTATTCACGCGAACTGGGCGCCACAGCCGAGCGCGATGCCGAAGACCAGCGCCGCGCACAGAGCCAGAATAAGACTAAGGCAGGTGGGTGGGCCTCCAAATCACTTCTTGAACGAGAGATGGAGATGGAACGTCAACGGCAGCGCGAGTGGGAAGAGGCACAGAAAGAGACTGCTGCGGCGGTGCGCTCCAATGAAGGTGTAGACGGAATCGGCGGTGGTATTGGTGGTCGGTGGGATGTTGGGCAATGGGCTGGCTATACAGGTGGTGACAGCCAGAATAAGGGGTCAGTGGGTATCGGAGCTGGTCGAAGACAGATCGTAGGACCTCGGCCGCTTCCTGAGCAACCAAGGTAAGGTGCCGGCCTAGAAATAGAAGCGACTGTGTTGCAACTCAAGCAACGAAGCACTGGGCTGATTGAGGGGTCTTTCAAATTTTGATCGATTGTGATGGCCTTTCAAATTTTGATCGATTGTGATGGCCTCTATAGAATTCAAACTATTTCAACAAATGCTCACGTTCAATGCTGGACCCCTGGTTTAATTATATCCGTTGTCCATACATATCCATGGCCATTTGGTCAGTATCATCAGCCGCTTGATAGAAAGGAGAAAGAGCTGCTAGGCTTTAGTTGCCGGACATTTGGTATGATAAGAACCTTTCGTTTATTGTGGTATCTTGAGACTTTCAAAAAATGTACTTCATCTACCCATCCAAAGCACATACTTGCTATGATCGATCCACCCATTTTATCTAGACCTATCCCTGAAAGGTACAAAAACCCACTCCATGCTTCATAAAATCCCAATTCACAGCATGAAATTCTCAAACATGATTTGCTTCTCCCATGGCAGCCTCATCGCGGCATCGTTTGCACATACACCAGCCGCCTAGACTACCCCTTGCCCATTCCCGGCGTTGTTGCACAGGCAAATTGACGTCGCAATAGTGGTTGAGAATCTCCTCACCTTTCTTGATACCTCCCGGACGACCACCCACAACACGCTCCTTTCTGGCTTCAAGAACCATGCGGCCACCCCATTCCCATGTGACGTTGGGGTCGCAATCATGGTTCGCCAGACACCAATACGGGTGCACTGCGGCGACATCAGGGCGACCATCCCGAGGGTTTTTACGGGCCGAAGCAGTGCCCCTGAACTTGGCGTATAGCGTGTTGAGAACCCATAGATCGTTCTCAGCGAGCGAAGAGTATATATCGATATCCATCTTTTCCAAAACGTGGAGCGGTGTTTCGACATTGTATTTGAAAGAAAAGGGCAGTGTCCACTCAGGAGGCGGGCCAGCATTTGGTGAGACGTTGATGTCGTTGGTTCGAGTCGGAACAAAATCACCCCATATATACTTGACCTCTCGAACATCAAGAGGATTAACCTCCTCGTGAGCAGCAATAGCCAAGACACGAGAAAGCAGCAAAAGGTAAAGTGTTTGGTCCGCTTCAAATGCATCAGGATCCTTAGCGATTGCATCGACATCCTTCTCACAAACCGCTGGATGATATCTCTCCATGGCTTGATCAAAGCAATACTGAGTGCAGAACACCGTATCGTAGCATTCAGGGCAACTGACGGGCTCGTTCTCGCTGCCTAGTGGTGGCAGATCAGAACTGCATGCGTCACAAATGGAGTCCTTCAGACGATTGTTCGCCGTGAGAAGTGAGTATTCCTTCAGCACAACCTCACCGGGGGCGATGTCCTCCTTGGCGAAGACTCCAAGCTGCTTGCATGTTGGAATAATTTCATAGTCATCGGTGCTGCTCGCTCCTTCTAACAAGACAGGCAAGGTCGCAACCTCGACAACACACTTTGGTGCCATGGAGCTCAAACGCTCGTTGAGTTCAGCCAATGATTCCGGGGCGAAACGATCAGGTTCGTGGTCATTCCAGGGGTAGACCTCGCGACGGACGAGACCTTGATCGGGGAGATTGGGGTAGTCAATATCGATGTCATCACGGCGAAGCCTTCTGCGGGCGACAGTGACAATGTTGTTCTTGGTGTCGAGTAGTTCTTGATTCGATGGTGAGAGCTGAAGACCGCGCTGACAGAAACTGGCAGCACTCTGCAGTGATCCACAAAGTAACAGGCCTAAAGATAGGATCTGATATGCACGAACTTGCGCCAATATGGCCAGTCGTTTGACTGCCTCGTCTTCGACTTCCAGGTCAGTTTCGGGGCTCTGTAGCTCATCTTGGGGAAGGTTCCCATGTGCTAGAACATCGGGTAAGGGAACTGCTGTATGCATCTGCAAAGACTCGAGGGCCTGCTCATGATATTCGAAGCCCTCATTGAGAACCTCATCGGCTAGTAAGAGTGCACGATATGCATCACCGGCTGCAAGGTCCGGATATCCTAGATCCGAGTGGATAGCGGCACGGTTGAGGTAGAGTATCAAGTCATAGGGTAGGCTAGAAAGTCCTTCTGTGAGCTGTGTTCGCCGGTCGAGCAGCTGCTCGTTCCGGGCTGTTGGGTCCATGTCAGGATCAAGATCGTCGAGGTGATGACTCGTCAAGTCAAAAGCCAGTCTTTTCATCGAGTTGTGTAAGTTGACACAAGAGTGGACTTCGGTAAAGAGGAGTAAATGAAAAGTTGAACTAATGGATTTAGGCCAAGAATTGAATGCGGGACCCTGGGTGTAGAGCAGAGTTCAGCTCTGGTCTAAATCCGCAGAGATCGCAGTCATATAAAAAGGAGGAGGCATAGAAAGAAAGACAAGTCTAGAAGTGACGATGGCAGTCGTTTGGTTACCAGACAAGGATCGGGGAGCCAAGGAATCGAGAAAGGGAGAAATAACTTGGGGGAGCGCGGTGATTCGCTATTCGTTTATATTAGTTGTCTTCTGCAACGGGAGGCTTTTTGGTAAGGTAGTCCAGGATGATTTCCCATCAAGACCCTGAATCTTGATATTTTTGCCGAAGATAAAACAGGGTATTGTTCAATAGGCAAGGTAAGGCAGTTGGCCAAAACAAAGAAAACAGGCTTGGCAATTTCCAACTGCCAAACAAAAGGTTGGCTAATGATGTTGGTCGGTGTTAGATGTCGGAGCGAAGGTTCCGGGTCACACGAGAACAAAGTGCAACTGAGAAGTGTGTGGTGTGGTCACGACTCACCAGAGAAGTAACGTCCGTTGATGATTTGATCGCCAGGGTCCATCCATCCCGTTTCAACCTCCAATTCGATTTTTAAACCCCCAAACTGAGTAAGGAAAAAAAAAACCTAGAACGTCCCACAGGTGGGCTAAAAAGTCCCCTGCACACCCCTCCCACGTTTGCTCGACTCGCAGCTGTCAAATACGAAAAGGCTAGAGCTTCGATATTGTCAAGGGAGCCATAATATAAGGGTCCTCCAGATCCAAACTGGTGTGATCATTACGTAGGGAACTTGATTCTCGGATTGACTAACCGAAGTGGTGTCGTTCTTTTTTTCTTCTTATTCTTTCATCAAGCTCTTTTCTTCGATGAGCCAGCTTCGCCGGGCCGGTCTCTTAGAGTGTCCAATGACCAAGGACAGCAACCAATCGCACCTCTAACGGCAAACTTGAGATCGATCGCAGAAATGACATTTTTGTGCTGGGCTGCATAGGCATGCAGCAGGTCAAGAGGCTTGCCCGTTTCCCAAAACTGCTTCCCAATCAAGTCTGAAATAATAAAGAACATGCTGCAGTGCAGCTTCACATCGGATTCTCGAAGTCATCATTCTCGGATGCCGACTTGACGGGCCCATGTCATAAGTCGACGTCGATTCGAGTGCCAACGACCCTGCTAATGCCCTGCATGCATGAGAGTGTAGTAGGAACAAGCACATACACTCACCGTTTCTTACACGATCTTGAGAGACTTGTTGTTACCCCTCAGTTGAGGAGGTCTTGAAATGTTTCTTCGACAGCATGGTCTATAGCTCGGGTACAAATCAGGCGACGCGGAATATATCGTTTGAGCGGATGCTCCTCGATGAGACTCTGGTATTCACGAGTGACCTGAGGATTACGGAGAATGAAGCTGTTGGAGGCTTCTAGAGACGTCCATTTCCTACATGGATACTGTATCTATTCACCTGAGAATTGCATAAATGGAGGGGCTAGAGGGGTCAGAATCTTGGAGGGGTCCATTGGAGGGGCAGACCAGGGACCAGATGGACGAGGGTTTAACCAGCCGGCATCTGCCCTGGAAAATTCTGCCAGGGCTGCCCGGCCATGATGGAGCTCATAGCGACTTACACACATACACCCACAGAGATGCACACTGAATAGAAAGCACCGCAGGTAATCAATTATACGACAGGGCATAGATACTGGATATAAGACTGACATGCCTCCTTTCACCCATGAATGCTCTGCCCAAGGTGATCAGTGAAGTCGGTATAAGTTGACAGCCTCCCTCCCTCATGAGACAAGAGCTAAAGAGCACAACCACCGTCCACGATGCTTTGCAACGGAACGGCTAGCGGCGTGCCTAAACCCGCCGAGAAACCAGCTAACCTAACGCTGTGCCCTCTTAGCCGGACATACGTCATGAAATCACCCGTCCGTCAGTAAAAGCTCCGCCGAGCCGGACAAGCACATGCTTGAGAACGCACTATTGACCCTATCTACAGTACCCTACCTCAAGCCACGGGAACGCTCCCTACACCTGGGTATCCTTATCAGAGGATGAAGGGAGAAGACGTCAGATTTGGACGTTTATACTGCCTGTTCCTTCCATGCATGAGTCCAGACGTCTTGCCTAGCTCAATTGGCCCGTGCTTCTTTTGTGGTATTCACGGATAGATAATTGATCCTTCGACACATATCTAGCCATGTACCAAAAACGATCGAAACCGACGACAAGATTCGGAGCTGTCGAGGAGCTGTCGAGGAGCTGTCTGGCTGACTATTGGCTCTGTGCTGTGTCACCACCCGGTAATGATGATGCTACTTTGGTTGCCTCTTAGGTCGCTTGGCTTCCATTGCTTTGACAAGGGTTAGTTAGGTTAGGTAGGGCTCAGTAGCACGTCAGCAACTTAAGACCACATGTCAAGCCGCTGTAAGTCAGATCTAATATGCTTAAAGATCTCTCTCCAAGATTCCCAAGCAACTTAGATGACGATTTCTCATCAGCCTTCGTCATTGATAATATTCCTAGACGGGACCTACCACCAAACCAAGCTCAAGTCCAATCATTCCATAAGGAGGACTTAGCCTTCCTCACTCATCCCCATGCCAACTCTTATTACCTTGACGACGACTGGGAACAAACGGCAATCCGATAAGCTTTTCTCAACGGGACACCACGCGGCTAAACTGCCCCATGGTTGACCTGCGTTATCTAGAAACAGAAACCAGCCATACACGATTCAGATATGCCATTGTCAGAAAGTCAAAGCCTACTTAACCTAGCTAACTACATAGTACCTTGCTGTGCAGTACTCTACAGGTGTCTAGCACGCCACTGCACTCATCATATCGTCTTCTGTACCGGAGACTGATCTAACTGTAAGCTCCCACTGAGCTTCATCATTCTGATTGCCCTCAACTATCATCGAAGCTTTCGAGGTACCAAGGAAGCCATTGTGAGACCGTTTTCGCTCCTCCCAACCCCGTCTCTCCGCCCACCCACGGTCAGGCAAGTAAGTTACTCTACTCGTGGGGAGGTCTTTCCCCGTCTTGAGTGCTCTTACTCCATGTCTGGGTCGACATTTACCAACGGGAGTTTGATCCACTACGATGACGAAGTAGGTACCCAATACTACCGTACCTACCAGAAACCAGAAAAAAGGCCCACTGTGACTTCCATGGAACCCCGCCTCTCGTAGACTATACCTACAGCATTATCAAATTATCCCACAACGTTTAAACAACATCCTGATAATTTATCTGAGTCGATTGCCTTGCCTGCCTACCTTATACCCTTGACACACTTACATCTTCTCTCACCCGTGTCAAGGATCAATCAGAGCTGTAGGAAAACCACGCACCTCGGTCTTTCTTCGTCTCTCTCCTTGTTCCGTCATTTTTCATCTCCCTCTCCCACATCGTCACAACTCACCGCAAGCTTCAAAACCCGCACCACAAACGTCACCATGGGTAAAACACAACCAAACCTTTTCGCATTTCGCAACGTTGACGCCCTCGCCCCGGCGCTGCGTTCTTATGTTATCCAGAGCCAAGCTGCCGGCATCGCCCGGCACGGCGCTTTCAAAGTGGGTGTATCTGGTGGTTCGCTCCCCAAGACGCTCGCCCAAGCCCTCCTGGCCCCCTCTTCGGGCCCCAACGATGTCGTCGATTTCAAGCGCTGGGAAATTTTCTTTGCAGATGAGCGCGCTGTGCCCCTCGACCACGAAGACTCCAACTACGCCCTTCTCAAGAAGGAACTTCTGGACAAGATCCCCGAGGACCAGAAGCCCACCGTGCACCCCATCGACACAGAACACTTGAACGACCTGCAAGAACTTGCCGACCAGTACGAGAAGACACTCGTTGCCAGCTTCGCCAGCCGCGACTCGGTCCGTCTGCCTATCTTCGACCTCCTCCTCCTCGGCTGCGGACCCGACGGACACACCTGCTCTCTTTTCCCTGGCCATGAACTGCTCCGTGAAGTCGACGCCTGGGTTGCTCCCATTGAAGACTCCCCTAAGCCTCCTCCCAAGCGCATCACCCTCACTCTTCCAGTCGTCAACCACTCCGTTCGTGTCGCGTTCGTCGCTACTGGCGGCGGCAAGAAGGATATCATGAAGCAGATCTTCGATACCGACGGTGGTCTGCCTTGCACTCTTGTCAACGAGGGTACTGGTGAACGCTGCAGTTGGTTCGTCGACGAGCCTGCTGTCGAGGGCGTCAGCTTTCCGCGAAGGGCTTTCCTCTGATACCATCACCCAAGCTAGCTTTAATAACAAGCACCTCTACCCAGTCTTTGAGCTTGAGCCTGACTCACCATAGCATGCAAACCACATCAACGTGCTGTCGCACTAGATGGAGTCTGGCATCGTGCGAAAATCGCAGGGGAGCTGGATGCTCAGCTTCCAATTCATCATTCCTTTTAACATCCCTCACGATATTGGGAGGACTTAAAATACTATAAGACGCATCAAATCTCCCAATCGGCAAGGATATAGACGGCAATTCTATATCGCATCCGGTCCTGATCGATGAACCCCTAAGTACCATTTATGACTGCTATATCCCAACGATGATACTTCGTTTTTGCGTGGGCATCATTTAGAGGCGTTTGTTTTGAGGTAGGGAATTTCCCAAATGCTATGACACCGAAAACCAAAGTAAAAAAAATTCCAAACAAATTTCAACAACATGGTTTCGAGTTAGAGAAGAAGGGTTTGAAAGAATTGTGGTTGATTTACCAATGTCCGTTTTAACTTGATATCCGATCGATCTAGGCCAGTACGCACAAGAGATAGAGGGCCCATTCTGCTGGTCATGTTCTCGTTTCGAGGCCAACTGACATAGCTAGAGCAGCTCAGTCCCAAATATGATTAAAAATGAGTCTATATGTAAAATGGAGAAAGTGCATCATCTGCTATGATGTCGCTGATCTAGGTGATATGCCGTTTATCTGATGTCCAAAACTCGCGCGCGGAACATTGTAAACTTGAACAATGTCTTACACGGCTCTCCAAACTGCTCCGGCTCTTGGGGTATCTTCCATTTCATCGTCGTCTCGGTTCATTCTCTCAATCCACTCATCTTCACGCGCAAGCGCATCCCGCTCAATATCGTCCATGACTGCCAGTTCAGTCAGCATGCCCTGCACGAGCTCCCTTGACCCTTCTACCATGCGTTGCAGACTTGATTGATCTTTGGATTCTCCCTCTTGGTCATCACGGGCAAAATCTCCCAATTGATCGAGCTGTCGCTTTATGGTATCCAGTCGTCGTACCAAGCCAGCGCATTCGTCCTTCCATGCAGAATCAAGTTCGCCAATAAACAGCACGTCGTTCTCCTGAATTAGAGCTCCGCCTGCACGTCTCGCTTCTTCGATTTCGCACATGCGATCAACCCATCGTTCAAATCGCCTTACAACCCTAGCATAACGACCACCGGGTTCCTCCAGCGCCCATAGACCAGCTATGGCTGCATCTAGGATTTGTATGCGCTCTTCCAGGCCACCGCCAACAGCCCACTTACGGAGTGCCAGGATGTTCTCCCTCTCAACCTCTGCCTTCTCCTGGTCATCGATCTGTTTGCTCGCGCTAGCAAGCTCTGAAAATCGCTCCCCAAGTTTGCGCTGGGCACTAGCCCTCCAGGTAGCATCAACGGTCGGTGCATCTCGATGCAAAAGATGAAGTTGCAGAAGCTCGGTTTGCAACCGACTTGTCTCGGCGGATGCAGCGACGTTGGCCGGAAGTTTGGACGGCGATGGCGGAGCGAGGAATGTTGATGTCAGTGGTTTGGGCGCAGACGACTTGGCTGGTGAGTAGTGTTGCTGGAGAGTTGAGAAGGCCGGGCGAAGGCGTGGTGCGGCGCCTGAGAGCTTCTCGTTGGTGGAAGTTGTCGACGACCGAGTAGGACGGGTGGTCGTTGTGGTAGTGGTGCTGCTAGCTGACGAGCCAGAAGAAGGAGGTCTCAAGACTGGCGCATTTCTCAAGCCAGTAGCAGTACTCTTTGCGCGCGTATGTGTAGGGGCAGGTGCCTTTCTAGTTGTTTGAGTCGGGCCATCTGCTGAGGTCGGTCTCACCGCTGGTCGAGGTCTTGTAGTCGTGGTTGAAGGGGGATATCGAGTTTCCCTCTTCGCAGGCTCAGATGTTACTGGTTTAGCAGGCTGTCGAACAGACGTCGCCCTGGAGAGTCCTGTGGTTGTTCCATTTCTCAATGTTCTCGCATTGCTAGAAGTCGTCGCACTTCGAGTCAAGGGCTTTACAGGAAGGCGACTCGGTGAACCGTCTGGGGCGTTCGCATTAGCAGTAGCAGTGGTTGTGGTGGAAGAAGCAGGTTTTCGAAGGGATCGTGAGCGTTGTAGCGTGGACATAGTGATACCCGTCACAGTCTGTCGCACGATGGATTAAACGGGTTCGGGATTGATAGTATCAAGTGAATGTTTATTGTGATGAAGCTTGGGGAAATCAGGGTCGCTTGGGCTACCGATACGGTAAGAAAGTGGGCCTGCCCTGAGGAAGCTTCCGTTAGCCGGAACACGGTGAGTGGACGGCTACCCTGAGCCAAGGACCAGGTGGAGGCTGGCGGTGCTTCACTAGCGGACTTGGTGAGCCTCTAGTTACAGTGGAAGTTAACTTGAACGCACGCGTGGAGTTATTAGACAAAACCTATCTGAATTCAAACCTAAGCATGGATATCAAGGAATGCTGCTCTTGCATAAGAACTTGCGTTAGTTGAGTTTTAAACTACCAAAGGCCATGGGAGTGAAAAAGCAGTCCACATAGTAGAATCTGTGCACACGAGTCCTGCTTTGACCACCTCTCGTGGGCATCAACATTACACATTCATATCAGTCTAAATACTCGTCGAGTTGAGTCTGGGCCTGTATCTTCGGCAATTCATTTCTTATATCGAGGTATTTTTTCATCATTGATAAGTAGCTAATCAAGCTGTCCCTTCTAGGTCAGCGCATTAACATCCGTAGTATCACATTGCCTCAGCGAAGCAGCAAACATGAGTCCATTTTCCTTTTCGACATCACCAGATCATACCAACAAAAATGGACAATATGTCCTCATCTTCCCCATATTCCCCGAGCTCGTAAACATGCTGCTGCTAGCAAATGCGGTATCGTTCAGGTCGCGATAAACGACATCATCCCATACTGTCTATGTTTTCCTCCTGGCCTACCTTCCCATGACCTTTTCGTATATAATACATGCAATGTGTCACTATGATCAAACCTGCGAGGAGAATCTATACGTAACAAAGGAAAGAGCATGAATAAGTGCGGTTAATGTGGCGCTGAGATAAAATGGTAATGATGGAAGAATATTAAGAGACAATTTCGTCGCAACGCCCGTGGGGATTCGATTATGATGTGAGTTGTGGGTGGCCGACCAGTCGGCGCAGGTCATTGCCACTATTGTTAAGCTTCTTGACGCAGTGCTCGCATATTCGTAGATGACAAAAACTGCAAGTCCATCTATCTTCAACATCCGACTTGTCGCACGTTTGACAAGTCAATGGATAATATCTGTTGGTCCGGCGGTTCATCGTCTTATGGCCATGGTAGCAATTGAAATGAGACTTTTTCAGCGGCGGCGCCTTGAAGATGGTACCCTCCGGTATAGGTGACTCGGACTGTTTGGGGAAGTAGGCCGCGCGCGGGTCGGGTTCCTGCAGTACCTTCATCTCAGGATACAGGGTACCATCTCTGCCTCTGTAAAGGGGTCCCTGAGACTCGGATGGCACCAGTCTCGGATCGTGTTCAACTGCTGACTGTCGTGGCGGGGCATTCGACCTTACGGATGAATGTCGTGGTGGGAATCGATTTGAAACTTCCGTAGGAGGCTGGACTTGGTGAACAGCGGTGTCACTGCCAGAGGATCCTCGACTTCCCCTTGAATCGGTGACCGAAGGTGGTAACGATGCCGCCTCTGGCGATACAGAAACCAGCTTGTCCTCCGAAGGGCTCGGTAGCCTAGGGACCTGCACAGCCTTACGTGTGATGCTACCAGTACTTCTTAGGTGTTCTTGGGTTTGTGCCTGAGGAAATATACTTGTGGCGTCAGTTGGAATTTCTGGAGACACCTGCGCAGCGGGTTCTGGTGATGAAGCGGGCGACAAAGGCGAAACAAAAGAATCAACAACGGGGGTCTTGATATCTTCCTTCTGATACTCAGGCGTGGGAGGGCGATTTGCCCCAGGTCGTGGCGTTGAAGGAGACTTGCTTGTGTCACCCGATGATTTCCCCCTTCGATGAAGATGGAGTTTCCCTTTAAGACGGTTCAGTTTGGAACTATTGATCCCCATGGTCGGGGTGTCGGGCACCTGCTCAGCGGCTGGCGACGTTTGGGAGTCCTGACCAGCAGGAGCTATGGGGTTGGTGCTGCCAGGCTGCCAGTTTGGTATTGTGGAAATTTTAGGTCCGTTTGAAGAAAGCTGCTGTTGAACATGTGGTGGTGCGACAACTGGCTGCGTTGCAGCGGTCGACCCGTGGCTAGCAACAAGCTTCAGGTCGGGAAGCTCAAGGCTCCGCTCGGCCTTTGACGACCGACGACGCCAAAGCTGAGGTTGAGGCTGCTGCTGGGAAGAAGGCGACGACGCTGAGTTCAGTTCAGACAGCTTGTTCTCTGGGACTGGTTTTCGAACAGGAGCAGGCGTGGCTGGAAGGTGATATTTAGTGTCCTTAGAGGGAAGTGGGGGTGGCCGAGTGTGGTTGGCGGGCAGCTTCTGGGCAACATATTGTTGCGGTTGTTGCTGTTGATAATGATGCTGTTGTTGCTGGGCGGAAGGACTAATAAACGTGCCAGTGTTGGTGTTGGCGGGTGGAGCTTGGTGGCTCGGTGATGAGATTGCCTCACTCCGACGAACACTGTCGTTAGCTTCGTAAGGCGACCTGACAAGGGATTCGCCGGACGAGCGTGAATATGCCGACAGAATACTCGATAGTGATTCCGAAGGTGACGGGGGAATCTGTGATGAGTTTGGCTGCTGCGGCTCTTTCTGAGGTAGTGGTGGTGGGTTTGCAGGCAGCTTCCCAATGGGCCGGCGTGGAATAGCCATTTTCGGCGGACCAGATGGAGGGGAATCAACCGCAAGCAGATGTAACGGCGGCAGTGATGGAGGTAACGGCTTCGCGTTGGCTATACTAGTCGAGCGCGGCGGAGGTGGTGGAAGCTCTTTGGCGGGAGGTAGACGAGGGGAAGGTTCCTCATAATAATCGTCATAAAAACTTGGATCGTCAGGACCAGGGACATCCGGAAGGGCTTTCGACCAGCGAGATGAGCCAGTTTTAGGCGGTTGCAGAGAATTTGTATTCAACATGGTAGCCATGACGAAACGGAAGCTGTCGTGTCAACCTTGGACGACAGACTAGGAGCAGGAGTAAGGGGGATGCTGTTTAACTTGAGGCAAGATAAAACAGGTGAAACCAGGGACGCGACAGCACAGCAATGCAATGCAAAGGCTGGTAAAGCGTATGAAATGCCGGGCCCTGGAATCCTTTTGATAATATGGAAGGGGATCACGGGAAAGCCGCCCCTCGAGGGAGCTTACAGGTAGATTCAAACCAAATTCAAGTGGGGGGAGGGAGACAGAAGAGACAACTCAACGAGTGAAACCGGCAAAGAATGGATCTTGAGGTTGATATTGAATCAAGTGGGACGAGCTGTGAATGAGAGTACACAAGTGCAATCAATGCGCGATGTAAGGTGGATAGAAGGAAATGAAACAGTGACAGTTAATGGAGAACAAGTGGATGATGATGGATGAAGAAAATCGTCGAAACAGATAAAAAGAAAACAGTGGAAGGAAACAAGATCAGATCGTGGGAGAAAAGAAAAGAAGGAGGCCTCGAGTCGATCCTTCTCGTTCTTGGTTCATGTCCTGCCCTGTTTACGAGCATCTCTTCCTCGGGCCCTCTACAAAGCTGTCTAGGGTTTCATCGAAAACACACCAACGCCGTCTTCAACCGGGGCAATCTCTTAACCAAGCCGTTGGGACTTGGACTTGGACTTGGACTTGCGCGTTAGCATCATGCAAAGCAAGCAAAACTGCATGGGCAATCTCACAATGTACAGTACTTGGCTCATGCCTCGGGATGGGCGGAGGGAGGCTTGGTGTGTCTTATGCAGTCTCTCTGGCCACCCAGGCTCAAGTTCTCAACCTCTTGGGGAACCATGGCATTGCTGCGTGTGGCTCGTCGGGTTCTGGCACATAGCGTCCGGAAGCAGGGGACCTGGGGACAGAGACCAAGGCAGCTGAAACAACCAGTAGATTTGATCTCCAGTCACTCCTGGGCGGGGAATTCAGATTCACTGCAGCTGAATCCACGTCACTACTCACCCCTGCATGTATTGAACTAGATTCAACGGCATTCAATTCAATTCGGATGAAAAACTCAATCGGGTGATTTTACCACCAAGAATTCAATGGTATCAATTAGTTCAATGTTTGTTTCTGTTAGAGTTTAATGACTTCCTATTATAATTGTGATAAGTTACATATGCATAACACTCATCAACTCAGTCTTACAAATGTCTCTCAATATGTATTGATACGGATACTTGCAGCACTTCCTCGTGGCCCTTTCGTAAGTAATATGCACAAGGTGTTGCTTTTTTCCTTCATCTCGTCTCACCATCCACCTGCTCTTGTTTGCTGTCCAGGAAGAGTACAGTCAATACCCAAGGTTATGTCAACCTGACTCAGACATTGAAAGGTTGTCTTTTGCCTTTGTCTTTCTCTCCCTCCTCCGAAATATGCCACAATATTTTTATATCTCATTCTTGAACTCTAACATATGCTTCATTTACTTATACGAGTCTCAAAAACCCTCACATTTGCAGCAGAACGCCACAGTTCAACTGCCCGATCATGCCGATGTATGTATGTATGTATGTATGTACTGTACTTTACCGACCCTTGCAATTGATCGCCCAACGCGTCACGTCTCTCCCCTGTCTGTGTACACTCGGGGCGATCGATCCTCCGGAGCCTAAGCATCTCCACAGGTAATTTGAAGCTGCAGAATGGCAATCCACCATCTGTGATCCTGTAATGTTGAAATGTCGTCCAGAACTGCCAGATTTTGTTTTTCTCGAATCAGTCAGCACGATGTAACCAGCGGCGGGGAAATGGCTATGACGAGACCTTGTCTCTATTCTATAACGCGTTTGGCATTAGTTAGTGATGCTCACTGAGATTTGGCCCGCATTCGTCTCTGACCCGGTAATCTTGGCAGAGTCAGCGACCAGCCAGGCGGTCCAGATAAAAACCGGGACACTTTTACCTGTAATTCACTGCTTAAGTCTCCCGATTTTTATCTGACCCACCTGCCAGCCCCTGTCTTGTCAAAATTGGTCGCATGTTCCATGTTTCAGATCAATCCCATGTGAACGAACCCGTGCAGCCACATAGCGTAGATGATGCGAACAGCACAAACGTTACGTCAATGAACGAGGATGTATGCATAAACTTGCAATAATAGGGAAACCGATGTGTTGTACAAGGTATTGCATCATTACATGCTGAATGGCCATTGGCCTCGACGTTGTTTCTAATGATTCAATGCTTAAGTTCTTTTTCTTGTTCATTCATAGCACGTTTTATGCACTCGCTCTTGTGGCAGGAACGTCATCGAATTTATCAGTCGTGAACAGTGGTTGATCTTGAAATTCCTGCTTAATTACATTTGACTACTCCCCCAGGCCTAGCATAACAGTGGCATAAGTCGCTGACACTGAACATACGAGTGTCTGACAGGTGAGAATGATGACATTAGCCCTCAGTCTAAAAGTTTCATCTTGTGGGAATACGAACTAAACAATAGGTTTAATACAGGATGGAAGAAAAAAAGCTGAAAGTCGCTGAGTGCTTCACAAGGACAAATTAGTTACACGAAGGAGGATTCAATATCATTTGAGATACAAATGCTCCTTTTTTTCGAGGAGCTTCACTTGTTATCATAGATCGTCTTCCTATAATGATATCAGTTTCTCCAATGATGCTGTCTGATGGCTGCTTGAATCTGACTGTGACTTTAGATCCAACCCATAAGTAAGGCCAATATCTTATTTGCAGCATCGCCACGTCGAGAGATTGCTAAATACTCTGACCTCCCCCAACTTCTCGACCTGAAAAACGCCTCGCCAGTGAATATCAGACGGTAGTATTACGGTATCCTGTGCTCCCGTTTTACTCAGATTTTATCAAGGGAAGAGATATGAACAGCAGTTTGAGCTCAGAGAGCCCATCAGAGGGTTCCCCCCTTCTTGAAGATCGTAATCATTACGAAGCACCAAGAAACATCGAAAACGAACAGGCATCAGATGGCTATACTCCCAAAGCACTATACAGTGACAAGAAGTTGCATCTCCTGATCGCAGCTGTCGGAATTGGTGTAAGGAGTATCCCCAAAGGCCTTTACACATGTCACGGGCTTTTGCTCACAAAATCTTCAAGGTCTACCTCGCTGCCGCCGATCAACTTTTAACAGTTGCAACTTATGCCAAGATTGGTAACGAACTAAATGCCTTGAACAATACCAGTTGGATTGCTACAGCGTGAGTCAAAGAGCACGGCAGATGTATAGACCCGACTAATAGTCGATCAGATACTTCCTAACCTTGACAAGTTCACAACCTCTCTACGGTAAACTGAGCGACATATTTGGCCGTAAACCATGCCTGCTCTTTGCCTACATTGTCTTTTCTCTGGGCTGTCTGGGTTGTGGTCTTGCCCAGGGTATGGCCCAACTATGTGCTGCGCGAGCCGTGGCAGGTATCGGCGGAGGAGGCATGAACTCTGTTGTCGCCATCCTTCTGAGTGATCTCGTACCGCTCAAGGATCGTGGTGTGTGGCAAGGCAAGATCAGCATTCTTTTCTTCGCTGGGACTGCTACTGGAGCTCCCCTTGGAGGGATTTTAGCTGATTCAGTCGGCTGGCGATGGTGAGTCTGGCGTAGCATGTTGAACCAGACACATCTAATCGCTCTTTAGGTCGTTTCTTGGCCAAGTCCCGTTGTGCTTCCTTGCTTTCATAGCCGTCTATATCGTCCTCGATCTTCCACCTGTTGAACACGATCACTGGCTTGCCAAGGTCCGCAAGATTGACTTTCTCGGCGCTTTCACTCTCGTGGCGGCTGTGGTTGCTCTCCTCCTTGGTCTGGATTCTGGCTCTAACCTCGGGTGGTCACATATCATGACTGTCGTCGCCCTATCTTCAACTCCAGTTCTGTTTGCCTTTTTTCTTTTGATCGAAATCAACGTGGCTTCTCATCCATTTGCGCCCGGCCACATAATATTTGATCGTAGCTTATTCGCCTGCTATGGGGTGGGTTTCTTCTCAGGGGCGGGACAGACATCGACTATCTTCTTTTTACCTCTCATCCTTCAAGCTGTTCAGGGCCTAGGTGCTACTCAGAGTGGTTCCTTGCTTGTCCCAGGCATGATTGCAGGTGTCGCAGGTTCAATTCTAGGTGGCTGGATCATCAAAAGAACAGAAAAGTTCTACGCCGTAACGTTATCGGCTTACGCACTCGTCTTCGTTTCAGTCATTCCCATGGGAATGTTCGTCTGGCTCCGTTCAACCGCCGGAGAGACTATTGGCCTTACTATTATGTCATTCGGAGCCGGTTGTGGTATGATAAAAGCTATTATTGGTATACTCTGAGATCTACCTTGCTAACAGTGTTTAGCTTTTGTGACAACGCTTATTGGTCTGCTCGCAAATGCTGCAGCTGAAGACACTGCTGTCGTTGTAGCGTGCTCATATCTCTTCCGATCCCTCGGCGCTAGCATAGGTATCAGCACTGGATCTGCTGTACTTCAGCAAGTTCTTCGAATACAGTTGGCAGCTCGGCTCCCCCACGGGGAAGAAGCGCGTAAGATCGAGGAGAAAGTCCGCCAGAGTCTTGACTATATCAAAGAACTACCGCCTCATTTGGCAGATCAGGTTCGGTCGAGTTACCAAATCGCAGGGATTTCATCACTTGCTTTGATTTCTATTTACCTTGTGGTGTCATTTTTGTTGGCGTTCTGGATTAAGGAGAAACCTCTGAGGAGATAGACGATACTAGAGCTGCATCGAGCATACATCAACTTGCATCGGGAGTTGAGTTGAAGGGTGAGTCACTTTTATAGTATTAGAAAGAAGAATGGAATAACATAATGGAAATTGTCACCATTTCCATGAAAACTCCCCTCTTCGGTTCACCTTGTGTTAACTCATCAGCCTAATGCAAGGTACACCCGTGAACCCCGCACTCATCGGCCGATCATTCTCCACCTCGGGCACTTGTTAAACCATCTCAATGAGATCTCAGAGACAAAGAATAGGAATCAGAGGTTTATTTTCCTTGTGCTTTGACTAGACTGACTATTGGAGGATAGCTTTGTCCATTTATATAGTACTCTTCTACTAAAATCATTGTGATTAAAATGATTTCCCCTTCCTTATTATTTTCCTTACAAACCTGCAGAAAGGTATACTATACCTACTACTAACCGTCTCACCATTTCAAAAGCTCCTCTATTAGATATAGCTTCTCTTTATGACTCTTCTTTTCCTGAGCCTCCAATTCTTTTGCCTTTAATCCTTAATGTGACGAAACTCGCCTAAGTGTGCATGCCTGAAAGAAGATAATAGTACACGTGTAGCGAGCATGACTACATTCGTGCGTATGATCTGTGAGGAACCACACGCTATCGAAAGGGGAGATTGATAATACATCGGAGGCCGCAGTGAACTATAAGTATGTATATGAGCTTGTTGTGTTATTGTTTGCATTTTTAAGCAGAACTTTGGTTTCTCATTGGTCTTGGACTTCGAGGTCTCTTTTACGCTTCGATGGAGGCTCGATTAAGTGTGTTCAAAGGCAACGAGATGTATGTGATGAGATGCTTACGAAACTTTCTGACAGTATCAGAAGTTTTCTTTTGATGTTTCTAGACAAGGAATGCATGATACTGGTTGAGCTCAGATGCCTTTATGGCCCTCCATCAGCAACAGAAAAAAGACGTCCAGGAGAGAAGTCTCTAGTAGGTCTTGGGCATGGCCCATGCGATAACAAAGTAGTTCATGCTTTGCGGGCTCTACAGTATAATAGAGTCCAAAGAAGCTCAAAGGGGGACCATAAGGTGTATAGAGACAGCCATGAAGAAGCATTGAGATCTAGTTCAGAGCGAGTTTGCCGCTTTCGAAAGGTGACCAAGATATCAAGACACTTAAATGCAATCTAGGGCGGTGAAAAGCCAGAAGGAGCGGAGTTCTCGTCTAATATGAATCACGCCCTAGTTCAATGGCGAGGTGATAATGCAAAGATTTGGCTGTTGCCTTGCCGGCGCATTCAAGAAATTGACCCTCAAAAGCCCATTGTGTATCTAACATGAGAACTGTAAGACGGAATGCATGGAATTGAGGTGATGGAGAAAGACGTGCGCCAAAACTTTACGTTCTGTGTTCGTAATGATAGTTATGACGACTGAAATCACGAACCAAGCCAAATTATGGATAGAATCACAATTATGTTGCTTAAGCATCCGCTTTGTACAAATAAAGGCCTGTTCTCGAGTCACTACATTATGGCGTACATGAGGCTAAGTAAATGGGAGATTATGAGAATGGTATCTCGCTTCAACTCCCATGATGTTGTCATGCTTGAGATCGAGATGGGAACTCTTCATGTGGGAGCTTTACAAACGATAAATATGTAAAGAGAAAGGATATCGACGTTGAGAGAATCAACTCTTCCCACAGCTCGTGATTTGATAAGTTATGTGTGTAATGTCTCATCTCGCTCTGTGCTTGAGCCACCTCTATGAAATTGCCCAGCTTTGTTATTTCAAAGGGACGACCAGATACAGATTTGTAAGTCCAGATCATATACAAACTAGCGGGCTGTCATCACAGCATCAATCCTGTTTCCGCATGCTGTTGACTTCCATCTAGATAACAAGCCAGCAGGTTTATGTGAAAACCTGTCTTCGCTTGGCAACATATTCTCAAACGGCTAATCATTCACGCATCGACCTGGTGGAATTCATCATGACATATCCTGGAGACAAATGTCCCATTAACCAAAAGTATACCTTAGAACGTTGGCCTCAATTGGCGAGGAAAACTGTTCTTTCACACTCAAGTTTGGAACAAATATTTGCATCTATCATTGTAAAGTATCATGAAACAGTCAGCCTTCAATGCTGCTTAAACACCCCTGAAACGCCAATTCTCCTGTGGGTATATACAGTCGTGGAGGTTGGGACCAAATAGTCTTCTTCTCGTGCAAGTCTCACAAGACTCTCCTTGTCAATGAAACATTCTCATTCCCTCCCCTTTTCACTGTTCGCGCTGCCACCTGGGCTCCGACAGGTCGGCTTCTTGTGGAACAACTAGGCCATCAATGCTCTCGCGAGGAGTGTTGCCCAAAAGAGCCTCGCGATCCTTCTTTTCCTTTTCTGTCTTGGATTCCTTGCCAGCTGTTGTGTCGTCATCCTCCTCAGGTACAGCTACGAGACCTCGGTCGCTCGTCCAGCTCGCTGCTCGACCGCTACTGGCGCCCCTTGGACGAGTTGGTGTAAGTGTTGCTCCAGAGTCTTGAGCCTCGCCCTGAGCTCCAGCGTAACTGAAGTCTCCGCTGCCAATGCGTTCTTTCGTGGCGGAGCCGCGACGTGCTACATAGTCATCGAATTGAGTGTCACGCTTGTGTGAATAGACGCTTGGTGTTCGCTGGACGGTGCCCATCTCAACAGATTCACGCTTTGAGATGATGCTAGCTCGCGACGATGTTGAAGAAAAGCGCTTGTCGGTAGACTGTCGAGCGTATGAAGTATCACGCTCAAGGTCGTCGTTGAAACCATAAGGCTTGACGTTGACAGGGTGTGTATAATCGTCGTAAGCAGAAAGGCGACGGTATCTTCGCACGGAGTAGAAGACCAGGACGAGTGAGGTGATGCTAAAGTAGCGCCAGTCAGTACAAGTCGTGTTCAGGTTAGATACCGGGAACTTACATAAAAGCACAGTCTAACCCAAGAGCGACGAGGGAGTAGTGCTTGTCGTGTTTCTCGGTGTAGACAACTATATCAAGCGCGAGAGTGGCGATCGCGCAGGTCAACTTTATGACGTGTGTGAAGAGCATGGTCCACGGAGTTAAGGCCTCCGCGAAGTATTTGGCGATTTCGACGAAACTGCATAGAGATGCAACGAACCATAGAGCTACATTTGTAGCCTCCCACCTATTCACAGTCAGTAAAACTGCTGCATCGGATCAGGCATTGGGCTTTCTCTGGACTTACACAATCTCGATTGTAGGATCGTCGTTCTTCTTGTCATTGTCCTTATTCACCTTCATGCTATCGCCCAATCTGTAGGCGAAAAGTCCCATCATAGACATAGACAAGCCTAGCTGAAGAGCCCAGGTAGGGATCATAACCATTGGGCGCCATTTTGCCCGATCGAATTGTGCCTGAGCACGATGGTTTCCATTGATGAGCATCGCGAGGGTGTCTTATTCTCTGTGCTCTTACGCTGCGGTGATTTCTGTTGGAACCGAAGCTCAGCAATTGGCTCGACAGAGTAGTTGTCCGTCTCTTCCAGAGTATTCCTGCTCAATGGTGATTGGTACTGGTTGGTCGTTTCTCATACAGAAGTTCTGTTGTCATCAACGTGTAATCGTAAGAATGCTCCTCTGGTCGCCGTCGGCCAGCGTGCGTTTTGTTCTTAGAGCATCTAGGTTTCTTAGCTTAAAGGATCATTCAGGCGTCAGCAAACATCCACCTCCCAAGGGGGTCAGCCTCTTATTTATTTATTGAACAACCTCTTCGGCGGGCAATGCCGCCTACAACTGTCTAGTCTCCCATGTCCCCGCAACTCAACTCAGCCCTCTTCGATATTCATGGCGCCAGGTCAGGGATAATGAGCCACCGCCTCCACTATTGTGCAGTTTACACTGGGGTTGCTCAACTGGAATTGGGCTTAGTGCTGATTGAGGGCTGCGGCTGAGAGTGCTGTTGTAGGTAGAGCTTTGCTGACGGAGTGAGAACGGTGACAGCTCAGAGGTCGAGGGACTTTGCGACCCCCAAGTCAGGGCTAGTAATTTGCTGGATTGGCAGGGTGAATAAAGAGAGGCTCAGTGGTTTCGGACTCTTTGCGAGTTGATTATGGGGGAGTTGTTCACGAAGACGTAGTCTACAATTCAGTTGGGAGGAAATGGACAGTCTCAAACTCAACTCAGCTGGGCTTGTCAGCCTCAAGCCATCAAAACGGGCGAAAAGCTATTGCCCACAAACTGCCTGGCTAAGAGCTGGCCTAGCCAAAACTCAACGGCCCCTAGGGCATTGATTTGATGAAAGGATCTGCTCCATATTGGCGCCATGGTTAAGCGCGAGGCTGCGCAGCACCCCTAGGGCTTGAGGAAGAGGCATTTTTGTCATTCATCTCATCTCATCAGGTCCAGGTTCTCGAAAGCGGCAAGGCTGACTTTGGGTTTCATCGGCGGGAAAAGCCAAGCTAATTAGGATGAACAACTCCACCCGTTCAGCCCTGTAAATAGAAACATGAGGATAGCTACCTAGACAAAAGACGATCTAACAACTAACAACCAATAACCACGATCAATCTTGCTAAAAGGTCAGAGTGAATTGAATCGTTGGAGCCCGCTTGGAGCAATGCCACATCTGCATAGTGGCATTCAGGCGTCAGGGTTTGAGAAGCAGAGCAGAGAGTGGCGGTAGCTTCAAGGTGCGACGAGTGGGGGCCGAAAGGAGCCTAGACAGGAGGTTGGTCTGATGTTGCTGTGTACGGATTGTTATTTGTCGGTCAACATAAGAACGGAACGGAGTTGAACTATCTCCGCTGCTTAGACTATCGTTGGTACGTAGCCCGCAGGAGTGAGATCATGGGTTGCCGAGAATAGATTCCTTTCTCGGTTGATGTCGTCAAAATCTAGGAACATCACCTTGGCTGCACACGTTTTGAAACTGCGCCTCGATCCTCTACCAACAACATGGTTTCTTATGGTTATTGAAAAACAAACCCAGACACAGCTTCGGCCATTTGGCCACAAAGTGACTGACTCCCCCAATCTATGGGGTCTTATAGACTCGCATGGTAACTAATATACTACCGAAGTAAAGAGTGTGTTTGTAGTGACATGGTGGTTGCACCAAGTTTTCAAGGGTCCACAAGGTTGATCGGAGGTGTCGATGACACCTAGAATGCAAGTCACAGCATGTTTCTGCTTGATAGAGATACTGAAGGTCTGGGCAGAATAGCAACAGAAGCTCATTGTCTATCTCCAGACATCCGTTCGCCTTTCCAGCTGAGTAAACACAAGGGCCCTACGCTCCAGGAATTGACAAACCCTTCACTTCTGTCTTCAACATTCAAGCATGAAATATTTCAACTATTTTGGTATCCATTGTGGACTCCCATGGTCCCCACCTAGTATCCATAGAAAAGGCTATGACAGGACAGCTCGCACTGAAACCTCTCGCACTGGTGACTTGTCTGATGCTGACAGCTCTCATGAGCAGGGGCCGTAGTAGCGAGATTGGAGAACGTAAACAAATACATGGGAAGGATCCTTTTGTTAGTGATCAGGCTCGAATGTCAACGCTGGCTAGGCAGAACCCTTTCGGGATGACTGCATCAAAGAACATGCACTCCAAAAGAGGACCATGATGATGATTATGATTATGATTCCACAAAAGGCCCAGCCTTATGACGTGAGCGGTGCTCCCAGCTCTCGCACCTTATCTCCTATTCTGTACAAGCCAAGTCCAAGCACTACAATTATTGTTGTCTTTTGTCTGTTTCCTCAGCCCCTGGGCTTCTGCTTCAAAGAGGCATCCGTCAGTGACTTCATTATGGGTTCCAACTCTGCAGTTTCTCTGATTATTGCTTCTGCTGCTGCTTCTGCTTCTCCTGAGAAACCGCGCGCCTCTTGCGAGAGATGTCTCGCTTCCTCTGGGCGAGGTCTCTCTTCTTCTGCTCGAGATCTCGCTTCTTAGCTGGCTGGACGACGCCGGCTGTGTCGAATGGCACAACGACTCCATCTGCGTTTGTCATGGCCGGAACATTGACATCGACTCGGCGGACTGATGATAGTCAGCCAACACTAATGTCTCTTGGGAAGGCAACCGTTTACTTACCAAGTGAAGCTGAAGAAGCCGAGACAAGGGCGACCAAGGTGAAGATAGAGAAACGCATCTTGACTGATATGAGTTGCAAATGGGCTTTGGTGGGAACAATAATTAATATGTCGGCCTGCGACGAGAAGAAACTTGAAAGAGAGTAGTGAAGAGTGGTAAACAACGACTAATGTGGGATGCACAGCATGAGGACTTCTTCACTTGACGAGAAAGGACACGACTACTTATACAACAGCATACATCTTCTCATTGCTATGAGCTTGCGTAAGTGTTTATGGGGTTGCAGAACTCGAGACGGTTCCGAGACGTGTTTGAGATGTTCTGCCAAGGGAGTCAAACGTAGATCTGCTCGGAACTTTGAAGAAGCGTACACATAAATAGAGCTGTAGCCTGGCAACGATATCGGATTCTGTTTGAATATTGCAACTCAATCGGCATTTGAGATGAATCATCCTCACAGCTCCATAGTCGTAACTGAAACATTACCCGGAGTCTGTAACTCTGGGGTGACGATCAAACTAGCGGTACTTGACCATCCGGTAACAGGGTGATACTCGGATCGGTATCAGGTTACAAGCGACACCTTGCCAAGTTCCCTAATGGCATAAAAGGGTATGTCGCTTCGGATCTCGTTAACTTTATCTCTTTTTACTGATTCATAATTCATCCCTAGCTTATCCCCGCCATGATGCCCGGTTGGGTGGTTACTTCTAGCGGGGCCGCCGCGGAATCGTGGGGGAATCCAATGAATGCGTGGGTATAGCATGGAAGCTTGCACCTCTAAGATAGAAAGAAGCCTTAGGAAAGCTTAAGCTTCATTTGGCAGCTCGGACTTTACAGATTCGATTTGTTTAGAAGGGAAGCCTAGCTCTAGTGTCCCAAACCCCTCCTCATGGCGCTGTTGGCCGAATTGTATTGGTCGTCTAGCTCTGTTGATTACTGCGTCGAGTAAAGTTCAGCCAGGTCCCACTGAACCATCAACAGAACTACCCCTCCATCAGATGCATCTCTCCATTTCAAGGTCACTCACCTTCGCTCTCCAACCTCTCCTCCTACTCTTGCTCTTCGACTTCCCGTTTAGTTACCTCTACGTCTGACAAGATCCTATCGTTCATGCTGTCGCTGGGAGGCATACTCACTCACCGATTCTACTTCCTTCTCTCTTCTCAGTCGCCGTATCTCTGATAAGTCTCCTGACCTCTCTCAGCAGCTCTATCGTCCATTCTACACCCGATGGCTACCAGAGATCACTGCCTACTATGCTTTGAGGCGCTAGAAGCCCATCTTACACATCGGAAAGCTCTGACTCTGGAAGAGATTCAAGAATATTCAGCCTCTGCCCCAGATTCAGAGCCTGTTGCTCCAAAGACCCTTGACGATCCCAGTCTTCGACATCTGGCGATCCCTGATGCCAGCGCTTCGTCTTCTTCCTCTTCGACCTCGCTCGGTGCTTCCACACCTGCCACGAGCACCTCTTCCCTCCCTATTCCCCCAACATCTGCCCCGCTATTCGTCACATGGAATACGATGGAGGATGGCGAGCCCGTGCTCCGCGGTTGTATCGGCACATTTGAAGCTCAAGATCTAGCTGAGGGTATTCCGGAGTACGCCCTTATCTCTGCCCTTCAAGACACTCGCTTCTCCCCAATCAGAAAGTCCGAATTACCTACACTCCAAGTCGCAGTCACACTCCTGACCGATTTTGAAGAAGTCGATGACATCTTCAACTGGGAAATTGGCGTTCACGGCATCCGACTCTCATTCTACGACCGCGGCCGCCGCTATGGCTCAACTTACCTCCCAGACGTAGCCTCCGAGCAGGGATGGACTAAAGAAGAAACACTTTTCAGTCTCATCCGCAAGGCGGGGTGGACTGGTAGTCGAGGACGCTGGAAAGACTTGGACCTCAAGGTCACACGCTACCAGGGCAAGAAAACTACTCTGGAGTACGCTGATTACAAGAAGTGGATTGATGAGGCGTGACGAGGTGGCTAGAGGGTAAGAAGACGCTTCTAGACATAGAGGCCCGGCGTTTATGGCAATGCAGATGTGATTATCGGTGACACATTTTCTCTCATATTTGCTCAAGAGGCAGAGCTGGGTTTGTAAGCATTCACATCTAACAGGCAGCTACAGACAATAAACCTCATGATTGATTTTTACTTGCAGGCTTGGGTGGCTATTCACAACGCGTATGTTGGTTTGGTGCATTTTCCGTGATTATGGAAAGTCACGATTTATAGCCTCCTTGTCATTTTCGATGACTCTTACTTCCAGAGCATACACTGACCATATTTGACGATCCTCTTCTGAAAAGCAAACTAGGCACCATCAGATATCCTACATGAAAGAGCATCAACCGGCTCAACATCTGGTTTCGATGAGACTCGTCTCCAGACCAGTGTCCTGGCGGCCCCAAGTTTACAAGCAGAATTCAACACCGCACCAAGCAGCAAAAAAGTGGTCAAGGTAAAATAGTATCATCAGTCCCGGCGGTGTTAGGACCAAGACAATAGCGCGCAGGCATAACTCCATGATGTCAGATGATGGAAGACATCCTTTCCCCAGAACAAACGCGTCCTCTGTAAAACGATAAAGATAAAAGTCCAAGCCCTTCGCCAAGACGCCGAGATATCCCTGGTATATAATGATTTTGAAGCCTTTTGAAACATTCCTCCCAACAAACCCACACAAACTCTCCCAGCATTTTGCTCATCCTGTTCTCACAATGCCGTTGCCCGACTTCACCAACATCGCAGGCTCTTCCAAAAGCCGTTATCCTTCTTCCCTCCCACTCTGTCGCCCTGAAGATTCGGTCCTCGCACTCCAACCGCGCGCTTCTCGGTGTCGCTATCAGTCGGAAGAGGTGTCAGCGGTTTCGTCATACCGCGGGCATTAAACTCTGCTGCGTCCGGACCTGTATCAGCAAGTCGTCGAGCCTCAACCACCCGGCGCACAACCAATGCGAACGTCTCTTCGATGTTGACTTCCAGCCGTGCACTCGTCTCCATGAATCCACATCCGCGCTTTCGGGCCCATTCAAGACCTTGAGCTGCAGGGACTTGTCTGCTCTCTTGCAGATCGCACTTGTTGCCGGCGACGAGCTTGACAGGAGGGATGGTGCGGGACCGCGTATCGTGACCTGAGCGCAAACCAGCACGGCGTGCGCGGTCAGCGTTATCAAGACGAGTTTCTGCCTCCATATCGATAAGTTCATTAAAATGCTGCAGGGCATCTAGGGAGTCTTTGGATGTGATATCGTAGACGAGGAGAAAAGCATCGGCGCCGAGGTTCGAGGAAGCCCACATGCCGCGGTACTCCTCCTGGCCAGCCGTGTCGGTAAGAGATAGATGGTAAGTAACACCATCGATGCGGCGCGTCACGCTATATGAGTCCTCGATAGTCGGGTCATAGTCTGAAGTCCATTGCGAGCGAACTAGGCGCAGTGTAATGGAGGACTTTCCGCATCCGCCGTCGCCGCAGATCGTGATAGATATAGGAACAGGTGTCTGTGTTGGAGCCGTCATGTCGGAGGCTGCGCTCAATCGTTTGTGAAACGAAAAGTGACCGTTAAAGAAAAAAGAAGATATTTGCCGTGTGCTTGTACTGTTGGTAGCCCAAGCGGGAGCTGTTGGGCGATCACAATAGGCACCGAAACGCGCCGCTTGTGGATCGGATGACAGGTAATTCTAGAATGATTCTAGGTGTGATCGCGTTGCCAAGGCCTTTTGGTGCAGTGGAGTTGTATTGTTAGAGGCGAGTTCTATTGTCTTTCGAGTCGAGTCAGGTATGATATCGTTTCGATCGTTATAGTCGTGTCTCGTCGCAATCGGGTGTGAGGTGTGTGCGTAAGCGCATGTGGTTGTATTATGATATGGAAGTGATGATCGATGCTGTAACGTAATGCAATGTGATGTGATGTGACGCTTCTTGGGGGTCCGAGTTTCTGGCCAGATAATGATAATGTGTAATGCTGAGGGCTCAGCCGGCAGTTCCCTTTGGGGTGAGTGAGTGAATGAAAGAGGGGCTTTTTTGTTCTGAGACAACCGAGTCCAGGGTGAGAAATATGACGAATGGTGTTTGAATTGGACGATAGATGATAGTCTAGAGAGAAACAGGTGCTGCTCCCTTTTGTCGTCCCTTGGGAGCCTGGTTTTGCTCGTCTTGTTACTTGCTTCCTCCAGAGTCAATGGAAGGTTGTCTGCTGCGATAGCCACGATATAGGACTGTATGGACGGTAAAGGGAATGACAGGATAGAGGAAACAAAGGGAAGTGAAAAGTGAAAGTGAAGAGAAAAAGTTTGCTTTTTTTCCCACGTACGTCTCTTGTCTTTTGCTTTTTCCTTCTCCTCTCAAAAGATACCAACCATGGCCGGCTGCCCCTTGTTCGTGGTGCGGAAAAACGGCTGAAGGTGCCGCGTTGAGTTGAGCTCTTAGTTCGTGCGATACGGGCTACTAAGAGCTGGAAACCTGGACTCAGAGCTGGATAGCGCCCGGGGGGACGGGGCAGATGGGGCACGACAGGGATGGAGACGTTTGTGGCGTTGGCCGGCGCAGGGGCAAAAGGTAAAAAAAAAGGCAGAGATGCATAAAAAATGTGTTGGCCTTGGGCATCAGCAAGTAATTGATGCTATGAACATTGGGCACTGGTTTATTCATGTGCTGCACATCTTTATCACATGCAAGGTACGAAACGGTTTATGATCTGCATATAACGATTGAAGGGTGAGTCTCGAGTCTCTATCCAAGCCAAGCAACCTCCAGTAACACGACCGCCACCAGCACACCATCCCAGAAAGCTGGTATGCTTGCGCGATGTGACAAGACAAGGGATATTAAAAGACCAGATAACAAGACAAGGGATATTAAAAGACCAGATATCAAAATTAGGGGCATTCATCAGTTCTTCACTCCGTCTCGGAGCTCCGTCCCCTTCCATCATCCCAACGCGTCAGCCATCTCGTAGGCGAGCTACTTGATCATCCAATGAATGTTGCAGCTGTCAATAAGCTTTTGAATAAAATCAGTAGCCAAGCACAAGGTTAGGCTTGGTCAGATCCCAACGGCGAAAATGTGGGGAGACTTGAAAACGAGGACGGGTTTTAATATCGCCCAGAGCTTATAGGGAGAAAGCTGAAGCCTGATGAAGGACAAGGACGGGGCGGACAATTGATCAGCAGAGATATTTCCTCGCTCGGAGCCTTCAAACTTGCGACTTCGGGGTCGCAATCGGGGTGGATAATAAACTCAGATGCAGATGCAAATGCAAGTGACAAGAGAGGTCAGGTCAAAGCTCAAGCTCATCACAGCCAAGAGTGGGAATAAGAATAAGCATGAGCATCAACATGCGCATGCGCAATGCAGACGACAACTATCTGTGGTTGCCGCTCCGTCCGTTATCGGTCTTGCAGACTTGCTTGGTGTTGCTCAACATCGCTCAGATCAGGTTGGAAGTCTGTCTACCTTTGGTATGAGCGATGTGACAGTGATAGTGAAAACCTTGCCAGAGGAAATTCCGGCCTGCCTTTTTGGTCTTCACTCTTCAGTGTCTACCATATGTATTTCTGAAAGCACAGTCACAGTCTCATCCCTCCCCCACGCACTGATGAACTCAACAGGCTCACCACGCTACCTCATCTCTTCTCGTTTCATGACAAGGTTTAGGTTCTCCTCCGTCGCCCGTAAATTGACTTCCGCGCACAGACGAGGCTGAGATATGAGTATGTACATGCCTATCATTAATATCAGGCGGATAGACTAGGTCGATTGTGTTTTGTAGAAGCATGGTTGAATCCTACACTCGGAGGGCTCGAGCCATCGTTCGAGTCCTATCTTGGCCACAGGTTGTTAGACAATGTCTCTCTTTTGTCAACGTAAATGTAACTAGTGAGTTTTCGTTCCCCCTGCCCCTCAGATACAGCTTCACAGTTAGACTGCAGTGGTTCGTTTGGCGGGCGCTTGACCCAAGGAATGGTGTCCTCCTGATCTTCATGTTTAAGACACAGATCTGAGACTCTATTCTCTTTCTTAGACCGATTGTCTCATATGAAAAGGGCAGCTGGCGTTGGTCCCCGACACTTGATGACACGATCACGGACAGCGAATTAACAGTCTGATAAGGTTATTGCCAAAATCAAGGTCAAGCAAGATGAAGTCGAAGAAAAAAAAAGAAGAAAAAAGAGATTGAGCAAGGGTTGAGTTGGACCAACTCGTTTCAGTTGAGCTGACAATAACCCCAGCTCCAGCCTCAAGACAAGGCTCTGCAAGCGAGAACGAGGAGCGAGAAGCAATTGAAACTTTTATCGTTCCCGGTCTTCCCCCTCTTCGTCTATCTTATCCTCAGCTTTCAGCCACTAACAGATAGCTGGAAATGTATCAAGTCGTGTCTATTCAAGCCTCGGTTGTTGGTATTTAGGACTTTGCCGCTCAAGAATGAACTTCTGACATGCTCGGGAAAGACTCGGTTGATCGGACGGGAAATCCCTCGCAGAAATAATCACAAGTCACGAGACATTGAGCCATTGTTGCCTTCAATGATGTATCCATCTCAAAGTTCTTAGATGGCTAGCTAAATTTTTTTTCTTTTCTCTTATTGTGCCTCATTTCTCAACTTTCTAGACCCGTATTGTACTTCATTGAAAGATAGTTAGATTTTCCCCAAGTTACTCATATTTCGATCTCTCACTTTTCTCATCCGATCCTAGCCGTCATGACTGTGACCAACGGCCGCAACGGGAACCCCTCCACAACCACCCTCCATAGGGCTGAAGAAGTGAACGATGTGAGACATGACACGAACTCAACCTCTGAGCTGATTGGTCGCTGACGTTACACCACCAGCTCATCGATGCTGTAAAGGGTCTCATTGTCCCTTACATCAAGGCTGCCGATGATGCCGCAGCAGAGCGTGCGACAGGGGATATTCCCCCCAGTTCAGCTGGTGTCAAAAACAATGTCCTGGTGGACTTTCAAAAACCACAGGAGCTTGCTCAACGACTCAAGTTTTCCTTGCCAAATTCGGGTCAAGGTAAGGAGGGGTTGTTGGAGATTATCCAGCAAGTTCTTCAGAACAGTGTCAATACTTGGGATCAGGGCTTCCTTGATAAGCTGTATGCAAGCACGAACGCAGTATGTCACAATATCCATGGCTTCATCAGTTGATCCGTTTTCTAAACCATGATAAATCAGGTCGGGGTGGTGTCAGACATGGTACTTTCGGTGCTAAACACCAATGTACGTTCCAGTCCCTGTGCACTATCAGTATAAGTATTTAACACCCTGTAGCTCCATGTCTTCCAAGTTTCTCCCGCCCTCACTATCATTGAGAAAACCACAGCAAAGACTCTGGCACACTTGTTTGGTTTCACTGGATCAAGAGCAGGGGGTATCTCCTGTCAGGGAGGAAGCGCCTCAAACTTGACTTCCCTGGTCGTTGCCCGGAACACCTTGTTCCCAGAATGCAGAGCTTCAGGCAATGGTAACCACGATTTCGTCGTCTTTACAAGTGCTCACGGGCATTACTCGGTTGAGAAGAGTGCCATGATCTGTGGTCTTGGTTCAAACAGCGTCTGGCCTGTTCCTGTGGATGAGTTTGGATGCATGAAGCCGGATGCCTTGAGAGAATTGGTCGTCCGTGCCAGGAATGAAGGCAAGACACCCTTTTATGTGAACTCGACGGCTGGAACCACTGTCATGGGCTCATATGAGCCGTTTGAGGAGATTTCCAAGATCTGCAAGGAGTTTGGCCTCTGGATGCATATCGATGCAAGCTGGGGAGGCCCTGCTATCTTCTCGTCGAAACAAAAGCACAAGCTCAATGGCGCCCATCTGGCCGATTCATTGACGGTGAACCCTCATAAGATGATGAACGTTCCCGTCACATGCTCGTTCCTCCTCGGACCAGATATGAACATTTTCAACAAGGCCAACAGCACCGCCGCAGGCTATTTGTTCCATACCAGCGATAGCGGTGATATCTGGGATCTTGCAGATCTAACCCTGCAGTGCGGTCGCCGCGGTGACAGTCTTAAGCTTGCTTTGGCCTGGATATACTATGGTGCTGCAGGTTTTGAGAAGCAGATCGACCACGCCTTTGAGCAGGCTGAATACCTTGCCAATTTCATCAAACAGAGTGACAACTTTGTGCTTGTATCACAAGACCCTCCCCCTTGTTTGCAAGTTTGCTTCTACTATTCCCCTGGAAGAAATCTGTCTGATAACAAAGACGAGAACACACTCCGAACCAAGACTATGGTCGAGAAGATGATCCTCAGAGGCTACATGGTTGATTATGCCCCTGGTCCAAAGGGCAGCTTCTTCCGTGTTGTGGTCAATTGCCAAACTCTGCCAGGGACAGTTGAGGGCCTTGTTAAAGGTCTTGAGGAAGTTGGACGCCAATAATTAGACTATAGAAGAGGTAAAATTCGACATTACACTGGGCATAAAGGAGGGTTGTTTGGGTTATATATAGGGCAAATAGGTAGGACGCTACGCATCATGGCCACTATCACTAAACCAGGATATTGAGAAACAAGAGAATACGTTGCATGGTAACATTTAAGACATGGTCATGGCTCTATTCTTCATGTCACGGTGTATAAGTATCTTTGCTGCGAATAGGCATTGTTTAATCGTTCATGTTTGCTTGCTTGCTTGGCTTGCGAAATCTAATTACTCCTGCTAAATTAAGAACCGTACGACAGTAGAACACCGCAACTCCTATCAACATATTTCGGAATGATTCTGTAATACTAAGTTATAAAACAAACGAGAGAGGGATATTACAACAACACCTTATACGAATTAAACAGGCTATAGATACTTAAAAGCAACTATATCCTCGAGATGGTGACTATACAGGGTAGCTGACACGATAAGCTTATCGTGCCGAGACCCATTAATTTATTCACTACCAGCCTTCAACGTCACGAGCATGCGTCGCATCCTCAACCTCATCCTCAGCGTTCTATCACAATGCCACCTAAACGAATGACAGCAAACCCGGTGAAACCCGCGCGTTATCGCGCTGGTAAGCCCACAGGAGCAGAGTCTGACTCAGATTCCGACGCGAGCGAAAACGAAGAGTCTAATGAGCCAGCGCTTCCACCTCCACCAAAAGCGACCAGCGCGGGCAAAATTTCATCAGGCAGCCTAGGAAAAGTCGACCTCAACGCTCGAAGGAAAGAAGCGGAAGCTGCCGAAGAACGGAGACTTGCCAAGGAAAAAGCTGAGCGCCTCGCTGCAGAAGAAGGTTTCGTGACAGAGGAGGAGGAAGAAAGTGAAGAGGAAGAAGACGACGATGAGGAGGAGGAAAGTGAATCCGAAGAAGAGAGCAGCGAGGATGAAGCGCCACGAAGATTAATGATTCGGCCCAAATTCGTACCAAAGAGCCAAAGAGGAAATGCTAAGACTCCTGCGCAAGAAGAGGAAGAAGCACGGCAGGCCGAAGAAGAGGCCCGCAAGAAAGCCGCCGACGAGCTTGTGGAAGAGCAAATCAAAAAAGATCTTGCCGCTCGCGCAGCAGGCAAAAAGCACTGGGATGACGACGAGAACGAGGACTCAGATGTGGATACAACAGACGGGCTAGATCCAGAGGCTGAAGAAGCAGCTTGGCGCGTTCGCGAACTCAAACGTCTGAAGCGCGCCCGCGCTATTATCGAAGAGCGTGAAAAGGAGCTTGCGGAAGTTGAGCGTCGACGTAACCTGACCGAGGAGGAAAGACAAGCCGAAGACGAGGCGTTCCTGGCACAACAGAAAGAGGAAAAGGAGGGCAAGGGCAAAATGTCATTCATGCAGCGTTATCTACACAAGGGAGCATTCTACCAGGACGAGATGAAAGCTGCTGGTCTGGATAAGCGAGATATCATGGGCAGTCGTATCCAGGACGACGTGCGGAACCGTGAGGCCCTTCCCGAATACCTGCAGCGTCGCGACATGGCCAAGCTGGGCCGTAAAGGTGCAACAAAGTACAGGGACATGCGTACTGAGGACACAGGCCGATGGGGAGATATCGGCGATGGCCGAAAGAGAGACGGCGGACGATTCGAGGAAGATGAGCGTTTCAGACCCGACGATGACAGGTTTCGTCGCGACGAACGAAGCGCAGGCGGCGCCAATGCCATTCCTCTGGGTGATCGCAAGAGAGACGACCGAAATGAGGGAGACAATGGTCACCGAGATCGAAGAGATAGGGATAGGGACTCTTATCGATCAAGAGATGATGGACAAAGTCGACGAAGATCACGGTCACGGTCACGTTCGCCACGACGCGAAAATGATAGAGATGATTACCGGCGTCGTAAACGCAGTACGTCACGCGACGACGAGCGGTATGAGAGCGACAAAAGACGCAGGGTGGATGCCAGATAAACTCGCCCTGCTCTTGTTATACTATTAATAATACCCAAACAACCATGGTATGTGCCTTGCATTTGGCTTCCTTTTTGACGTGTCTCGTGAGATTACATATAGCACTGGACTCGTACCCAGCTATGCTCTATATTCTGACAATCTCTACGCGAGCACGATCGTATATTTGATGGCCCATCACATCTTCGCCGCTTCCATTTGATACTGGGGGAGGATATAATGTCATTCGTGCATAGGTACCTGCGCCGCGACGCTTAGAAAGGTAGCCAGGATTGATAAGGAGGACACTCTCGACGACCTAATGTCCAGTTAGTAAGAATGAAGACAAAAAACGAGCCAAGAGACGTACTTTTGCAAATGGAGGTAGCAAACTAGGTACAATCATGACATCTGGCCTGACATTCACCATCTCTCCCAGTTCAAGATAGCTCAAATCTAGAGCAGCGCCAGTAGCCAAACCATCTTCCGTGCCAGTCTTAGGTAGCTTAGAGCGATCTGTAGGAGGAAACAGCGGGAAGTAATGTCGCTGCTCAACTAGGTACCGACACAACCGACTCATGAGATCAGTGCCAGGTTGTCCACCACCACGAGACACAACCTCTTCCGAGCGGAGCTGGGAGAGGATATCCTGCGATGAGACACCAAGGACAAGTTCGTTGATCGAAAGAGTCATAGGGTTTGTGACAATGCGGACCATTTTGGGAAGGCCGAGTTCCTTACGAGGAATCGAGTCTTGAGGCCATGAGACATGTTTTGACAATACGTCCCGGACGGACGGGACAAGGATGATGGTGATCTGCGGGTTGGAGGCTGCAAGGCGGTTGAAAGCGGGAGCAACAAGGTATTTGAATACTGTCGCCATAGTAGCTGTATCAGGGTCAAAGTTTGCCTCTTCAGGAAGATCGAAATCTCCCGTGGCAATAAGAGGATGATCGATATCGAGGAACGGTCCTGTGAGGACAAGCGCATCTGCATAGGTATCACCTGCTTGACTGCACAGCGCATGAAGTGGCTCGAAATCGAGATTATCGTCGGCAGTATAAGGACCAGAGGCGTAGAGAATGTTCAAAGGTGCAGGTTCTGAATCTTCGTCCATAGCATCAGGACCACCACGAAACCTCTCACGATGCCCCTCGAGCGCAGAAGGCAAAGAGGCAGCACTGGGAAGTAGAGGAACCTCGAGAACCTCTTTCACGACAAATTCGTTCCCTGAGGCGTTGGTACCCCGAAAAGCGACGATTTGGCCGGGGAAAAAGCTCCATGAGCGGATGTTGTCCACTTTTAGGGGTACCCGTAAGCCCATTCCTGTTCGTCTGGAGGTTTCCAGTACCAGTGACGCAGCATTTAGTTTTCCTTCTGAGGAGTCAGAAGCGATACGGCCAACAGCCACGACCTCCGTTGTACTTTGCGCAGCGGCACTACCGAACTCGTTCTCATCGATCTTATGATGTTGCTGAATAAGAGCCATGAAGTTATCAATCCGGTCGTCGAGGATTTCGCTGGCCTCGGAAAGTTTCATGGCCAATGGCTTGTATCCCAGCTTCTTTTGATCTGAGGCGGCTGTGAGCTTTACTCGAGGCTCGGCAAAGGGCGCAATCGGTGGTTCGGCTGCATTGAGGCGATCGTTTAGGATTTCAACAGTCTCTCCTGGATTTGCTCGATCACTGAATGATGTGGGCCTGGATAATGTTAGCAAGGCGGAGGCAGTTGGTGAGACGAAGTAACATACGGTAATCCATTTAATGACTTGAGCTGCTCGTTCATACCTGTCGCTGGCGAGCTCATCAACCCCTTTGGCGTCTCCGTCTTTCTCTTAACAGCACTGCCACTCGCAGCACCCCTATTCAACTTTGCCCCCGACGCTGGAGTGCTGGGAACAAGCCCATCTAACATCCCAAAAACATCGCCGCCCTTTGCCGTGCCTCTCGGTGTGTTGGCGACCTTTCTCTCGGTCTTGACCTGGACTTTTCGATGGCTGTTTTCGAGCTCATCTTGAATGCTCTGCTTGAGGTTCCGAAGAACTTCAAGACTTAGTGCCTGAGCATCAAGATCCAGTTTTATACAATACGACTCCCACTTGAAAAAGAGATCCTCGGCCGAGAGGCCATGAAGGCGCATAATGGATTCTAGTTCGCTGAGGACATCAGGCTCAAGCGGCTTGTTGGGGGAGAATCGGCTTTCAATTTCGTCGGCCATCATGGGCGATAATAAACCTCGACCTGGGTTGTTCGTAGCAACTCGAGGTTTCCAGCAAAGACAAAGGTCGTATATGGATTAAAAAGATCGCATTGGTGCAGGTCAAAACGTCTGGAGGGGTCTAGATGTGGGCGCGACCAGACGCGTCGTATCATAGGTAACTAAATTCCAGACCGCGTTAAGTGGTCAGAAACTAATGGTACAGTGCTACCAATCATGCACACGGTCAATTTTCTATAAAATGGGCTGGCCTTATCATGATTAGAACGACTAACTAAGAATAGGATATAGACAGTCTATGCAGATATACCGGGATTTATCAAAATTATACTTAATTAATCAGTCATTGCTTTCTTATGCTGCAATTTGCTTCTAAAACAGGCATTTCTCAGCCACTATCAAGGTATCGTATCCGCTTGTGAATAAGTAAGCGCCGTTACTTTCGTGTAGTTGTCCAAACGCCGTCTACTTGGCATAAGCCTGTCCCAGAAAAATCAACTATTCGTACCGTCATGCTCTTCATGGACCTGTTGATCAACAGTGCTGTAAAAAAGAACTCGAAAAACAAGCATTCGAAGCAAAAAAAACGTCTATAACCATTCTTTACTTCTCCTTCTCCTGGACAGTACTTTTGTGTTCAATACCGCCCCATTCAGCCCAGACATTATCTGAACCGCCGTAGGCGAAGTTCACATGAACATCTTTGGGGGAAGAACTGGGCGCAATGCCGTCGGTGCTGAGAAAACTGCCAAAGTCACCTAGACTGACAGGATCTGTATCTAGCAATGGTAGCGTGGAAAAATCCAAATTGCTACTCGCTAAGTCAAAGTTTGGCTCAGAGAGCAACTGCGTTATAGTTCGGCTCAGGGGGGTATCGAGAACGCTTTCCAGCTTGCTCTCTAGATTTAGTCGTGGGCTGCGCCTAACGCTCGCAGGACTTCTGGTCGGCGTTCTTTGTAGAAGCGCCTGTTGGCTGGGAGACAATAAATCTCTTACTGATCGAAGAGACCGTGAGACACTGCGTGTGATAGGTCGATGACTGGGTGTTGGGCGTGTCGGGGTTTTGAAGAGAGCCGAGTCAGCATCGGCCTTGGATTTGGGCGGCGGCGTGGAAGGACGAACTGGGCTGTTAAACAACGCCTCTATGTCATCATCCATGATGAGATCTTCGTTCTGAGCATCGCAAACTGCATTCTCCTTTCCGCAGATTTCCTTGTTTTGCCGACAATCTGCTGTCTTAGTCACGTTGGCATCGATCTCTCCCAAGGTCTTCGGTGTACCCTCCTTACGGGGTGAAGGGAAAAGCAGGCGTCGAGTGCTTCCCAATTCATCATCAAGGTCCATCTCAATGGGACTGTCAGCAGTCCCGGTACCTCTGGAAGCCCGGGAATGGGAAGAGCCTGGTACTGACTGGCTCATGTTCTTAGTATGACGCCCATCAGCCGCCAGTAAATGAAAGACATTTTGCATGGCTGCATCTTCATCAACTCGTGATCCCATAGAGACAACATCAGGCTGCTTAGGGGATGAACGCTCGACTGGTCCAATGGAGTCTGTGACTGGGAACGCTTCTGAAGGAGGATGGGGCGCCGAAGAACTCTTAGTACGGGCACGTTTTGCCTGTGACTCAGGGCCCGCGGATCCCCGCTTCTTTCGACTCTGGCCTAAAAGCCCATTATCCCACTTGTCCTGTGGACGGTGGTTGTGATATTTAGACATCCATATACCGCAAGGATTACAGAGTAGTTTCTCTGACCAGTCACTTCGATCATCATCAAAACCAAGGGCTTTCTTGATAAGGCGATGGGACAGGGGGTTCTTGTCCTTATCCCGTTTCAGAATCTCAATGGCAGTAACCCGGCCAGGCTTCTCTGAGTACTCCACGTTCTCTGGTACGCCGTCATGTTCCTGAACCCAAATCTTGCGCCAGGTCGGGGTCTCAATGGCACCGCAGTTAGTGCAGAACGGAGGCATCTCGCCAGCTGCGATTGCAGATTCTAGCCTCTGTTTAATGGAATCCTTCTTGATTTGGTTCTTGTTGGATTTACAGGGCGGGGACGAGGGCATAGGAGGGAAACCGCTCTGCGGAAAGATTGCCTCTGACAGGGTAGGTAGAGTGTTTGTGATCAAATATGTCTCAGGCGGTCCCAAAGGGTCACTGGTAGCAATCGGTTTGGGAACGCTGACCGATTTGGAACGGCGAAGACAAGTTGTGGTATCTGTGGAAGCGCGAGGCGGTTCCGCAAGGACAGACTGTGATAGAGAAGATGGCCCGGCAGGCTCGCTTGCCGGTACAGATGGCAAAGCTAGAATCCCTGCGGACTGTGATCTGCCGAGTGGTCGCGAGGGCCGGGGCTTTGGTGCGATGACGCGAGAACTTGATTTTGAAGTAGGTAAAGATCCTTCAGTAGATTGGTTAGTTGAAATTGAAGTATTAGGCTCAGAAGAACTAGAGACTGCGCGCACTAATTCAAAGAGGGCATCTTCTTCCATTGCCTCCATAGCTTGGTTGCCCTGCATTTGAGTAGAATCGGGTAGCGAGGATGCAGTGGTAGGGACTGGGCTATCCTTTTCTGCAGCATCTGTGGTGGGAGGAGGTGTCGGTGCATAGCTTCGTGGTTGTTGTTTTGAGCCTGCAGGTCGTTTCTGAGAGGAATTTCGAACTAATCTAGGTATGGCAACTTTCTTCGCGGTAACGGGTTCTGATGGAGGGGGCCCAGCAGGAGTTGAGGTTGGGTAAGGGGTGTTGAAGTTCTGGATATGAACGAGCCCTTGACCTTCTGGCCCGTCTTCGATTCTGAACACTTGAGTTGGAATTCCGGTATTATCCACGTCTTCCATCACTTTTTGTGTCTTAGGCTGGCTATAAGTCTGACCCTCTTTGGCTGTTGGTAAGACAGGCTCATCCAGTAAGTCATCTGTTTCATTCTCCGCAAAGCTCGATATTTGCCGTGGTAGGGAGGGCATTGGTGGCAAAACAGGACTGGAAGGAGGGGGACTTGACCGCATGAAGGATGCTGTTCGTGGCATAGGGGGAGAAGACCGTATGTCCTGCGGGCTATCCTCTGAAAAGGCAGGAGTTTCGACAGGCGATTCTGGAGAACGGCCATCCTCTTGACTCGGGGACAAGGCACGAAGGGGTCTCGGGGGTATTTGACTGCTCAGAGTAGCACCCAGCTCCTTGCGCATCGAGGATTCCCTCCGAGGCTTGACGCCTTTGGGGCCACCCTGGGCAGGGCCGTTCAGGGGCCCTCCCTCGGGAACGGGAGTAGGAGCCCGGGGAACTTCCTGTAGATGATTCCCAGCGACCGCCTCATTGTTTGCGTTAACAGGACGGAAATTTCGAAGAGAACCAGCGGTACTAGCAGTGACACGTAGAGATTCCGGACCCGAAGTGAATGGGTTAGGAGTAGCCTTTTCGACCTTCATGGGCTTGGCTCTTTTCTTGACTGGCACTGAGCCGCCATCCTCGCCCTCGGTGCCGTCTTCGTACCCTGATGTGTTTCCTTCGGCAGGCTTCTTTCGCGGCCTACCGCGAGGCCGCCCTGTCGGCGGCTTTCTATTGCGAGAGCTTCTGCTAGAGGGTCTTGACGTAGAAGCGGCGGTCGTTGACGGAGGGACGGGCATGGGTGCTATGCGTTGAACATCCGATCCTGAGTTGGCTTGACTAATCGCGGGATCTATCGAATCTCGTCGTTCAATTGTGACAGGAGGTGGTGCGCCTTGAGAAAGCGCAGGTGATGCCACTCGAGACACATGTGCTGTGTGTCCGATATGAGGGTTGGCCTGGATGAAAGAGCTCCATTCTGCGGCACCAGAAGCCACGGCCATTTCAGCAGAGCGAGAGGGTGGCAGAGAGGCAGGCTGCAGTGGAGCGGGTCGTAAAGGCGTGGGTTGCATAGGGTGAGGTGGCATCTCAACGGGTGGGACGTCAACATTTGGTTCTCGTCTTTGAAGCCTAGAACCGACTGTGAACTTGAGCTTGACTTCGAGTGTCTCGCGGTTTCCTCCTCCGAAGACGGCAAGCAAGTTTTTGGTGACACGTCCAGTTACCATTTTGGGCGACTGAGACAGCCATTCACCACCACGCATGGAATCGAGTGCCCATGATAGCATGCCTTGTCCAACCAACGGGGTGTCTGGTTCTGAATAATCGAGTGCGTAAATGGTGTAGTCGCCCTCACTATCTTGATTTCCGAGTTCTGGGCTGCATTCGGTGATTGCCTGTAGGCACGCTCGCAAGTCGACAATGCCAATAGAGTTCTGTTCATCGAGAGGAATCGTTTGAACGAAGAGGGTTTGCGTTGAACGAGCAAGGCAATTGACTTTGGCTTCCTTGTCAAATGTATAATGCACCTTGACTGCATATCGAGTTAGCAAGGTAACTACCAGACGCATCGATTTTGCATACGACCCATAGGCCTCACTTGGACGCCTGCTTCATTTGTTTCCACGCTCTGTTGCATCGTCTGACCGTTGTGATTCCAGCCGCCTTGAATAGGATTGGGCATTTGTGAAGCCATGGCGGTTAGTCCCCTGAGGGGGGAGGTCAGAGATGGCGGTTAAAGAATCAATCGTGAATTATGTCGTCGTCGTATATGGTGGGTTTATATCATGTAAGTAGAGACAAGGCAGCGACGGCCGAGAAGAAAGAAGTAAAAGGTCAAGAGGTGAAGTTTGGCAGTGGGTATTTCAATGATGCGTAGGAAATACTAGTGGGGAGGTTTAATGTTTGAGCTCGTTGGCCGGGACGTGATATCAAATTCGGGAGGCGGGCGTCATGTTCGTGACGCGCTCTAACCCGCCAAAGTCGCGTCGTGAAGCGAAGGTGGATCAAGTTAAAGTGCGTGCCGATAGTCTTGCGCGCTGGCTAGACAACGAGACAATAGAGAATAAAGTGCAAAAGGGGAAAAGATAGTGATGGGAATGCGGGTTATGAGAGATAAGAAGAACTTGAACCAAACCCCCAATTTGAAGCCTCAATCATAAAAAGTGACAGATGCTTTGAATGTGTGTTGTGATGCAGCTTCAAAGGCGTGTTCCGCTTGAATGAAACTGAAGAAAAGATGGAGGGTCGCCGTGTCACTCCAGTGGTTGATGAGCCAATAACCCCTGTCAATTACCCTTTTAGTGCCTGCAGTCAGTGACGTGAGTTAGCGCAATCTTCGCCTTCTAGACGCGCCGCCCGGCGGGTGGTGGGGGTCTACCGGAGCGAGATCCATCTCTTCCGACACGGACCGGTTCAGTGGGGCCGGATAATGCAAGTTGAAGTTGGAGCAGAACTCACGTGCCTTGCTATCTCAAGCGAAACCTTTGTTTGCTTGTCTCAATGGAAGTCGTCGCACTTTTGAAACGGTACGTATCTTTCTAGTTGGTTGCGAACCTGAATCTTTTCGCAGGCTGTTTTGCTATGGCCAACCTAGTAACTGCCGACTTGCTTCGATGACGGGAAAATGGGTAGAAATGAGCCAGAGAAAGACGGGGATGTCTCGTCTTTCTTTCGAGGCTCTTCTTGCAGCGGGACACTGTCCCTTTTATAATCTTGTCCTCTGCCTGAGGTCATCTAATAGACTCTATCGGGTGCCTGCCTACATGAGACAGTTTGCTAACTGGATCCTCTTGCTGGTCCTGTTCCCTTATCTCCGCATTTCGTTTGTTTCTATCTCTCCTGTCTGTATCTATCCATCCTTTTATTAGCCCTGTCTGGAAAACATGAGTTGGTGTTTCTTCTTAGGCTTACATACCCGCCCACCTGGCCCTCCACTACCTGCATCTGCCCCTCTTTGGTCATTGGTCATGTCCCTAAACAAAGTCGCTACAAAATGAGACTTTTCAGCCATCGTTTCACCTCTCACCAAAATAATTCTTGTTGTTTTCATCCCAACCCCACTTCAAGTCTTTCGGTCGCCACTTTCGCCATGATCATTCTAGACTTCATGAGCGGTATTGTGACTCCATGTGGGAGGACAAAAGCATCATCTATTTTGAAGCACATTTCTCTTATCGCTTGATATCATCACAATTCATCTATCAGCACACGCACTACATAATTTACATCTCGTAGTGGCATCTATTTTTACATTTTATTCAAGCATTGGTAGCACGCGAGGAATTATAGTCGGCTTCCAGGGAGCGACTCATCCGCCATCCAAACAGCTTTGCCTTGGTCATCCACTGCCGTCTTGCGAGCGATAATCTCTCCGGCGACCTCAGCGATGCCTTGGCGACCGTTGCGCGAGGACACGATTTTGTTGGCCAGCTGCTCCTGGGTATATGTGCCGCTTGACAGAACCTGCTCGATCTCTTTCTCGGATGGCACACCAAGTTCCCGGTGAGGGTATTCCTTGAATGTGCGATCGGTGAAAAGGGCTAGTTCATTATTGGAGTCGTACTCAAAAAAGGGCTTGGCCACGTTTGTGCCTCCAATCGCCTCGAGGGACTCAGGCTGCCACTTGGGCGCCTCCTTTCGGATGAGCAGTGCTGATACACCCTCGGTGAAGTCGGGATGCTGCATGAACTTGGTGGCAATCTGGTGCTCCCTCTTAAACGTTTCAGCGATATCCCACTCACCACCTATACGCATCTGGCGAAGAGCCACATGCACAGCTGTAGGTGATCGCTTGTGTAAAGTCTTGAGCTGCTTCTGCGCCCACTCCTCAGTTGGACCCCGCTCGGCCTGCAAGGCAGCAATGATCTCACTGATGGTGTGCTTGTTAAAGCATCGGTCGATTGCCTGGCGAATTTCGCCGCTCAAGGTTATGGGCTGGTCATATGGCAGACCGGTACAGAATTCTTCAAGAGTTTGGTTGATGAGTGCCAGTCGTTCAGGCAAACCGTCGCTGTCCCGGAACCGTAGTTCGGCTAGGCGTGCCTCTAGATCAGGCAAGCTGGTTGAATGCAGGTAGTGGGTGGCAATACCCGAGTAGAAGACGTTGGGACCAGTGAGTCGCTCGCTAGTAAGCGCGAGGTAAGTCCCGACAGATCCGTTCATTCGAGGAAGGAAGAACGAAGCGCCGACATCGGGGAAGAATCCAATTGTAGTCTCGGGCATCGCAAAGACAGTCTTCTCGGTCGCGATTCTGAAAGGAGCATGGGTACTCAAACCAACACCACCTCCCATAGTGATACCATCCATGAAAGCGATATAGGGCTTCTTGTATGTCGCAATGTAGTGGTCCAGCTTATATTCGAGGGCGAAGTATTGTGCCGACTTCTGCCAACCGTCCTCACTCTCCGAGTTGAGCTTGGCGAGCGCAGCGACGTCACCTCCAGCGCAAAGGGCCTTTTCACCAGCACCCTTCATAACGACAACGTTGGCGAGATCAGACTTTTCCCATTCGATTAGTCGGGGCACAATCTTTCGGATCATCGAGGCATTGAGTGAGTTGAGCTTCTTCGGCCGGTTGAGCATGACGGTTCGTAGACCATACTTGCTCTCGAAAACTACATCATTTGGATCATCGTTTCTCTTCTCTCGGATATTGGTGGCCTCGGATGAAAGCTATGATATAGAATTAGAATTCATAGCAATAAAAAAACGGCTAATTGTGTTCACCTGTCGTGCACCGAGCGAGGAGCTCAGAATCTTTGATTGCTGGACCATGTTGAAGATTCTTGGTGAGCTCCGACTTGCAACGTTAGCTGAGGCACCAGCTCGGACTGTCAAAGTTCGAAATGTCATTGTATGGGAAGAAGAATTAGCGATGCGCACATGCGATCGACATGCCCATCGAGGTGAAGAAAGAGGGGGTATATGATGGCTTTGAAGTCTTGTCCGAGGTCCGCGGCAATGCTTTTTCAACCGTCCGCAACAAGCCGCCTAAGCCCAAAAACCCATAACTAGGTTAGCAGCCACACTTTTTGGTGGAGGTATTGCTGTCTACAATCGTCACATGACTTCTCATGAAGCTCGAAAGATGGACCCACACTAGCAGCCAGCCAGACACGTGCTCAACTGGTCGCAACTTTTTGAGCTATCTGGGCTTCAGCCTTGCGCGCCGTCTCCAACATCCCAAAACTATCAGAATATATTCAAGATGTCGACGGACCCCAAGATTCAGTACGTCACAACCAGCTCTACTCTGCAGTCTCATATTACTAACAGACAGATTAGGGAGCTTCTCAGCAAGTCGCGCAATGAACTCACGTACGTGACGGACATCTCTTCCTCTTCGTCCAGCCCCGCGACAAGTCCTCGATTGCTAACACATCATCCTCTAGTGAGTACGAGATTGCCCAGCTAGAAGAACACGAGTTCTCTGCCGGCCCTCTATCTATCCTTCAGACGGCCGTTCGATCGCACGTGCAAGTGCTCATCTCCATCCGCAACAACCGTAAGCTCCTTGCGCGTGTCAAAGCCTTCGATCGCCATTGCAATATGGTGCTGGAGAATGTAAAGGAGATGTGGACGGAGACCCCTCGGTTAGCAAACGGGAAGAAGGGTCGCCCAGTGAACAAGGATCGATTCATCAGCAAGATGTACGTCTACAACACAATAACTTGTCAATTAGCGGTGACACGAACATCAAACTTGATTACTGACTTTACCACAGGTTCCTACGAGGCGATAGCGTCATTCTGGTTCTTCTCAGCTAATAATTATTTCGGTCATGGTTTTGGGGCGGTGTGAGCTCGAATTTAAGAATGGGATGTTTGTATGTCTTACGGGCAAGACTCACAGGGACTCCATAGGCGTTGAAAACATGTTGATTTTCGCATACCATATTTGTTCATTACACGTGTTATCAATATTTGCACACTGCCGAGTATCTCGACCTTACTGGCTTACATCTCCATCTTCGACCTCGAGGCAGAGGCAGAGGTCGTAAGACTGCCTAACTGCTCAAGCCCAGGAAGAAGCTGGCCAATCCCCAGGCTCCAGGATCGGGAACCTCCTGATAGCCACTACCTCCGATATAGACCGTCCGACCCAGGCTGGCTTGCATACCCTTGGTCTTATTAGCCCCCTCCAGTGCTGCGTCAGCTGCGTTCTTGACGTCTCCTGTCTGGTTGAGAGCTTCCACGAAGGGATGAAGGGCGTCGACCAACGTCCGATCTCCAGGACGAGCAGGCGTGTACTTAGCCAAAGCATCGCTACTCATCTTGAGGGCCTTGGCCCAGACTTCGGGCGAGGCCGTGCCGGGTGACAGCTCACGAAGAGCATGAACCAAGGCGTTGAGGAAGATGGCATATAGAGCCCCAGAGGTTCCATCCATGGCTGTTTCCACGATTGTTACGATTGACGAGAGATCCACCACAACGTCGCCGGTAAGAGGTTGCTCGTCAATGTGCTTAAGGATTGCTGTATTATGTCAATAAATGTCTGGGGGCCATGATGCGTCGGACTGACCTTCAGCGCCTCGTTTCAACCCGATTCCACAATCGCCATCTCCGACGATGGTATCGTAATGGGTGACCTCTGGCTCGGCATCAATCACTTTTTGCAGGCCCTTCTTCAATACTGCTTGCGCGGCACTAGGGTCTGTTTTTAAACCACTAGGCTTGATATCCCCTGTAGCACCAGCGCGGCCTGTTCTTGTATTGGTATTCTTGGTTTTCCAGGTGCCGGCCTGAACGGGTGCGGACCATCCAACCACCTCACTGGGAGCATCAAGCAATTCAATCATGCTTGGAGCTTCGAAATCAGGCGAAACCACATTAAGAAGGGAAATGCTGAAGCCGAGACCGTTCAGACTGGTCATGAATGTTCCACTGAGTATTCTCACGGGCCGGATACTGTAATTTGACTCAAGCTGACTCGCAACTTCTGCAGTGATGCCGCCCAGCTCAAGAACGCTGACTCCTCCCAGGTTGTTGATCATGAGAACAACTTCTCTGGAATTAACGTCCACAAAAGCTCGATCCTTGTCTGCGGTGTCGAGTAATTGCTTGAGCATTTTACTTACGAGATCAGGTAGTTCAGCCTTCTCACGGCCAGAGCCGGGTTCATTGTGAATACCCATTCCCAGCTCCACCTCGTCTGCCGCAAGACTGCCCTCTGTATCGACCTTTCGCCCAGGAACATGCACATGTTCAAGACTGGCGCCCACACTGACGAGGTTGTCTGCTGTCAGTTGTGCATATTTGGCAACCTGATCAAGTGGCTTTCCTAGAGCTGCGAGGGCACCTGAGATTTTGTGAACGAGAACTGTACCTGCAATTCCACGACGTCCAACTTTTCCGGCCTTTGCACGACCAACACCAACATCGTCGCCAACAACCACCATCTCAACCTCAAGCCCTGCAGCCTTGGCCTTTTCAACAGCCATACCAAAGTTGAGGACGTCACCGGTATAGTTCATTACGGTGACCAGGACGCCTTTTGACGTATCGACACGAGAGGTAATTGCTGTACGTATTTGTTCTGCTGAGGGAGATGCGAAGATGGTTCCAGCTACAGCTGCGGAGAGCATGCCTTGGCCCACCATGCCGGCGAAGGAGGGCTCATGGCCGGAGCCACCACCTGAGATAATGGACACTTGTGCTTTGGCATTGGAATCAGGACGACGATAGATGACTTTGAAGTCTGGATCTAGGGCGAGCGACGGATTGGTGAGGGTGAGACTATGGAGAGCTGAGGAGACGAGGTGGGTTGGGTCGTTGACAAAGTGTTTGGCTGACATGGTAGTGGACGGATGGAGCGAGATGGTCAACCAGTATTATCGAGATGAGATGAAATGGTTCTTAATTAAGAAGATATTATTGATCAATTGGGTCTGATTTCTGAGTGATTCAAGCTTCTTAAGTACCAGCTGCCAAGATAACCGCCACTATGGAAGTGGCAATCAGGTGAGGTTATGCTGGCTGTATTCAAGCGATGAAGGATGGATGAATGGAAGCCCATACCGAGCTCAAGTGGGGGAATCGCGGGGTTTGTAGCGGGGTTGGAGCTGTGAGGCCGGGGTAGGGAATATGTCACGGGAGATGCCATCCATGGATATTGGGTATTCGGTTTAGGTATACCGAAGTTCTGCCCACTGTTAATGAGCATGTTGCCATTGGCTTGCAATCATGAGACTTGTAGGAGGTGGGCATATCGGATGTTGGTGATGGAGTTGTTGAGAACCACGCAGTTCCTACGGAATGTACAGACTGGAAATGGGGTGGAGTTGAGTCAACTGTTAGGCTTCAGACAGACATGGGAGGCTCAACAAGTTGTATTAACTGCATTGTTCAATGGTCAATGGTCAGGGGGCAATACAGAGGCGGCATTGCATGCACATGCGTGTAACCACCGGCTTTCCTATTCAAGTAATATCCTGAGGTTCGTTACAACCTGATAGCTTGTGGACCGTGTTTTTATAAGCTTAAAAGAAGCATTTCAACCCAGCCAAGGAATGACCATTGCTAATATGTAAGCCCAGTGATTGATCAGCTAACAACAAAGATTAAAAAAAGCAGAACCGTATTTACGCCCTTATTGGTGTATTGTTCTCCGAGGAATAGGGTGAAAGAGAATGCAAGTATGATAGAATGGCTTGCAGAACCCAAAGCAATGATGGCAATAATATGAAGCTGTGTGGGCTTTTTGCGTTATCTCGTGATGCAATTCTGTTTTAGAATGTTGAATGCGTACTTTATAAATGACATCAGACCCATTAATTCCTATTCAGTGTAAGACGTCCTGGGTTACTAGTCCAAATGACAACAAGTCGAGATCCTTGATAGCTTTGCAACATCCTGCATGCTCTACAGACAGTAGATGAAGTTCAGCTCCAGTGGCTGAAACAATTGTTTAAACTGGAAACCAAAGCTCGTTATAGATAAAGAAACTGTCTATCATGTGTACGCGTCAGGATACAGTACATACGCATGCTCGGTCAGACACAAGTTACGCAGGCAGGGATAATTTTCCGGCAGCGTTCCCACATACCGCTCCACCCATACAGTATCCCTACCACAGTATTTCGAGAATTTCTTCAACGGCGCACGCTAACGCGGGAATAAAATAACCCTAAACCAAATAATTAAACAATGAGTTCCGTGATCCCGGCTTGGCTAACTCGCTAAGTAAAGATCGAATTGCCTTTCCTGGAAACTGAAACACACGCGCCTCATCGACTATGTAGGTATACGATGGTTGCCATACGGAATGATGGTTCTTTCAGTCTCGGCCGAATTAAAATAGATGCTCCATAGTTTCTTATCCGCTCTTCAGGTCATGCAGAAAAGGGATTGAGCCAACGATTGGATCGTGCTGGCTCCAGGAACCGCATTTATTCCAGGAACAAATGGAGCACTGCTGACACTCGAGACGATCATAATCAGGTACTGTGCAGTGCATTGCATATCTGCTTGCGTACCTCTCACCTTGCTCTCGCATTCCGTTTCTCGTGACAGACTCGAAGTCTTAACTGTCGCCTGTGTAAACCCCCTGACGATCCACGTTCCCGTAGGATCCATGTTGTTGCTCCGCCTCAAAGCACAAGCACAAGCATCACATCGCATGGCCCCGATGAGCCCGAGCCATGATGGGCTGTCCTTGGACAAATTCATTTCCAAAGGACCCTTCCTTCCAACTTTCAGTGGAGTCCCTGACGTATCGTCCAACATCAATCAATGTCAGTAGTGGCCATGCCCACAGCAAAAAATTGGGGTGTTTCGAGCATCCATCCCCCTTCTTGCCATGCCAATTTTAGAAGGAAGGACATCTTCTCTTTCTGCATACCGATTCCCATTTCATTAACGTTTTCTTTCGTTGTTCTTGAGCTACTTAGGTACTCTCTTTTCATCTACGTGGTTGGATATTTCTATCACCATATATCGTTGAATTCATTCTTGGCGACGCGTCTAAGTGGGATACACGAACCGAGCTTGGCATCAAGCAGGGTCCAGTCCATCTGTTATTCCCGTCTTGTCTTTGTCTTGGTATTCCGAGTTTTGGGTTAAGCTGCCAAGATGCATTCATTACTTCGAGCAACTACTGCGATACTTGGCTGGGCAGCAGCTGTCACTGCCTACGACGTAACATGGGATGACAACAGTAAGGTTTATTTTCATCGACAAAGTAGTGGAACTAATGCATTGTGGTAGAATCCATCGAGAAGGCCGCCGGCCAGGCAGCTTTTGGCTTGGTATCATACTACACAGGAAACAACACTGGCGATACACCAGGAAACTTGCCAGATCCTTACTACTGTAACTCTCTCATACCAATCGAGCCATAAACATTTACTGACCATTAACAGGGTGGGAGGCTGGCGCGATGTTCGGTACTCTCGTTGATTATTGGTGGCTCACCGGTGACGACTCTTATAACACAATCACAAAACAAGCCATGATTCATCAAGCCGGCACAGACGGCGATTACATGCCCGATAACCAGACAATGACCGAAGGAAACGATGACCAAGGCTTCTGGGCAATGGCTGCAATGTCAGCAGCTGAGCATCAGTTCCCAGATCCTCCTGAGGACACACCCGGATGGCTCGCTCAGGTTCAAGCTGTCTTTAATGAGTACGTCAGTCGCTGGGACGCAGACTACTGCGGTGGCGGTATGCGTTGGCAGATCTTTAAGTGGAATACTGGTTTCGACTACAAGAACGCTATCTCCAATGGCTGCTTTTTCAATGTCGCCTCTCGGTTAGCACTGTATACGGGTAACGACACTTATGCGGACTGGGCTGAGAAGTTGTGGAAGTGGCATGAGGATTCTGGCATCATCACCGATAAGTTTGCAGTTCAGGACGGTGTTCACATCAGCGATGCTAAGGGAAAGAAATGTACCGATATAGATAAGACACAGTGGTCTTATAACACGGGAATCTTCCTGCACGGCGCCGCGGTCATGTATAACCTTACCTCGAGCGATAGCTGGAAGAAGCGAGCAGACGGTCTCCTCGATGATGTTTTCAACAAATTTGTTAAAGATGAGATCATCTACGAGCAGTTTTGCGAGCCTCACAAACAGTGCAGTCAGGACCAACAGAGCTTCAAGGGGTATCTTGCACGGTGGTTGGCAGCCACCACGCAACTTTATTCTTCTACAAACGACAAGATCATGAAACTCATCAAGACAAGTGCCCAGGCCGCCGCTAAAGTCTGCACAGGCTCACCCACAGAGGGTTACAAGGGGCCTGCAGGCACAGCATGTGGCTTCTCTTGGACGACGGGTAGCTTTGATGGCTCTGTTGGAGTTGGTCCCCAAATGAACGCCCTCTCGATCCTCATGTACACGCTGGTGGAGAGTGCCAAGGGGCCTGTCACCTCGAAGACCGGTGGAACGTCCAAAGGAAATCCTGGCGGTGGAAATACGGACATTAACGACAATGATGGAACCCCTCCATTGAAGGACATCACGACGGCTGATAAGGCTGGCGCCGGTATCCTGACGTTCCTGTTCCTTGCCGGTGTCATCGGGGGTGTTTCATTCTTGGTCATCGACTTTTAGACTTTTTAAACTTCTATAGTAGGGCATGGCGTTGAGAGGCGGTATCTGTTATATTTATTGTTTTGAGGCGTTGAGAGGTTGCTAGATTGGATACCTTGCACTTTACTTGGCCTCAGACTTGTAAGTCAGGCTGCAGAGTTATACTCACAAATCTTATTGATTGCGTTGCCTATGTTCATGAACCCGCGATGACCCATTCAAGAGCTTCCATATGCCCATCTGTTACTTGTAGTTGCTTGCTTTTAGCAAATCTTATTCTCAGACTGCGCTTCGTAGCGATGAGAACCAGATTCTTGAGTTTCAGATCCAAAGGAACCTTTGAGTAATGGTTATCGATTCTTGGTGTAAATATGCCGTTCATTCAGCCCTTTTCATTTAAGATCTTATGGTTAAAAACAACCTTATCAGTAGATGATCCAGATCGAACTCAGTATCTCCATCCATTTAATGCTCAAACTCCAAACCAAGAAACAGGACTATTTTACACTATTCCGTGTCCTTCAATCTACCATGCTCGTCCCTGGACATCCTTGCATATTGCGTCTTCAAAAGGGGAGTATCTGCACTGACAAGGGAGTTAATCCACCTTTTCTCTTCCTCGCCCCCTTCTGTCGTCTTCACCGTCGCATGGCCCATCAGTACCGGATGACAATTAACATAGACGTTCTCATACTCGCGAGCCGGCACGTTAAACGTTTCGTGAAAGATCCCCACATGCTTGAGCTTAGACTTATTGACGTAGTCCCATGCCTTCCGGTGTAATTCGTCATGTGCGAAGCGGTGCAGACTCTCTATGTCACGAAAGTAGTAGATCAGAAGAAGGGTGTTATTGCTGCTCTTTTCATCTCCGCGCCATGTTGAGGAGCTCAGCATACCATATTCGTCTCGTTTGGAGGCAAGATCATTATGCATAGCCATGAAGTACTTGCTAATTTGCTCCATGCCTGGTGCTGCGAGACCGAGAGGGTGGTTGGCCTGGATTCCGAGATGAAAGACTACAACGGGGCTTGCTCCGGGAGTTGAACCAAAGGATCCAGTAGAGAAAGGGAGCTGTGCGGTGGCACGACCTGGTACGACATTCTTATTATACTCATTGGGTTTTGTGCTATAAAGTTGGATCGTGGTTGTGACAATGGAGTTGAACAAGACGGCCAAGGGTGGTACGACCGCCCAACGGAGAGGAAGAACAGCACAGAGGGCAAGTTGGATGAACGACCCAACGACTACTGTAGTTTGAGGTTTGAAGCAGTCTTTGAGCATGAACTTATCATGTGTCAGTTGAGAATAAGTATGACAACAGGGCTCATGACTTACAAGCATCCCAGCTGTTGAGGCAAATGTCAGAGGCCGGGAAGTTGGCTCCATTTTGGAACGGAATTCCGATTTCTTCATCTTGTGGTTGGTTAAGTCGTTCAACTCAATTAATTGACTGCCAGAGTCAGAAGAACAACATCAAGTATCAAGGGCGCGTGGTTTATATATAAACTGTTCTTCCTACAAAGGTGGTCCAGCCACTGCCACATTATAAAAGTCCCAAGTCACAAGGAACATGTCTCAGTAATACGTTGATGAAGCGAATGCGAGATCCAGAAGCAGCAATATGCTTCGATGATACTGCATACAAAGACTAACGTTGGTCTGGCCAAGTCACTCTCGGTGGTGGTGGCTTGCTCGCACTCGCTTAATGCTCAAAATCTCCGATGAAAGGTGCTTAAGTATTTCTATCAGTTGACCTGAAAATATACTTTTGCCAAAAATAAATCGACAGAGGCATGCTATTAGCCAAGCTCGGAACGAGAACTTGCATTGCTCCAGCCAAGTTTTCCGAACTCCATTGGTTATTGTAATCACGACTGCAAAAACGCGAAACATCGGACTGTTTATTTGACCGTGTGCTCACTGTGCCCCGACCTTATTAAGTCCGTTGCCCGACGAGCTCTCTGTGACTTCATGTTTACGCCCTGCTACTGCAGGATCACTCACACTGCGGATAATCTCCACCGTTTTGAGCTGCGTCGTCCCCATGTCCAAGATCGAACCCATCTCCACTCCTGGCTGCCCCAGCAACGAACAATAGATCGAGTTCTTAAAGACGAGTCCGGCGGTAGATCTGCGTACTAGCCGAGACTCGATAAATCTAAGACACGAATGCCCTGCTAAATTTTTTTAAAGAACAGTGAGAATGTGCTAGCGGGCGAGTCAGAAGCTCTTAAAGTGAGAATGTTGCCTGTCGTTTAAGTCATGGAAAGATGAGCAATGTTTCAAAGATTTAATAAACTACGAATTGACTTAGAATGTGACGGTTCCCTAGTCGTCACTCATGAGGGTCGTCTCACTATCATAATCCTAAATAACACCAAAAACCCAAATTGCATGTGCACAGATTCTCAGACGATACGTCCAAATAACCGACACACAAGCCATACAAGAAGAGATACAACCAACAGAAATAGCAAAATAACTCTCGCAATATGAGATTCAAACAAGCCCTTCCAAGAGTGCCAACAACGCGCAACGAAATGGGATCCATTACTTGCAAACTCCATCAGGGGCAGCCGAGCCTCTTTTTCTTTCTTCGTCATCAAATACCGGTCTGTGATACCGAAACTGTGTACGCCTTGCCATTTTTATGTAAAGAAATGTGTGCAAATCGCTTCAAAAGTATGTTCAACATAATATAGATGCGCTGCGAAAAGTCGGGGCAAAGATTGTCTAAGCGGTGTTTTCCTTGTTTTGTGTCTGATGAGGATAGTTGGGGTCCGTCAGGGACTTCTCCCACTCATCCATCAGGGTTGTCGCGGTGCGTTTGATGTTACTGGGCGAGAACTGGTTGACGATATTGGGTAGAAGCTCTTCTAGCTTGGGAGAGAGCAAAGGGGTTTCGTAGCCGGTCGACTTCTTCTTACTATGCCAGGTTAGCATCTTCACTTACAATTCATCTCAATTCCAATGCCAAGTGACTTACGAGGGTGAGTCCGCAGGTTCTCCCTCATCTGAAGTAGCAGACATATCGTCCAGTCCACCGCTGCCAATAGTAGATCCACTCCAGCGAGACGTCTTGGAAGATGAGGCCGGAGATTCCCAATTAGACCAGTCGTTATCATCCATCGAATCAAATCCAAGAGGCTGCCAAGAGAAAGACTTGTTCTTGGACTTTGTTTTGCTCCGAGCAGGCAGTTCGGGCCTTTTCGATGCTGTGCTTGTCGAGGTCGAGGATTTGGTCTCAGTTGTATCCGAGTTGTTGTGAGGTGGTTCAAATACTGTGCTCACTTTGGGCCGTAGCGGACGATTCGGTCGTATGGTATCCTGGTTTCGATTGGCTTCGCCGCGTTCGTTGACACTGTTGGAACGAATGGGCTGACCATTGATAGGCTCATCCCCAACTGTAATCTGGCGTATGTCCTCGACAAAAGCCCTGAGGCCCAACTTAAAGTCCTCGACAATCTGTGGAACAGCCGGGCCGTTTTGTTGTGTGCGTGGCTGCCACGAGGCACGCTTAGATAAATGAGGGTTTGTTAATTGAGCGGTCCTGCGCTCTATCGAAGGTAATTTCACTTGCTCGTGCTCGTGATCGCGATCCTGGTATAATGAGAATCCTGCGTCTGGTTTCGCCGGCGATAGCAGAGATAGGGTTCTTGTATGCCCGCCACGGAGGACCCTTCTTCGGTTGGGAGTCGCTGGGTTCTGAGTCTGCTGTAACAATTTCCTGCGATCTGAGTCGACACTTCGCCGGATAGATGCAGCATCATCTTCTGAAGACAAAATGGGACTGCGAAATGCCTCAAGAGGGATGGTGTCGCCCTTCTTCTCTTGTGCGGTCCATTTCTTCTTGAGCAACGTTAGATCTGCCTCGGCACGCGACAATTCCTCACGCAATTCGAGCACACGTCTCTCCTGAGCAGCAATTGCGATGATAAACTCATTTGCGTCAGCAGGAGTGGCAATGCCAGATTCGATTGGTGTTGGGGGGACTGATGACATGGAAGCAGAAGTCGGTGTTGGTCGGGAAGGGTCGCTTGTAGGGGGTGCAATTGGAAGCGTCAAAGAGAGTCGATTGACCTGGCGGTTCATGCTGGATACACTAGACTTGGCACGAGCGTGGCCACGTCTGAAAGGAACGCTCTCGTCCTTTGAAGCCGGTCGGGAAGGCATTGCTGCTGTTGAAGTCATGCTGCCGTGGCGGTTGTGTGAGGAGGAATTCAGGTGTCTCGGGTTGGACCCCTGAGCCAGGTCACGAACAGGAGCGTACCTGGGGTTGACAGACGCAGCGACACCGACAGTGGGAGAAGCAGTAGCAGAAATGGTCGAACTAGGGGCTGTCTCAAAATTTGAGTTGGATGGAGTGGTGGGAAGAACTAAATCCGCTGGCAGACGGTCGGCAACTGAGTAGCGTCGACGGATAGCTTGTTGTTGCGAGGCCATGCCTATTAACTCGTAGGGATTCGACTTATTGAAAAGTAGGGAACGGAGGCCGAGCACTCTTCGGCGTTTATGCAAATTGAAATGTAACTGAGAATGGAAATGAGTGGCTGGAGCTCTTCGGGCTCTGAGGCGCCGCAATCTAGCAGCGGCTACAGCAGCAACAGCGGCTCTGGTAGTGAGCGCTCTATGGTGTAACTGTGTCAGATGGCGGTGATCATCGAAGAGAGCGAACGAGCAACGATGGACAACGCAGATTTGAAAGAGAAAGCCAGTCATCAGAATAAGGAGAGAGAGGCGAGTCCAAGGTGGATTGTGGGTGGCTTAGTGGTGTATCAAGTTTCGCATGGGGTATGGCGCCAGCCGGGGTGGATTTTGGTGGAGTGTCCACCAATTGCTCAGTGGTCGTCGTCGTAAATAGAGCCCTGCAGGCGTTCGGTAGCATGCCCCTAGATCCCCTAACTTGGATAGACGTTGACTGGGCTCCTTAGCACAGCTGGGCGGGCGTTGAACCAGGCGGGGGGCGGTTGTCAGGAGAATAGGAGCAGTGGAACACCATTGGACGCTGGGGAGGACGCAGGAACTTCTCGAATTAGGAAGCCAGGGACGATGAGGCTTGCCGGGGGCCAGACGCGAACAAATTGACGAATCCCAGTAAGGGACAAGATGACGTTAAGCGGATGGGGCGGACGATAAGGAGCCGTTGAGTGAATCAATTGTCGTCGACAAAGTGAGACTGTATGAGATAGAACGAAGATGATATAAGAGGAAAGAATAATGATGAAAAAGAGGGTTGACGGCAAGAAAACGACCGAGATTGTAATGAGCGAATATTCCCGAACAGGCGTTTACGGGATGCAAATATGGAATGTCGAAAAAGCAAAGGAAACAGGATGTTGTTGATACGCAATTCCGGGAGAATGGCTAACTCGACGGCAGCCCTGTCAAGGTAACTGGAGCCGCGAACAAGTATCCGTACGTCTCAGTAGGCGAGTGGTCCTGTAATTGAGGATATAATGCGTGTAATACTCGGGACGCGTGAACTTGATCATGGATTAAGGCCAGGCAAGGTAAAGTATTGGACATGAATTGTAGATGTTACTGCAGCAGGGTCTCGTGTGTTGGAAATTGGGGCATGTTTGTTTACATAGGTAGTTATGGAGGGAGGCTCATAAATCAATCAAATGGATCCTCGGTATCCATCAAAACACCATGCCATGCCAGTGCCATGCGAACTGACCCAAAATCTTGCACTTACGGCCCAACCCGCAGGTCTCACTTACAGGTTGTGACAATCGCACCACCTGACCCCGACAACCAGCTGTCGCTGCCCCGTTTTGCGCCATCCATCGAGCGAGCCCAACGCCTTGTGGGAAGTGGACCACATCCCCAGTTTGACTCACAAGGTCGGCCATCTCAACTTCTTGGTTTCAACTTTTTCGATGCTCGATTCATCAGACCGCCCCGTTGATACGCTCTCCTCTGACCCGTTGTCAAGAGCACTGCCAGCTCGACAGGCTACTACTGCAGCTTGTGCGTTAGATCATTTCTTGTTAGGCAAGGGTTCCAAGAGGACGACAAACGAGCGTCTGCGCTGCCCGTAATTACCTTTGTCAAACAAAGTTCTGATATCTCTTTGCCATCATTGGCTGCTTGGTACTGAAGCATCATGGACTGACTGACCTGGCTGACGGGTCGACGTTTGTCACGACGATAGAGAATTCGTTCCCGTGACCCTGTCGTCCAGGGTCAGGGGTCTTTGCCCTTTTTGTCTTTGCGCCTGCAGCGGACCTTGCATTAAAATTGCAGATCGAGGAGAGTTGAGCACAATTCTGCACCGTCACCTATGCTGCACGTAATGACTAGTAGGTTCGTAATAATTGCACTCGTAAGCTGACTTGCATATCTGATTGACTATTGCTCTTTTGGGCCATCCTTCCATTCCAGACTTCTAGACTTTCTAATAATAATAATGATAGTGCCTGAAGAGGATGGTCTTATAGCTCAGCTTTGAACATCCTGGTACAGGACGCAAGCGACATTTGGAACCTCAGGACGCATTCAAGATTTTATATTCTTCTTCTTGTCATATAAAACCCGTTTTACAGCGCCGAGGAACCTACCTGAGATAATAACTGGTACGGTGCATGTTTAGGTGATCGATGTTTCTGGAGGACTCTCAATCAAAGCATCATGTGACTTTCGCGTCAACTTCGCGTCCACTCCTTCTAGGGCAGGTTCCCAGCACTGGCTGACAAGTAAATTATCTCACTCATTTTCGCCAACAACCTCAGGCACTGCCACTCCCTCTTGTTGGAAGCTCGTGAGAATGGCATCTTTTGCTTTCATGCGGTGACTGTGCTGCCTGTTCTCTCCACTTTAGTATGAACAATTGAACCACCTCCACCCGTTCATCCGAGTTGCGAAATCTAAGTCACGAGCTGTTCTTTGTTCTCGTACAACGACATCTTTTTGGTATACTAGGCATGCCGCTTCCATTCTCTTTGGTCTGTGAATTACTCGAGCAATCCTTCCTTCTTTCTCTTGATAAGAAGAGTTGCTCGAACACTGTCACAAAGTGGTTCACTCGCCATCGCAACTACGTAGATGCTCACGATACGAACCTCCCGGCGCTGTTATCGACACTTCTTCCTGAAAAAAGGACCGATCGAGTTTACTGTATTCAATCTGCCAGCCTGGAAAGAATCATTGGCCGTGCATATCTACTTGGCTCGTCAAGGATTAAGGAGTTAGCTCAGTACCGCCAGCCAGGGTCTGGTGTCGATTTGGCAGACTGTGTTTTTCGCATCCTCACAGTCACAGTAAGTATACCCGGGGCTTGGAAGCTGCCAGCTAATCGCGTATCAGCCAAGCCCTAGCTACGATCATAAAAACCTTGTTACAGTTGAAGAAATTGACCAACTTCTTCATTCTCTCGCGGCTAAAATAAAATGGAGCTCCCCCTCGATTCGTGCCTCACAGGCTAGCCTGACTCCAAGCAACAGGACTGATCTTGAGAGCCTCTACAGAAGGTTGAGTGCAACAGAGGCAAAATGGTTCACGCGGCTTGTTTTGAAAAGCTACCAGCCGCTCGTTCTAGACCCGCAACTCATATATCGACTGTGTGATCCTATTTTGCCCTGCGTTGTGAAGATACAGGATGATTTTGCTACTGCGATCACTTCCCTTCAAGCAATACGAGGAAGGCTTCTTCCAAATGCTGGGCGCAAAACACCACGCGAACAGATCATGGGCACAGTCAAACCTCAACTGGGTGTCAAAATTGGACGACACCCTTGGGTCAAGGGACGTAGCATTAAGCATTGTCTAGACATGGGCCATGGGCGCATGAGTGTGGAGGAAAAGATTGATGGCGAATACTGTCAGATCCACGTCGACCCAAGCAAAGGGGATAAATGCATACAGATATTCTCGAAGAGCGGCAAAGATAGCACAGAAGATAGAGTTGCACTTCACGGGCCAGTACAAATGATACGATACGCATATACGAACTGACCCCCTGGACAGGATCATACAAGAATCACTCAAAATTGGACAGCCCGACACCCGAGTCAAGAAAGCGTGCATATTGGAAGGGGAATTAGTTGTATATGACGATTCTGTAGGTATCTTCGGTCACCTTCTTAGCTCGTTTTAACATAGAACAGCAGGAGAAGATACTTCCGTTTCATAGGATTAGGAAGCATGTATCACGAAGAGGAAGGTTTTTGAACACAGAGCTAGACTCCTTGTAAGTTTTCCGTGCTTTCTTCACCATGTGTTACTAAACTCGTAGGCCTGGGCCCCAGGAACACCTCATGATAATTTATTACGACGTTATGCTTTTGGAAGATCAGTCTCTGATCAATTTGAGGCATTCAGAGAGATTCAAGATCCTCTCCAACCTCGTTTGTTGCCGTAAAGGATGGGCGGGCCTCGTTCCGCGCCAAGTCATTGATTTTGGACAGCCTCTGGGAGCCTCAACTCTTCGTAAAGCTTTTGCCATGGTTATTTTGGCTTGGAAAGAAGGCCTTGTTTTGAAACCAGATGAGCCATATTTCGACTTTACAGACCAGAGGCGAAGGTTTTCGAGCTGCTGCATCAAGCTCAAGAAGGAATACATTGGCAATTTTGGAGATGTTGGCGACTTTTCGGTTGTCGGTGCCAGATATGACTCGACAAAAGCCTTGAGTTACCGAATTCCAGGGCTCAAGTGGACTCATTTCTACATTGGCTGCCTGGACAACAGAGAAGCAGTCAAAAGCTGGGGCGCTAAGCCAGAATTCACCATCGTCAATGTTGTAGAGCTGAACGAAACTATCCTGAGAGAAGTTGTCATTTATTCGAACCCGGAGCCTGTTTCTCCCGACGACAATGGGGCACTGGCTCTCAAACTGGCTCCTGGGGTTGAACAAGGTTCACCGCCGACGTTCATATTCACTAAACCATTGGTGTTTGATTTGAAATGCTTCAGCTTTGACCGAGTGGGAAACACTGGCTTCTGGAGTCTCAGATTTCCTTCGGTGACGAAAGTTCACTTTGACCGGGAATTCACGGACACCATATCTTTCGAGCAGTTGCAGGCGCTGGCAAAGGAGGCTACGACTGCCGGCAAATTAGAAGATAGCCAGGAGAATCTACAGTGGATTGCAAAACTCGAAGCAGCTGACCCTCGTGGTATTGCTGTTGACGCTGCGAGCCAGTTGACAGTGACTACTATGCCAACACCGTCGCCTCGCAAATCAACACAAAATACCACCTCTACATGGTCTCCGAAGTCGCCCTTGGCTACAAAATCACCAGTTCAAGTCAGCCCTTGCCGCGGCCGACGGGAAAGAGTCCACAGGGCCCCATCTTTGGATTTGCCTTCCATAACAGCGACAACATCTTTGCGGACTGAACCATCGTCACCAACGAAATTGTGCGCCAAACACAAACGTGGCCTGCCCTCCACTGGACCAACTTCGCAGCATAAACGCTTGAAGAGTAGCAGTGAAACATCGATAAGCCAAAAAGACTACCCATACATCGATATTGCTTCACAACCACGCGCACCTCTCGCCGCCAGGGACAACAACCCGCGACCTCAGCCCGCCAAGTCTTCTTGCGCACCATGCTGTCCTTCCTCTCCGAGCGAGAGCTTCTTTGATGAATCCAGCAACTCCGATGGGGTCAACGCTGAAGTCGTAAAGTTCATCATCAATCCAGGCACTGGCGAGCTTCAGACAGAGACCAACCCCGAGCGCCTGAAACCGTCAACAACCAAAGTAACAACGGCATTGAAAAGGAAATGTGTCTATGCTGGCGAAGACTGCATGCTTGCAAACGCAGTTGTACTCTTTTTGCCAGGCCTTCTCGCCATGAAAGAAGCAAAAAAACTTCTCGCTCAGCATGGTGTTGACGCCCCTGTCACTGACATCGACACATGGCTCAATGCCGAGAAGGAGGCCAGACAGAAAGGGAAAATCACTATTCCTTCAAAGGCTTATGTTGTGTGCGATAGCGACAATAAACTTGTGTTCAAGAACCTAGCGGAAAGGTTCAAGGAGCTTCGTAAGGACAATCTTTTCAACAAGGGCACGCACATCGAAATTCACGACTGGCGCTTTTTGTCCTATCTCACGACACAAGAAGACGAGTCTATCGAAGAGAAGTACTTTCATGGGTTCTCTGACTGGCGCATGCGTTGGAAGCTTCACACTATCTGAAACCAGGCACCCAGTGATGAGAGATCTGGGGTCAAAACACACCTGGTAGACCACATTAGCTCATGCATGCCGAATCACCATATCAATAAAATGGCTGTGCTGTCCTGTCTATGTGTGATGTAGCTATGATTTCTTTTCATAAAGATCGCCGTAACTCTCCTTGAGTCTCATAAATAGGTGCTCATCAGCTGTCATGACCTTTCTTGTAGCATAAGGGTTCTCGCTGGACACTCCCTCGGAGGGCGTGAAGTTCTTTACTCTTTCGCTAGGGACAGGCTCAAGAGGTGCGGCCCCGACAGGATGACAGAAGTACGCGATTGAATATCTTGGTCCATTGCTTGTCTCCCCTTGCACCCCGGAGCTGCCTTCTGAGGGGAACACAACTCTATGTAAAGTGCTGCGGAAGAGCCCGTTCGTCCAGTATGACAATAGGTCGCCGATGTTGATGAGAATGGGTGGGCTAGGGTCTTCTTCAGTGCCATCAGGACACACGGGAACAGGTGCCCAAACGTTATCCTTTCTGAGAACTTCGAGTCCTGCTTGTCCCTTTAGACGGAAGAGGAGAGTGATAGAACCGTAATCTGAATGAGCTCCAGCACGAATGTCATCTTCGGAGTGTGCAGTAGACTCGGGGGGTGGATAACGTAGAAACCGAAGGATAGAGCTCGAAGCGCCTTTTTCTGTGTTGTGAGCAGAGGAGAAGAAATCGTCGACCTGGTTGTATAATAAGATAATGCTTAAGGCTGATTATTTTTGAAGCGACTTACACCGAGACCTAGGCCAAGAAGGTAGAGAAGCTTCTGGCAGAGGTCATGACAGGAGTTAGCAAAAGCACTTATCTGAGGCTCATCGGAAACCAGGTCAGATGGGAGAGGCTGTTGAGCTTTCCCATCTGCGAACTCGCCAAAGTTGAAGGCTCTGTCATTGCTATTTTAGTGACATATCATGGAATGCCTCGAAAGCTGCTCACTCTTTGAAGTCCCCGACCTAAGTTAACAGAATTAGCCCTTTATCCCAATAAAGCACTCTATTGGAAGAACGAGGCAAATGTACCTTTTGATGTTTAGGATCCAGTGTTTCAGAGTGCATGCCAGACCACCCACGGTTGTTAGTCTGGATCGTGCACCTTTGCTTCTCTTCCAAAGGGCATTCGAATGTCTTTCTGACCTGTATCGATATTCTCAGCCATCTGAATTCCCGATCAATTTAAATAGATCTGCTTCTCTTACTCACCAGATCAAACGCCCCATCGATGTCCTTAGCTTGAATGTCATGGCCCAGGTTGCGGATGTAAATGAAACCATGCTCTTCAGCAGCGTCGACAAGCTGTTTAGCAACTTCTTTTTGGTCGGCATCAGGAGCAGAAATGTCAATGATGGGTATGTTGGCCGTGTTCTGGTCTTGTCCCAGAGGCCGTCTGAAGTGAGCAGCTTTGTCTCTCATAGGATAGTTCATGGTTACACTTCGTAATAGACAGTAGGGATGGAAGCTGAGATACAAGCGACGGCCTTGTTTTCCGGTCAGATGGGATTTTAAGTAGCGAACAATTAGAGGTTCTGATTCCTTATCTGTTACAAAAGCGTCATATCCCCCACCATCCTCATTCGTAATGGTAACTGAGTGTACCCTATGTAAGTATCTCGGGCGAGTTCGGCTCTGCACAGCCACATCAGTGGTCAGACCTTACTCACACTAGCCACACTCATGAGGGCTGCTCTTTCCCCTGGTTGGCAATGGATGGTAGCGGTTAGAATGTCCCGTCCCGCCCGTAGGTCGCTTCATTTGGTGGTCGTGTGGCATGGTAGGCAGGTACCGTTTAGGTACGTCCCTGCCACTGTAACTCGCCAAACTTTCCTGTCACGTCTTCCACCAGCTGTCCGTTTGAAGCTGAAGATACCTTCTCCAAACCTTCAATTTCCCCACGAAAATCATAGCAAAATCCTCCTTTTTCTCTCCTCCTCCCCCCGCCCTACGTCGGTCTCTCGCTGTCATCATCACGACCCCTCCGACGGCCCGCCTGCTGCCTTCTCTCTTCACCGGCTGCGCCATTCAATCCCAAGCCAGCACCTTAACTCACTTGGCGGTCCTCCTTTCAACCCCGCCATATCCTGTCAACATCAACGCCTTGCCACCAACACCTGCGATTTCTACTCCTCGCTCTTCGATCGGCCGACGACACCTTGCCGCAAAATATCCTCATTCGCCGATCTCCAGTACTGGAACTATAGCACGGGCTCCCGAGTTGCTGCGAGTCTTTCGAGATGCCATGTGAGTCTCACCCTGTGCGATTAGGAGCAGGCTTGGCCCAGAGTCAGTCTGGTTCAGGGTTCAGCATGGAATTGTATAGCTTGCAATATATGCTGCAGCAACCAAAAGCTTCCCAGTGTGATTGACGCAGCTTGTGCGAGCTCAATCGTTCATGGGGAAGCTTCCAGGCCATGTGCAAAGTCAATTGCAGTCTTGGCTTTGTAGATTGGTCACCCCAACAGCTGCTCATCGTAAAGAAGATCACACCACGATGAATAACTATTCTCCGTCGCTTTGCTTCTGCGATATCCTCATAGTTTAGTTTTTGTAGCTTGTGCTAACTCTCAAATCAGTCCTTTTTGAGGATTCCTGGATTAATGACCAGGTTTCGTATGTGCCATGCGACTTACTCTCGCAAACATATTCGCGCTAACAGAAAGCAATATAGCACCCACGACATCTCCGAGCTCGAAGGATGCGCCATCGCTGTTGATGCAACCTATTACCTGAGCCAGCTTCTCGAAACCCCTCCTGCCCATGAACCTCTGTTGTCAGCTCTCGGTGGCCTTACTGGGGTCGAAGCACATATAAACCAGAACCTCGATCTCTGGGCAAAGTCCGAGATTGTCCCTTTCTTCGTTTTCGATGGCCAGCCCGTAACCGGCCAGGATGACATCACTCTGGATCGTGGCCTCAAGGCCAACAAGAAGACAGATGAGGCCTGGAACTTGTACTCTCAGGGGGCCGCTGAGGAGGCGGTGACGACCTTCGGTACTAGCCCAGGTTGGTGAACATTGGCTCTCAATTTCAGGAACCGACCTAACGTGAGGTCATGATAGGTGCCTTTCGCATTCAAAATCTTTACCCGTTGCTTCAAACGGTTCTGAAGAACCGTGGACTTCACTTCTTGGTTGCGCCCTACACTGCGTGCGCCCAGGTGCGTATCTTATGAACTTTACGACTTGTCACTCTCATTCTGACAGTAATAGCTCGCCTATTTCGAGATGATCGACTCAGACCAATGCTCGGGTGTGATGGGCTCTCAGGAACTTCTTCTATACCCTGTCAAGGATTCTGTCATTCGGGCATTCGATTGGGAAGCCAAGACCGTTTCTGCTATTTCGAAGAAGAAGGTTATGCGCAGTCTCACACCCACTGCAAGTGAGCCAAGGTTCATTGACTCGTTTCTCATGGCCGGTACATCGTTCCTGCCTCCATTCCCTGCTCTTCTGGAAAGCTCTATATACTCGGACTACAATATTTCGACTGCCGCCAACTTGCTGAGGACTGCAGAAAACAGTGTCGCAACTGCTTGCGCCAGCTTCAACGATATACTCCAAAGCAAGGACTCTGGTTGGCTCGACAAGTATCGCAAGGCAAGAATGGTTGTCCACCACTTCGTTTACATCGCTGAGAGTGGCGAAATCCGTGTAAACGACTATGAGCACTTGACCAGTGACAACCATGAATACCTCGGCCTCCAGCTGCCAGCTGAACTATTCCATTATCTCAACACCGGCTTGATTGGGCCCCGTCTACTGGGCAACATCACCCACGGTCAAGTTCTCATTCAGCCAACCTTGGACGGAGTTGCCTCGGACGAATACAAAAAGCTCATCACTGACAGAATAGTGCCCATTAAAGAGCAGGCCCTTTCTCTGTTGATCCCCAGACTTCACCGAGGTATCCAGCACAAAAATATCAAAGTTCGCGTCTGGTTTGACCCCAAATATTCTTACACGATCAACCACCGCTCTGTCAACCCTCCTCCCTCCCAGAGGGTTGCCAGCTGGAGTGTCAAGGATGAGGATCTTCGTGCATTCTTCCCTGATGATTTCGCGGGCCCCGTGTCGCTGGAAGTTTTGTCACTTGTTAACTCCGACTTTGTGGCTAAGACATTCCCCAAGGAGAGGCCCATAAAGGGAATCGACAGCACAGATATGGTGACTTCGGTGGCCATCTGGCGATTCCTCCACCTGAGAGGATACGCCAATGATGAGCACAAACTTACACCGTGGGGTAATGCCTTGGCCAATACTCTTCTGATTCTCCAGGACGCCAAGGAGAACCATCCTGAGGTGACTGGTCTGCCAGAAGCAGCCCTGGTTGCATTTGAACTCATCCGAAACGGACTTTTGACAGGGAAGCACACTGAAGGCCAAGCTGGCCTGCCCCGGAAAGGTTCTTATGACGAAAAGGCAACTCTTGTGCTGATCAGCGAGTGCGCTTCCTTGTTGAAGCTTCGGCACCAGGTTTATGGATACACTGGTCCGCTTAACAAAAACCTGCTCAGCTTCTGGTCCCTGGCATCAGCAGTGAGAGAAGCTGATCGAGATCTGGTTGAGGCGATTGTGGCTTCGATGTTCTTGTATGGACAGTCGAAGCGTGAAAGGGATGATCAATTGGAAATCAGTCGACGGTATGGTTCTTCCCCGTCCTTCATTAGACACCACTAACACTTGAACAGGCTACCTTTCCATCAAGAGCCCGATATCGGCCTCGGCATTGCTGTGCGGACCTTCTTCGATGACGATGAAGCTGGAGGGGACCAGGAGGCTCGCTTACAGCGGCTGGAAGAGTTCCCTAAGACATTCGTGCCATATGCCGAGTCACTAACTAAGGACTTCCGTGTTGTGCGTGACTTTATCGATGCACTCGTTAAGGGCGTTAAAATGCTGGGTACGGACGAGCTACGGGCGGAAGATAAGGATGCATGGACCAAGGCTCAGGCATACCTCGAGGCGCGACCTTTCTAGAGCATGGCCGAGGCTTGAGGCATATATATGGCAAATGTTACATTAGTGGTCTTTGAGTGTGACCCATTTGGTCACAAACCGTCTTGCAGACTTAGCGGCGTTGGCGCGGGCGGCATAAAAAGTCAGGGACATAAAAGTTATCACATTAGCAGACGTGTCGGAGGAGTTGCCAGCAGGACTTGTGGGGATGGGTTGATGTCAAGTGAGGAGGTGGTGCTGGAGTGCATGGCAACACGTCCCCAGCCAGGCGGCTCCAGAGGTCGTTGGACGAAGCATTTAAGATCCTAGTAGATATAGCCAGGTTGGTGATATCCAACATGCGTACTATATCCAGTCAGGAAAGCTGCTTTCACACACAATTCAACACGAAAAAAAAAAGAAAAAAGTCAGACTACACATCCAGTGGCTTCTTTAGGGTCTTGTAAGTGACTAGCGATTATATTGATATGAGCGGAGTAGCTCTCCAGTCTACATTGGATATAAGATATCATTACCATACCACCACCAACGCCTCTCGACAGCTCCCTTAAGAAAGGGTCAGTACCATAGGCCCAGCCACAGTAATGTCATCTGACAAAACGCCCTCCAAAGGTCCAGCACTGGTCAAGGTCACGTAGACAACGCCCGCAGCTCCTTGGGGAACTTCGCAGCCCTCTCCCTCAGTGAAGGTAGTGAATTTGGTTCCACCAGGAAGCTGACCTCCAGAAGTAAAACCACAGTGCGTGGCTCCAGCGGCAGCCTCGGAAGCAAGCTTCACTTTAGTTCCAATGGCTACAGCCTTGACGTCCTGGCCCTCTGCCATAGCGAGAGTGGGGAACGCTTCGATCTTGAGGTTAGAACCCTCAGGGCATTCCGTGATGAAGGGTGCGGCGAGTGAGAAAACTGCCCGGGGTCCAAGGGCGGTATCGAGAGGTTGAGGAACTGCCTTTGCCTGAGAAAATATCCTGATGGCGGTTTGATGCCGTGCTTCAACAGTAAGAATTGCGCCAGCGGTGCCGAGGATAGCAGGGTCAGAGAGCAGTGGCGCTGCACCCAGGTAGGCCGAGACACCAACACTCTCGAGAATAGCAGCTGTTGCAACCATGGCAGCTGGGTCGGCTGTTGCGCCTTTGAAGTCGTATTTACACTCTTGGACAGGTGTGATGCCATTACCTGCGAGGGCAGACTGAAGGAGGACTACGTGAGCAGCCTCGGTTTTGCCAATGGCCTTGATGTCGTCAAGGGTTTGTGTTGAGAGGCCGAGAGGGGCGAAGGCTTCGTCGGAGAGGGTTAGAAAAGCCTCGCGGTAGAAGGTATCCTCAAGATGCTCCAGTGTCAAGGCGCTGAGCGTGTTAGTTTAGTTGTTTGGTGTGACAGGGCCATGCTGTCAAGACTTACAATTGGAGGATATCTAAGTCACTGAGGCCAGCAGCAGCAGCAGCATCATTCTGGCGCTTGGACAAATCGTGATACTGAAGTTGTCTCTTGGTAAATCTAGGGCCAGAAGGCATCGCCAAAGCCGTGGTGGCAAAGAGGCCGAAGAGAATAGTCTTGAGAGATGCCATGTTGTATAATCGAAGGGAACGTGTCGGACCAGCCAGCAAGGAGAGTAATAGAAATAAGTTTCAGAAGAAAGAAGAAAAAAAGATATTAAACAATGAGATTGATCTCAATTGAAGAACCGAATCGAATGTAATAGGAATTAGGGTATCAAAAGCAGGCCAGCGCTTATTGAACGAGCGAGTGTAAACGAAAGGACAAAACTGTCTTTATAAGTCAAGTCAGATCGAGAAAACAAAACGAGAACAACGTGGATACCACAGCCTTAATATTCTAATTCTCAACGCCGGGATCATCATCTTGACTTGTTCGGCTGGCACAGCATCCGTGATATCACAGGGGTGTTAAGCATGCCTCACCACTGATGCCAAGAGAGGACGACGTCCAGGAACGCCAGATAGCCGTGTTTAACAAGCTTCCCCTTCAAACGTTTCCGCTGACTGAGCTCGACTACCCGGGGTTTGCCATCTGAAGATCTGAGACGTCAAACGCGAGCCATGAAACCGTCCCGAGATATGGCAGCGCACATGTAGTATATCTACAATGTAACGCTGTAGGTGGCCCAAGGATGATGATGAAACACCGTCCTGAGATCCCGAAATCCCCTCACTGCATTATTTGGTCCATTATGAGCATTGCTCGGTCCGGTCATTGGCCGAAACACTTCTGATACAAATCAACCCTGCAAAAGAAGCCAAAAGGCTAAAGTAGAATTAATAGTTTGAATCTGATAACTGTAATCTAGCCTCTTTTGCGCCATTGCTGGGCTAACCCAGAATCAGAACAAAACAAAGTCTTGTCGGTAATTGAGATGGTCGGCAAAACAATGGAACCGCCTTCGCCTGATAGCTGAATTAATTGACGATTGCCTTGCAAAGCACTCCCAGAAATTCTACATACCTACCTAGTACGTAGTCGAGTACAAGGTCTTGTCGTTTTCCTAGAAACAGATGGAAATCCTTTTAGAAATAAGGCAAACAGCACAATAACAAAAAGGCGATCATATACTGCTTGAGAAAAGATGAGATTACTTCCGCTGTTCAATACCACTACCTAAAAGTCCGACTCCTTCTGGCAATCTTCTCCGTCTGGCAATGCTCCTCACACAAACATAGATATACCTTCTTCCTCGACCAAGTAGCCCGTTTTAAAGACTACGCACTACGTTGTCCCCATTACAATCGTCGGCTAACTTTTGTTTGTCCTTTCACAGAGCATAAGGGTTCAGAGATCGGATGGTCAGGCAACTGGTCTCTCGGTTAGCACAATACTTCTTCTCTAAACAAAAGTTGACTTACGGTGGGCTCTTGGTGAGATCCGTCTTCAGGATCACCGGTACCCTCGTCATCTCTGTCACATCCTGGATGTAGTCACCACCCTCCTCGCGAAGCGAGAAGAAGCTGAGGTACTTCTCCTTGTTGGTGAGGCGAGTCTCGACAGCCTCCGCCACAGGGACCTTGGAATCGGAACGAGTGCGATGCAGGTTGCCGGCGTTGGATGAGGAGCGAGCAGGGGAGCCGGGGACGCTCTGAGTAGGGCGCTCAGCCAGCGAGGCTCCGGCCATGGCCTCAGTCACGTCGGATGTGTTATCGTCGTCATCGTCGAAAAGAGCATCAACGTCATCAGTTGAGATGGTGCCGGTATCGGTTTGCTTGCGAGTAGCTTCCTCGCGCTCCTTTCGGACACGTTCAGCCTCCTCAGCCTGGCGCTGAGCTGCTAGAGCATTTGAGTGTCGGATGGATGCGGCAGCCTTGGGTCGCTCATCCTCAGGCACGAACGCCGAACTGGGAACGCCCTTCTCCCAGTAAAGCTCAAGAACCCGCTTCTCCTTGCGGAACTCGGCCTTCTTCAGAGGTAGCTGGTCACAGTGAACTCGCTTCTCGAATCCCCACTCAGGGATGAGAACGTCAAACGCAGACTCGTATACACACAAGACGATACCCTCAGCAATGAGGTCACCGTTGGCCTCTTGGCGCTTCTTATCCATCGTTCGGCAAGACTCGATGTGGACACTCTGCTCCTGGGCATTCTGAGCAGAATCCTTCTTAGTATTACAAGACTCGGCGGTCTTGACGAGGTTCTCCAGATCCTCAGTAAACTCAATCTTGCCCTCAGAGAGAACAGCCTCGAGTTGACGATGGACAATAATATCGGCGTAGCGCCGGGTTGGGTTGGTGAAATGAGTGTAAAGAGGCAGGTTGAGAGCATAGTGGGGCCACAGCTGCTTGCCAGTCTTACCTGAAATGAAGTACTTGGCCCTCTGCATAGACTTGACGACAAGAGTCTCCATACCCTTTCGCAGATCTGGGTCATCAACCTTGAAGAGGCTGTTTTGGAGGGCACCGCTGCCGGATGAGTCGATATCATAACCCAACGCTGTCATGCGCTCCACGAAAGTCTGGAGTCGGCGGGGGTTGGGAGCAGACTGGCGACGAAGGAAGGCCTTCTCAGGGAGCCCCTCAACAAGACGTTGTGCCACATGAGCGTTAGCTTTGTGAATCAGTTCTTCCACAAGCTCAAGAGCCTGCGTCGAGTCGAAGAGGTTGTCCTGGACGGGGTCGTTCTCGTCGTCGAGTTGCTGGAGCAGTCTAAGAGGTGCAATGGGTTCGCCACCGGCGCCGAGACGAGCTTCTCGGAACTTCTGCGACACAGCGTTGAGAATCTGTATCGTATTGACAGGAACAGCCGGGTTCTTGTATTCCGAGGGGTTTGTTAGAGCATCATCAATGTCGTCAAGGGAAACCTTGCCGGCGCTCTTGATGATCGAGCGGCCAATCCATGCATCACCTTCGGCGACAGAGCCAGTGTGGGGGTTCACATTGAATACCACGGACACAGCGAGACGGTCCTGTTCGGGGGTCAGAGAGCAAACTTCAGCCGACAGCTTGGGCGGCAACAGGGCGCAGAAGCGATTCTTGAGCTGAACGGAGGTGCCTCGCTTCTTAGCCTCGCGATCCACCAGGGAGTTGGGCTTAACAAAGTGTGCGATGTCAGCTACATGGATACCGATCTCAATCTTGCCATCAGGACGAGACTTGACATGCACGGCATTGCCGAGCTCAGCTCCTCCGTTGTAGTCGATCGTGAAAACATTCTCTTCGCGGTAGTCACGACGTTCGGCGAGGGCTGCCTCGTCTTCCTTATCAAGCGACCAGTCTTGCAGGCCAACGCTGCGGAGCACGGCGTCAGAGAACTCATCTGAAGCGAAGTTGTTGTCGCGAAGAAGAGCATCGGTTTCAACCTTAAGATCACCCATGCGTCCAAGCTGCTCAACCAGAGTTCCAAAGGGGTGGAGGGAGGTAATGGGCCAGCGCTTTATGCAAGCCACAAAAATTCGATCCGCGTAGTCTTGGTGCTTCTCAACAAAGTCGCGGGGCGCCTGTTCGGTGGGGATGGCAATAAGTGGCACACGCTTGTCTGTGGGCTTGAACCAAACAATCTTGGGCTTTTCCTGTTGGCGAGGCTCGGGGTGGCGCGAGTTGTTACCTTCACGAGCAGCCCTCTCGGCCTCCTGCTTCTCCTTGGTAGCTTGGCTGCTAGGGCGGAGTAGGCCAAGAGTGCCTGAAAACATTTGACCGGCAACACGCTCAACAACAGCAACAACGTGGCCAGCGTACAGGGGCTTCTGTTCATCGTTGATTTCCTCCTCTTCAACAAGGAGGAGACTCTGGCCCTCAACTTCCACATCATCGTTCTTCTTTTGAGTGGGGCGCTGACGGAGACTGCCACGACGACGAATTCCGCCCTCGGGAGCGTTCCCATCGTTGTTATTGCCAGAGTTTTGATTACCTTGGTTAGTAGATCCGGACCGAGTATCGGTAATGTCTTTGCGTTTCTTCTTCTCTTCTTTCTCGCGCTTCTGGCCCCAAACTTCGTCAACATCCAGAAGCTCGATAGCGACGAGATCACCTTCGAGAGCACGGTTTCGGTCCTTGCTACCACAAATGAAGATATCAGCGTCAAGCAGACCATCCTGAGTGGTAACATAAGCATCACTACGGTTCTTCTTGTTGACACGGAGGATACCGGACACGAGCTGCCCATCAGCCAAAAGAGCGGGGAGGGAGGCCTGAGGAAGATAGGGGGTAAAAAGGGTCTTTCGCTGTTGTTGCTGCTGCTGGCCACCAAGCTGACCAGCATGCTGGGAGCCCTGGAGACCCATAAAAGGCTGGCCATTCATTTGAGCGGCTTGCAAAGCCTGTAGCTGGTTCAGCTGCATGGGATTGAGCTGCTGCCCATACATTTGGGGCATCATCATCTGGTTGGGGAGCTGCATAACCTGAGGTTGATTGGGGTTATACTGAAAGCCTCCAATTCCAGAGACGGACTGGTTCATAGATCCGCGAGGTCGGTGACCAGGCTGGAAGCCTTGGCTCTGTCCGGCATTGCCAGACTGTTCTTGGCCCTGTCCTTGAGTACGCCAGTTACCTTCGAAGTTGCGAGATCCGGTACGGGCATGGCCGCTTCCGCGGCGTTGGAATTCATTGCTTTCAGCATTCAAACCACCACGGCCGCCGCCTCGGCCATTAACCGCCATGCTCTGACTGCGGCCATGACCGCCACGTCCACCGCGGGTCGAGCCTTGAGCAACAGGAACTTCGAGGGTGGACTGGGAAGCGGGCTTGTTCTCCTCGTCAGGGGCAGGAGAGGCAGGGAAGGAGAAGCCGGTGGTTGTTCGCTTCTGTTGGGCAATCTCGGCGGCCTTCTTGGCGTCGGCGAGGGCTAGAGAGTGTCTTCTTTGATGACCACCACCAGCACCTCCACCACGGCCGCCTCGGCCTCCAGTATTCTCTCGACCCTGGGCTTGAGGGGCTTCAAAGTTGCCAAAGCCGGATCCAGAAGCACCAGACGAGGGCGCAGGAGGAGGCCCCATGCCCATGTTAGGAAGTGCCGACTGATTACGGCGATGTGAGAGTGGCTGGGTGGGAGGAGCCATGTTCTGCTGAGGTACTTGGTTGGGGAACTGGAAAGCAGCTTGCGACATATTGGGCATTGGCTGCAAAGGATTGAACGCACCACCAGGACCGAGGGGCTGTCCAGGAGGCACCATTCCCATATTGACATATTGCTGATGCGTAGCTTGAATCTGCTGCTGCTGTTGCTGCAACAGTTCGATCTGCTGCTGAATGGCAAGCTGCTCCACTATAAGATAGATCAGTTAGTACACTGCTGCATAATGAACTCCCATAGCTATGGCAGGGGCATCATAGATGATGACTTAGAAACGTATGGAACAGTTGCTGCTTTAAAGGGGCAAGATGACAGAGTGAAGGTACAGGATGATGGATATATAAAGTGTTGGAAACAGGACAGTTGAGGCCTCATGAACTTACTTCCAGGGTTAGCAAACATGCTCATCAGTGGCGTCAGCTCAGAAGGGCTTCGGCGATGGGCAATGTGAAGTCTACGTCCAGCAGGCCCAGGGACGCCGCCAACCTGAGGCTGCTGCTGGGAAGCTTGCTGTTGAGAAGACTGCTGCTGCTGCGGCTGCTGTTGCTGCGGCTGCTGCGGGGGTTGCTGTTGCTGCTGCTCCATGTTGGGCAGTTGAGTCAAGAGCACTTGGATTGTAGATATAGCACGTCGATGTTCGGCGAAGGTGATTGATCACGATACAGCTAGTTGGATCTGATATCGAGAAGCGTTGTAATGGCCGAAGATGGGCGGTTGGGTGAGGATAGGCGAACCTGTTGGGAAACGGGCAATGGATGAGGCGAATTGCGATGGCGATAGGCGATGGCACGGCGGGACAATGTTTGCCCAAAAGGAGGGTAGACGAGCTTGCGCTGAGCCAAGGAATGTGATTTGGAAAGGCGGCGATGAAGAGGCAGATGGTGAGACGACAAGAAGTGAAAGCCTGGATGGATGGAACAAATTCCAACTCCTGGCGACAGGAAGAGAGACGAGAGTGAGTTGGAGGAGAAGAAGAGGAGGGATGGATGCGAAGAAGGTGATGGGTGGATAGGTAGGTACCTAGATAGAGATGGTTTAGCTTCAGTGGAGAGCGTGAGGTGGGATACGGCTACGTACCAGATAAGTTTGGACTGTACTTCTGCCCTAAATTTACGTATGTCTTGCGCAGCTGGTAAGAGCCTGATGTACCTTCCCTCTCTGGCTCCTTGTCTCCATTAGCAGTTCTAAAATGGAAAGTAATAGATGTAATAATCGAAAGCTACCGCTGCTGTATTTCTCGTACCGCTTTGGCTGGCCTTTACTACCGCACGAGCGCAAATGAATATCTGGGGCCATTGGATCACAGCTTTAGCATCCAGACAGCTGGACCGGGGGATTATCCTTAGAGACGCCTAAAGATGGGGTTGTCCGCTGGTCTAACGCACCTCTAGTGGCTTCCAGCCGGGCCTGGTAGAGCCCCTAGCACCTGAAGCTCGCACTGACGCCGGCTGACTCCGCTAATAGCGGGGATGCTATCTCCTAAGTGCCATGGATAATGGCTGCAGAGTCTGGACAACTCGTTCAACTGAAACTGTCGACTCCTTTCAGTCTCTATCCTTAATCGGATATGTCAAGAACACATTGCTAGGTTCAGTTCACCGAAATATGAGTCTTGAAATTACTGTGTTTGTTTTCAGGAGCTTCCTGTATCCTGCTCACAAAGACGGTCAAAGTTCAAATACAAGGGTACCACCACCCCCCTAGCTTGAGATTGGACATGGTCCATGATTCAAGGAGTCGATCTTTCTGAATGTGGCGTTGAGGGATGAGAGGGCGTCATCCAGAGTAAATAGAGTGAAACTTGATAAGAAAACCGGGCGATGGATCATTGTTCATGTTTACCTTGCTGTGAGACAGTCTTGCTTTGTGATGGAAATAGTCGAGGTCTTGAAATTGAGCTGGCCGATATACGAACAATTAGAATTTTATGGATACTGACAGTGGAAATAGCTAGCCTTTGGCTAACTAGCTGACGCCGTTACCCCAGTGTTGAAGTGAGACGAACTCATTCAGCAGAGGACAGGTCTTCGCTACGTTTCAATACCTTTACCATTCTCAAGACCCTGGCACTACTATTGTCAAACGATGTCGAAACAGACTCCTCCCCTAAAAACAAAAACCCCAAGACCGACTACCGAGTACTCGTCCTCATCCTCTACGCGTCCAGTGTTACACTTCAAAGCGTCCTAAACGAACGAGGCCCCTGTGACTACCCAATGTGGTGATGCTTAACCGTATCCGCCTACGCTAGGGGCGACGAACCTGGGACCCCTTGCTTCAAGCCATGGATACACAAACGAATCCTTGCGGCTTAAACATACCAAAGAACGAGAAAGGGAGCTATAAGTTAAAATTCTTTCTCTATCCGTAGTCAGAAGATAGTTATGGGTTATCTGAGACCCATATTGTACATGGAGGACAAGAGAGAAGTATAATTTTCAAAATTTGTTAGGAATATACTAAGTTTAACTATCATAAATACCAATTATTCAGTCGAACAGTTCCTGACGCTACCGAACATGAGGGAACAAGGGGAACTGGATGTTTCTCTTCTAAGGTTGGCCTTTGCACGATTTATTAACCCAAAAAACGGGCTGGATCCCAAAACTCACGTCATCGAGGGGCAGTTCATAGTCTCACTGACGAAATTTGATGAGTTGGAGCTTAAGTGATCTCATCTACATTCCACCGATTCTTCTCCTGGGATCTATCTGCATCGCTGGAAGTACCGTATCAAGTACTGTGAAGATCCAGTCAGCTTCACGTTTCTTTATTTCCATCAAAAACCGAGATAATCTGCAAGTAGTCCACAGCTAACCAGTCACTTCACGGTGGCTGTCTTTTCGAGTAGTGAGGATGAAACGCTTCTTCACTCTGCCAGAAATGTTCAAGGCCTCGCTTAAAGTGAAAATCATTCACGAAGAAAATTAAACCAGCTTCCAATAGAAAGTCTTAGCAGTTCCAGAACTGGTTGTGTTCTGTTTCAACAGTGCCTAGGTCATTCGGCATTTCAGATTCCCAAGTTACCTTACTTATGTTGTAATTGGATATATTGGCTGATTTGCGATACTGTTGTTGGTAACTGATGCCATGCGTATACAGTAATGGCATGACACGTATTGTGTTCGAGACGATCTCGAGCTTAAAAAGCCCGGTCATGTAAATCAACACAGAGTTCAGCACTTTTGTTCACTCTTGGTGTTCAATGTCCTCAGTCTTTCAGACTGACTTCGGTGGATTCGAAGTCAACTTCCGCTTACCTCGAATGGGGCTTAAGTAAGCTACCTTACACAAATGGCCAGCAATGGCCCGGCCCTCAAGTCGGCAGTGAATCACAACTATCAGTGTTCTATATTCGAGTCAACAGCAATACAATGCAACCCTTCAGTCGGGATACTCCATCGCGCCTCATGGTGTCTATAAGGAGTAGTAAGCTTCATGGTAGTTGCTTGATAATGCAGAGTGATGGCCGCACATGGGGATGCCTCGAATTTCTGAGGTTGACCAAGATATTGCACATTGGACTTCCTGAGGCAGTCGATTTTAAACTTTCAAACAAGGGACTACGCTGTCGGTTGCGTCTGTTACCTAGAAAATGGTTCCCATTTCTGTTTCCCCATGGTCAAGGAAGCAGCTACATACATGGGCACTGTCGAAGCCATGTTTCACAAAACTGGCCCGTACCTATTAATTCCTTGAATCATGTTCATCAATGTAGGGTACCCAAAGGACCCATGCTGTAGCTTGCAGGTACATGTGGCGCATGTCGGGACTTTATTTTAGCGGGCCGAGCTGAATCCACTTCCTCTCAAAAACTAGCTATACCACTTTCGACTAGCTTGTGGTTCAACAGTCGACAATAAGGACCTGGTCGTACAATAGGAACCACCTACCTGATGTTTTGATCCAATGGATCGACATCCAGCCTCTTCTAAAGGGCTGCCTTAACACGATTTATCAACTGCTGCATATAAACTTCACGCGACTTCGGCAGTCGACATCTTCTTCACACTGTTTTTCTTTTTCTGCAGAACTCAAAGAACACTTTTGTGCCGCCGAGAACCAAGATTGTTACTCTTTTGATTCGAAATCTTTCAACTTCCAGATGCGATCCGAATAACGGACCTGGGAGTCCTTTGTATACGACATGACATTCTCGTCGCCCGTGAGGCGCAATCAGTTGCTTTCCAGCCCGGATCGCAACATAGCAGCAACTTTCCTTCTCGACTCGCGAAACAATGAACTGAACCATCGGGATGCTCTGGCTGCAGCACAACTAGAGCATGACCGCGTACGCCAAGCAGCTATACGGGTGTACGAGCTCCATGAGCTACAGGAGGAGCACAAGCGCATCGTCGCTGAGGAGCGTAGAGAGGAGGAGAGGCTCAAAGCGGAAGCTGCAGTAGTTGCGGAAGAAAAACGACTACGGGAACTCAAGGCAAAGACGGTCCCTCGTTTACCCCCAGAGCCCGCACCGCAACCACCTTCTACAGCCAAACCGGAACCTGCGAAGACGAACGGAGCAACTCAAATCAAAGATGTGACACCGGCCTTAGATGCAAAGAAACCCGTTGTCTCTCCTGCGACAGGCCCGGCATCAGCTTCCGCTACGACAGCAAGTTTTACTCAAACGAAACCGAGCAACCAATTCGGCACCACACAACCTGCTTCTGAAAGCCTACTACAGAAGTCAAACGGGGCTACAACACAATCTACAGCCCCAGCTGCTACGACCATTCCTCAGCCCGCAGTCAAGCCTGCAGCGCCCACAGTACAGCCTGTGCAGTCTAAATCAGCACCCAGCATTGACCGCTATTCCCAGATTCACCAAGAGCTCAAGAAACTACGAAAAGAGTTGCAAGCTCAATCCAAGGTCGCCGGGTCGCCTCTTAAGGGCAAGCTGGGTGCTGCTCGACGAGAAATTCGAGTTGCTATTGGTCAATTGACTGGTGGGAAGGGTGCAAATGCCCAACCTGTAAGTCATAAGCATCGATTTTGAGATCACTGCTAACACTTCTCAGATCAACAAAATTACGGCAGCACTGAAAGAGGCTTTGGAAGGCCGGATACCAAGTCCTCCGATTGATGTCAGTCTCTTTGTGGTTGATAAAAGAGAGCCCGTGGAAGGCTCTCCAAACAACGAGGCTACTCTGCCCTCACTCTTCATATATCTCATAAACATCTGCGCCAAGGGTATTGTCAGCCAATTCATTAACGAGGGTGGCGCAAATCCTAAGGCTGCAGACCCTGTTGGTGTATTTGCAGCTCATATCTTCTCCACCAAGGAATTCCAATGGCGAGGTCAGTCTTTAGTCGATATTCTCATGGCCAAATATCGAATAGTGTGCCCAGTGCTATTCGGCCACAGAGGCAGTGACAAAACTGAACGCGGCCGTATGGCAATCGGCTGGAAGAAGGACGGGCCATCATGGATTACCGAACAAAGCCATAACGATAGGATGACTGGCTTGGGCGCCGGCTTTGCTTCTCTATCTCTGAGAGATTTCGGCAAATCTTCCAAAAAGAACCCCTACCCACCCACAAATTACTGGAGGGCGCTCGCTTACATTGTCAACTCACCGCCCAGTGAGACGTCAAACACTCAATATGTGGTGCTGCGATCCATGATTCAGGGACACGAGCAGCGTTTTCTCAATTTCTACGGCAATGCAGCTTTGGCAGCACTACGACTTGCTCTCATCGAGTTCCCCAAGAAGGCACCGCAAAATGCGACTGCTGCTGGCTCCTTGGCTGCTCTGGCAGATGTGCTCAAGACCGAATCTGGGTTGATCTTGACTTAGCGGCGAAAGACGCCCTGTTGTATGATCAACCGAATACCAACTCAAAGAAACTCTCGGCCGGGATGTTAAAAATTTACGAAACTGAAGACCGCTCTACTGCAAGATGATCCATTCTAGGCATCGTTCTTGGCGGCGTGTTATATGTTTGATAAACTTGTTAAATTATAAGGTGCCATTGGGGTACAAAATGGCCGCTGCTGCTCTATCCTTGTTTGTAGTATACAGATTTAAGACAAAAAGAAAGAAATACCCGGTCCCTGTATTGGTAGTCATTAAAGTGATCCCAGCCTAAACTCCCAATTCCCAGATGTTATAGTGTCATAAATGCTCTTTACAACAGAGCTATGCATTCGTCTTTTGACCTGGATACAAACATCACAGGATTAGAAGGAGAATCAACAATAGGATGAGGACGAATATCAGAACCGCTATACAGCAACTGCTGTATCGGTCCTCGTTCTGTCGCATCACATACTGAAGTTTCTGAACGCCTGTTGCCAACCGGCCACCAACGCGATCAGCCACGGTATCTACCTCCTCCAACATCTCACGCTGCTCCTCGAGCTCTCTGCCCATATCATCCGCCTGGCGACGTAAGTTACCCACTGTTTGAAACACGCCGTCCAGATGCTGATCCTGCTCGTGCATCATTTCCATCTGCTGTTGTTGCTCGAACTCGGCGTAGTTATCCTCCGCATCACCATCAATGGCAAACGCATTCGGGTCAGGCAAGTCGCCCGCGTCCACTTTTTTGGCGAGCTCATCGTGCATATCATCGATCTCGCCGCCAACCTCTTGGACGAGTCGTTTTCGTCGCGTGACTTCATTTGGTGATAGGCCAAATTGCGACGGTTTGGATTCAACAGCTCGAACAGATGCGACCAGATCTGCTAAGTCGTCGGCAAGGGATGACAAGGCGGACTCGAGATCGGAGCGAGCTGATGCGAGTTCAGGAGAATTGGCATCCGTGGAAAGCGAGCGGATCCGGAGATATGATGCGAATAGAGGCCGGGCATTCGCCATCTGGTTGAGAACATCTCTGTGCAGGTCTTGTTAACAACAACAACGAAGCACCAGGAAGACGAAGACGTACTGTTGGACCTGGAGGAAAGGATCCTCGTCGTTGGTAGAGGACATCATCCTGACAGCGTCAAAGTGACCATACGCAGTAAACACAATGCGCGAGGATTCTGCGCGACTTGGTGGAAAAAGGAGTGGATTAGTGAGTATTAGGCCAGGTGTTTCACGATATTCGGGAGGCTGCGACAACGAAGGTTCCGAGGGATGACGTTGCATGGACCCTGCAGGTGAGCTTAACCCGGAAGTCCTCGGTGAGAGGCCCCGCGGTACGTATCTTCTGGGTTCACCGACGACTCACCTACAAATTCGACCCGCACACAAAGATACTAAACTAAGAAAGATGGTTGTGGTTGAGAACTCCGCAAAACTGCTTTCGAATTCGTGTTTTGAAAGCACTAAAGTTATCTCATTACCTCCTTGTTCGTATCGGAAAGTCTGGAGTTCAGTCGAGTTCAGATATTTCCTCGAGCTTGTTGACAACTTCCTTATATCCATACACAACTGCACTTACTCTTGGGTCGACGGGATTTACTACCGTTGTCAGATAGCCAGCCTTTCCACGTCAATATTCATATAAAGGCAACACTCGAACAGTAAACGGCAGATATATTGGACTTGTACGTATTGATCATGCTTCATCTCGCAGGCCATCACAGCTGATAACTCTACAGGGTAGCCCATACAAACATTCAATATGATACCAGAAAATCCCCTGCCATTCAATGGCAACTTCTCCTCGCCAGAGGAATATATCGATGAGCTTCTTAAATTCGTGCGAACGTCTGAGACTTTTCAGATTCTCTGCGGCGGGGTCCATATCCTCGACTTTTTCACCATCGAGCCTGGTCTCTTTCATTATGCCATTCCCAAAGAATGGCACGCATTCATCCTCTCAAGGAGTCTCATGGAGTTTCTTGACCTTCTCATGCGGGATGATTTAGACAATCTAAAGCTGGAAGGAGAACAGCCGCCAGCGAGCCTCATAGATTACATTCGAACAGTCCGTAGTCTTTCTCTTGGCCGATCATTTACGCCCCCTTCAGAGAAATTGCCGGTTCTGCCACGGTCGGTAGCTGTGGGCATGAACGTCAAAAAGACTCACGAAGTCACCAACTTCGCGGACTACCTGGCCCGACTATCAGAAGACATCAGTTCACAGTGCGGCTATGAGATATCTCACTACGTGGACTTCGGTAGCGGCCAAAACTATCTGGGCCGGGCCATGGCAAGCGAGCCTTATAACAGGCATGTTGTAGCTGTCGAGGGACGAGAGAACAACGTCACGGCAGCGAGAGGTCTAGACGTGTCTTCTGGATTAGCCGTTAAGCCAAAGGTCATGAGGAACAAGAAGCTATGGACGAAGATTTTAGAAGCGCGGGGGCCTGATGGCCAAGAGGACCCAGAGGCCTTGGCCAAGGCTATTCGCGAGGTTGCAGGAGATGAAGCTTTTGAGTTTAGACCTGTCAAAGAACTCGAAGCCGAATATACCGTGGAAAAAGGTAAGGGGTCTGTTCAGTACATCTCAGGTCGACTGGAAACTGGCGACCTGGCCGACGTCATTGCCCAAATCAACCCTGGGAGTCAAACTGAAGACGAGAAGAAGGACCTAAGCCTGATGGCTATGTCAATCCATTCTTGCGGAAATCTGTCACACTTTGGAATCCGCTCTCTGGTCCTCAACCCGGACATTCGAGCCGTGGCCATCGTTGGGTGTTGTTACAACCTGATGACCGAGAAACTCGGTCCTCCAACATACAAGCACGCTTTCTTGAGGCCGACTCTCCAAGCTGTCAACGGTCGGCTCGTTCGGGAATCAGAAAAGCATGACCCACAGGGATTCCCGATGAGCCAGAAGTTTTCTGCATATCAGGGAGATGGCGTGCGATTGAACATCACAGCCCGCATGATGGCTTGCCAAGCACCGCAGAATTGGACCGAGAAGGAGAGTGCTGGATTCTTCTCTCGACATTTCTACCGAGCAGTCTTGCAAAAGATGTTCCTTGATCGAGGCGTGGTGAAGAAAGTGCGGCATACAGGTAGCCAAGGAGAATCACAGGCGGATACTGCAGCCTCAACCCAGGATGACAGTGAGAGCCCCTTCGACATCAGCACCAATCCAGTCATCATTGGATCACTCAGGAAAAGTTGCTATGGGTCGTTCAAGTCCTATGTCCGCGGCGCGGTGGAGAAGCTCACGACAAACAACGAGTACAAACAGTATGCAGACGTGATGCAGGAGAAAATGGGCGACATCTCAGACGAGGAGATCGAGAGGTACGAGGCATTGTATATGCCTCGGAAAAAGGAGCTATGTGCTGTCTGGAGCCTCATGGCATTCAGCGCGATGGCAGTCGAATCCCTTATTGTATCAGACCGGTGGACATTTCTGAAAGAACACGACGATCTCGTCCGTCACGCGTGGGTCGAGACGGTGTTTGACTATGAACAAAGTCCGAGAAACCTGGTTGTTGTTGGAGTTAAGCGATGATTAAACTTTTGGCTAGGTCGTAATCGGAATGAAATGAGTTGTCTCAAATGATGATACCCGATCCTAACCGCATCTCTGGACGAGGCCCTCTCTACTACGTACAGGTGTGTCCATGATGAGGAGAGATGCAATCGGCTCCTTGTTGCTAGGTAACGAAAAGAATATGTTTGTGTGAGAGGAACTGGGTTTGGTGATTCGTCGGTTGTGGTTATTGGTGGTGCTAGGCAATATCGGGGCGTGGCTGGCTCTCCTAAATGAGCGATGTCATGCATGAACCCCCTCCGCTTTCTCTCGACACTTCAGGAGTGACATTCTCAAGCGGACGACAGGACAGGAAGTTCTCACGTCGATCAGCGGCACAGAACAATAGGAAATATATTTACCCGAACACGGTGTTGCTTAGGTATTCGATACATGCTCATCAGATTGTAGTTCTGGTTCGCAACCTAAGATACTACCAAGTAGTAGTTATCAGACGTGCCTCTCTCGAATCGTATTACGATATGATGAGTTGTAAGCCTCTACCCCGGAACCCTTTATCTCGTAGCCCACTTGGCGTTCCGTCCCACAAACAACAGGACAGCTGCCCCTCTTTGCTGATAGGCATTAATGAAGCAGCATCCATTTTCGAGGGCGTGCTGTCTATAGGCCTAGCTGCGCTAACGGCTCAATTTGATCATGGGCTGCCTCGTATGGCACATTGGTCGGCATCTGGTGTCGCAATCAACTTGTCAACTTCGTCATGGTGCCCTTCAGTCAGAAGTTGACAGCGCGACATGCACTGCGTCACTCTTAATGCAAGGCAAATAGGCAGGACGATGCAATGCAAAGCAAAAGCATGCCTACCAGCAAGCAGGAGGCCACGCAGTGAATCACGGGTCCGGTCAATGGTGCCATTTCTGAGCCACTGACAAGCGTGATAGAGAAGTCAAGTTTAGACACGGCTCCTTCAAAAAAGAGCTTTGGACGTATTGCGCCCGCTGCAACGCCGGCTTTCGTGGGGTAATCACATCACCCTACATGGACAGTTGCACATTGATAATGGAATGAGATTTTCGAGAAACTGTGTTGTGGTATAGTGTCAGAATATACCGAGGTGAGTAGTTCAAAGACAGCCGTATTTAGACGCGTGCAGCGGATGAGAGTCATGCAATGTGACGGCGACGGACCTGCTTAGAGGCATGATAGGCAGCGATCCACTATGCCATCTTGATATTGGGGTTCCCCGACACGGGATTCGAAGCATAGCTGATGGATTCAGGCATCATGTCACTCTTGTTCGTTGGTGCTGAAAGCACGGCAGCGGCTGGAGGCCCAGGGACAGTTGACACCTGGAGAGGCACATTCGTGTGCTGTACAGAGGTGCAGGCTTCTATGTATGTATGTATGCGACTTTGAGGCGAAGTCATACCATGGAATCATGGCTGCTTTCGATGTCTCGGCCATACCGATCCAACGTTGGAAGTTGGGATGCCCGAAAGCTGGGGTTTCTAGGGTGTTTCCAATTGTGGAAAGCCACAGGATCCTGTACTTAGGGTCCATCATTTGTCGTTGGAGCTGACCCGAGCTGGATCCATGGATGTCTCCAAAATGACAAGTCTGAATTGTGACGTTTCCAAGGTGAAGAAAAGGGCATTTTATGCCCGGTAAAATGCACATGTGACGGCGAAAAGGTGAAGCACAGCAAGGTAGCTGCTGGTCGGTGAGTTGCTTCCAACTGCTTGTCACCTTACAGAAGGTATGATCCCCATCCTCTCCAGACCAAGGAGGATGATCTTTGGACGCCTCACTTATGACAACGGCACACGCTCTAACCGAAAAGCCATGAAGCTCACCTCATTCTCAACAGCAACCAACACCTACACCTCGCCATCCTCCACAACCTTGTCGTTAGCCTGATGAATGCATTCAGGTTCAAAGATCGCCCGCTTACTGAATGGAATCAACAAAATAGTACTCCTTGGCTGGCTCTGTACGAGCTATGGCCTAGCAAAGGTTGAGCTGATCAAGGCAAGCAGCAACTGCGTATCCCTCACGTGGACGCAAAAGGATTGAGATAGTGAATACTTGATAGTTGTCAAGTCGATAATTTTAATTTTGTAAGGGAATACGGTCAGAAAACGTTACGATACTGCTCATCTAGCTCCTGACTATTGCCGTAGGACATGGACCATGGTTCACGTTCTTGGTTGTGACCACTTGCCTCACCTCGTCTACTCGCACACCACAACACAAGGATCTCGTCCTCTTCCGATCTTCCCAAGTCAGTACAAGGATAGAGGGCAGCTCACCACTTGCCTGCCCCCACGCACCAAAACCGACTTCATTCTCAGATGGGATGGGCTCCCTTGAGAGAGTGCTCCAGGGGCCCGAACCTATCAGAATATCCGTTCATCGTTGACTCCTACATCACGAGCCGATCTCAGGACGATTGTGACGCACTCATATCGAACAAATACCAGTTTTTAATAGCAACGTAGTGAGAGCATGGCTGTCATGCGGCAGCGTTACATGGCACATTTCCCGATGCTCTGTGCTCAAGGCGCCACAACCCAGACGTGTTCAGACATGGAGGACAGTGGCCATACGCTTCCTGCAGTCGCTGTCGTGGAACGACCTCGGCCACAATCATAGATGCCATCTGCACTTTACGGGCTCTGCCGTACCTGAACAGAAGCAATGTGTCTACGTGCATCGGACATTGGGCCAAGATCTGCAACGAAGCAGCCCTCAAGAGCCTTTCTTGACGCGAGTCTGTCTATCTCCCGTGGATAATGTTGATCAATGTTTGCCCATGGAGCTCTACACATATCTCGAAACCAGCAGGCAAACGGAAATGTTCAGAGCACGTCGAGCTTATAAACGGTTAGCTGCCAGCAGGGTTTTTGAAAGTCAAGTCGCTGGCAAAGAGGTCAAAGCCAGTGTCCTGAAAAGAGCTACCAGTCAGGATACCCCACCTATGCGTGTCCATCAACGTTTCTGCCGTCATAGCCAACTCGGCCAACTGGACTAGTCCCCAAGTTGGCCATGGCACCGGACCTGGTCTCAGACGGCAAAACCCTGCCTGCAGGGCTGGGCTTGATCGAGGGACGTGCCCTTCCCGTTCGGCTTAGAGATAGCGATACTTGGAGCAGTTGAAGTTACTCTTTAAAAGGTAAGATCAGGAAGAGAGTTAATAACGTGGGTTTACCCTTATCGTGCCCTCCATTGTCTGGTCTGGACTTACCTCCAAACTTTCTCAGTTCCCTCGCAAAACTCTTCGCCTTCAAATCTTGCCTGCACTCTAGACCAAATCAAAGTTTACCGGGTTTTCGGACACTGGCTGTTCCTTTGTCTCTTGTTCCTCTCCAGCCTAGCCCAAACCTTACAACATCGCTGAGACGAAACATCTTCATGATCGAGTCGGTCACTCGATTTTTACATCGCGCCGACTTGTCGCAAGCTACAACCAGCTTGACTCTGCCAACAGTAGAACATTTGCATTGCGCTCCATCTACACCTTGACCCAATCCCGTAGCACAAGGGCCCTGGACCTCTCCAATGCTAGCCGTTCATCATGAACGCGCAGGTATCATTTCTTGTAAGTGTTACGCCTCCTCGCAAAAGAATTGATCCTTTGGTGTATCAGCAGCGGCAGCAGTTAGAAGTAACTTTCCAAAGAATTACTTCGATCCTGACATTTTATCTCTAGGATGGCACATATACGCTGATTCACATCCCTCTCAGCCTCTACTCGACCCTGCTCCAGCCAATTCTCCGAGTACTTCTGCCACAATCTCAGGGAACGGGAGGCCTGCGCGATTCGCCCGAGTACGAGTTGCAGGGACTCACACCTGATGGCCAGCATGGCTTTCTGAATATTAGCATCACTCCCCTTGAGTGTTCGGTTGTCTGTCACACCTCATGGGCTCAAAATGTCTTCGAGCCAGTCCTTAAAGCCATGCCGCGCGACATTGCGAAAACTGTTTCCGTTTCCAAAGAATCCTATATGGTACTTTCAGTCATAAGCGCTGGGCTTGATGCAGGCGGTCGTGTGATGGAATTGACCTCTCCGCTAGCCCTCGCTGGTATCCCCATCTTCTTCATCACGACCTATTACTCAGACTTCATCCTAGTCCCCACGAAAGAGCGGGAAAACGTGGTCAAGTCTCTCATCGCAAAAGGCTTCGAGCTGTCCGACAACGAGTCCAACTTCATCACTTCCGCTGCCAATCACAAGCAGGGCACTGGGTTGTCTGCAACTTCTCCGCCACATGAGGGCCTCCCTCTCAATGTCGCTGAGTTGCAAACACGCATTTTTGGTACACTTAAGAAGAGGCATGTGGCACCCCAGATTGAGGAAGCGCTTGAATTGGTGCAATGTTCAGGTCGCGAAGCATCGCAGCTTGCAAACTTCACCCATCAAAGGCCTTCAATCAGCCGTCACGCAACAGGAAACGGCCGCCGACCAAGTTGGGCGGACAATGTGGACACAAAGCTCTACACATGCATCATCTCAGCGCTCGTCTCGCAGCCTCGATTTATGTCCGTCACTCTTGCTCAGGATGACCCGCCATCCCTCTTGCTCGACAAGAATCTTCTCGACATATTTGGCGACTCCCTCGTCGGGGACACAGATGCTAGCCTGATACCGATCTTCCTGGACTTGAAAACTCTTCCTCTGGAGGCCACGGGTATTGTTTGCGGTGTCGCTGGTATACTCGTACAAGACACCCAGATAGCGGCGAGTTCTGAATTATCTTATCTCTCGACTGCTCAGGCAGGTGCTGTGATTCTTTCTGAAGAGCAGTCTGTCAGGGCTATGGGTATATTGAAGCCATTGCTCAGTGAAGAGCTATGATGCTTTGAGCTTGATCAATATACTTGCGATGGAAGATAAGACTGTCACAATGATGTAAAATTATGGAAAGCTCACAATCTATGAGCAGATGACCAATGGCGCAACGGAGATGGCGTTTGTTTTCTAAGAAGCCGGGCTGTTGGATTTGTGTAAAATCATTATCTGACTTGAGAATTTTAGTATTTTGTCAGGGGAAAAGTTCCTGGAGATGTGCCTGGCTTCTACATTGATACCATGTTATAGTACCAAGTGAAACACTCTGTTGCTGATGTTATAAATCCGTCTCCCATACCGCGCAGCATGCGCGTGGAAGTCCCACAGTTATATTTAAATGGCCCTCAGTCGTTTTTGAGATATTGGACGTGATCGAAGTTAGATTATTCGTAAGGCATGGTGTGGGTTGAACCCCCGGCAATCATTACGCTCTGGGGTTGTCAAGCCCATCACTTAAAATACCGTATTATAAAGTACCTTCGGCCAGTACATCGTTTCCCATGGCATTACACGTCTTTCAAGCTTATCTTTGCCAATTATCGCCGTATCTAGAACCCAGTCTCTTGAAGATCAAACGGTAAGCTGACTTGAAGGAAAGGGTCACGATATCAGGACCTCATTGCTCACTTCCCCCTTTTCTTCTCCTGCCTCTCTTCTTTTACCAACCCGGATTTTACAAACCCGTCTCTAGCTACGGCATTGATGAGCGCAAACCTTCTAGGTCCTAGCTGAACACCGCCGTACCACCTCGTCACCACCACCATGGCATCCCAGATATCCATGACCTGCATCAGATGCAACATCCTTCCACCGGCAGCTGTCTCGCCATCATCATCGCAGTCCTGGAAACTCGTAGCCCCGGGTCCACGGATCCGCCATGCTGTCATGTTGTGCGTGGCGCTGCGTATGCGTTTGTCTGAGGAGAGCAAGAGTTGGACGTAGTATCGAGCCTGATCAGGAGAAGTCACTCGTGCGACATGTGCTAAGAATGTTGATTTTGACTCTGTCACAAGATCGGATAGAACCCATTCCGGAGGAGGAAAGTCTGGTTGCTCGTAGTCTTCTTCTTCAGGTGTCGATGGAGCTTGGGGCTCACTTTCAGGCTCTGGTTTCTGCTCCTCCGCACGCCGCGAAAACTCCTCCACGGCATCGAATAGACAAACCAGGCCCTCTTGAAATACTTCGCCCAGAGCGTCTCGGAAGAGTGCCAGATCACGAGCACCAGCGCCTTTGACACCACCGGAACTGTGGTGTGTACTGAGAGCACTGGGGGGCTTAGAGGGGTAATCAGACGGGAATTTCAGACGCAGAGAGGATGCATCGCCTGGCAGTTTGAGAATAAATACAGAGGAGTCGTCTTCTGTCGGGACGAGGCTGTCGTCGCCGTAGATGGAATTAATTGCTTCAACTTCATCCTGAAGTTCTTCGGACATTGTTCGGGCAGTGAGGGGTTGATTGAAAGGAGGTTGAGGGCCTTGAGTTTTCAGTTTGTTAAAACCGTCCTAAACTTTATGATAGATTTCAAGCAAGAGTATATTTGAGATTGCTTTAAGAAAAAACTCACATTAGTTCCATTGCAGGTCTAAAGTAATGCTTCTTACAGTTGACGCTGAATGCACTTTAACCTGCAGAAGCCCCACATCAGCTCATCCATTTCACCTCATTGATCCACTAAATCTCCATTCCTCTCTTACGTAGTATACTTTCAACAAACATCTCGTGATAAATGGACGAGATATAATGAATGGCCTTGTATTTAGAACAAATTGATATTGAGCGAGTACACTAGACTATGGGGCGGCGCAAACAGTAATCGAATACCGGTCATCTTCTGACCTATCCCCCAGCATGACCTATCTATAGCTTCAACACAGAAACAACCAGTAATGCGACATTAGTATTACATTACTCGTCCATGACAGCCGCAAACTTGTCTGTCATCTTCTGTTGAATCTCCTCGTACTAGAATTGAGTTAGCGCATGCCTTGTGTATGCCACCAAACAACAACTTACTCTCTTGGAGATCACATCCTGGCCGTCGGTGGGAACCTCAAACTTCAACTGTCGTAGGTTGGCTTGCAGGTCAGAAGTAGCCTCTCGTACCTTGGCCCAGCTCTGGCCCTGCGCGATAACCTTCTGGGCTTCGTCGTGGAAGCCCACCATGAGCTTCATCATCCACTCTGTCTTCCAGATAGGACAGAACTGGTCATAGTCCGAGTAACCGTTTTGCTGCAAGAAATCTTCCTTGATCAGGCCTGCAATATCCAACGTAATCTTGTCAGGGTCAGACAGGGCACTCTTTCCAACAAGCTGAACAACCTGGTCAAGCTCCTCGGAATCAGACAGAAGTTGCTTGATGCGGTCGCGGAGTCGAGGGAAGTCGGGGTAATTCTTCTCGTAATACTTATCCAAAATGGTGTTATACTTGCTGTAAGATAATGATGTATTGATGGAAGGGAAATGTTTTCGCTGCGCAAGCTTCTTGTCGAGACCCCAGAAGACCTGCACAATACCCAGAGTGGATGTAGTAACGGGATCCGAGAAATCACCACCAGGAGGACTGACGGCACCGACAATACTGACACTGCCCTCGCGCTCGGGAGAACCAAGAGTCTGAACGCGACCGGCTCGCTCGTAGAACGAGGCAAGCTTGGCACCCAGGTAGGCAGGGAAACCCTGATCAGCAGGCATTTCTCCTAGACGACCAGAAAGTTCTCGAAGAGCCTCAGCCCATCGGGAAGAGGAGTCAGCCATCATGGCCACGTTAAGACCCTGGTCGCGGAAATATTCGGCGACGGTAATTCCGGTGTAAATGGAGGCTTCTCGGGCAGCGACGGGCATGTTCGACGTGTTGGCAATGAGGGTGGTTCGCTTCATGATAGGCTCCTTGCGGCCATCGACCTCAATGGTGAGCTCGGGGAAATCCTTCAAGACTTCAGCCATCTCATTACCTCGCTCACCGCAACCAACATAGACGATAACGTCACTGTTGGAGAACTTGGACACAGACTGGCTAATGACAGTCTTTCCGCAACCGAAAGCACCGGGAATTGCGACGGTACCACCTTGAACACTAGGGAAAAGAGCGTCGAGAACTCGCTGACCGACAATGAAGGGCTGATCGGCGGACTTCTTGTCGTTGGAGGGACGTGGTACTCGGACAGGCCAGGTCTGCATCATGGGATACTCTGTCTTCTTGCCATCGAACTCGACCTCGAGGATGTTCTCGACGACGGTGTACTCGCCCTTGGCAGCGATTTTGGTAACAGTTCCTCGTGCACGAGGAGGGAACAGAATCTTGTGGTCTGCGAGGAAAGAGTTCTCGAAGACAGAGCCCCAGACATCACCACCGGAAAGGTGGTCGCCGACCTTAACGGAGGGTGTGAACTCCCACTTCTTCTCGCGGTCGAGGGCAGGGACGGCGATACCGCGGGGGATATAAATGGACTTAGCCATCTTGGAAATAGCCTCGAGGGGACGTTGGATACCGTCGTAGATACCGTTGAGGAGACCGGGACCGAGTTCGACTGACAAGGGCTTTCCGGTACGGGTAACAGGGTCACCAACCATGACGCCGGCTGCGATGATGATTAGCTTGTTATTGTTGGAGGTTCATCATGGGCTGTCGTACATGTCTCCTCGTAAACCTGAATAGAGGCCTGATCGCCACTGATTCGAATAACTTCACCAACGAGGTTGTCATGTCCTACTCTGACCTGTAATAGCGGTGGGTTAGATCGTGGCGGATGATGACGATGGAGGATGATAGCAACTGACCAACTCGTACATGGCAACACCAATCATGTCCTCAGCCACGACGACGGGACTGTATAAAGTCAGCATGACATGTTGACAGTCAAAATATCGGTTCGAGTGTTTTTGGGGGGTCGAGAATAGATCGTAGGCTGAAGAAATCGGTAGGCACTGACCCAGAAATGGAGTAGATTTTACCTGCAGATAGTGTTAGCGACACCGCAAGGTGGTTGAACTTGGTTAAAGAACATACCGGTTTGGTATCCATCTTCCTCATTGGTCTTGCTGCTGTTATTAGCAGCCTTTGATGTTTTCTACAGATGGCCGTAAGTCAGCATCGAGAACCAAGCAGCATAAAATGCGCCGCGTTGTCGCCAGCAAGCTTGGGGGAGGTCGGGAATCAACGCACAGGAGGCATCTTCAACGACAAAACTGGCGCGTTGTCTAATTGAAGATGAGGAGAGCTAGGAGAATGCGGCGACTGGGGCCGGATGGAAGATGCTGTCGAACCGGGGGAGAGGGTTGACGAAGGAGGCGGCTGAGATGAAGGTTGAGGTCTTGATGGAGATGGAGATGGAGATGGTGGTGGAGAGTTTGGCAGAGGCACTTGACGAGCTACGTCCACCAACGCTAGAGCTGCTGCTCTTGCTTTCCCAGCTCTTGAGTGGAGCCAGGACGATGACGATGCCTTGCGGGTGGGGTCTCGAACAGAAGCAACGTTAACGAGAGGCGCAGGGGCTTTATCACTGAAGCTCCCTCTGTAACGGCTACCTCTGGCCCCGGAGCCTGAGCTAAGGCTATCGTCGTCACTGTCGCTCCCTTGCTCTCGCTGGCTGTTGTTGTCGTCGTCTTCGCCTCTGGTGCGGATCAGATCCAGCAGGGAACGCCTCGCTCTAAGAGTAGGACGAATGCCGAGCATAAGCTACAGTTGATGCCTTTTTTGCGATAAATGTTTTGTGGTTTCAAGCTCACAGAAGTGTAATTGGGAGATCTGGAGTATGTTGTTGATTAAGGTAGATGGGAGCCAATTCTCCAATGGGGTATAGCTGAGCTATAGGTTAGCGCTTGGACGGAGGCTGCACTGAAACATTATGCACAACAGCGCTACTGACCTGAGTGCCTAGGTAGTCGACATTAATTCGAGGGTACATTGAAGAAGAGAAATGCCTTGGTGTAGGAGCCCAAATTTTATATAGGCAATCGAATAACTCACGAAATAGCTGATTTTGTCGCTTGGCTCTTCTATAAGTAGTCCATTACGATCTTGATGCGTCTGCCCTTCTTCCTACTATATATACTGCCCAGTTACAGATACCTACCTGTAGCTATCTCAAGTAGCAACTTTAGATAAATGACCTTGGGCTTATTGTTTGATTTAACTATATAAAGTCTTGGATGCCCAAAACCTCAAACTTCTCAACTTCAGTTGCTAGAAATACCATACTATGAATTCTTTGCCACATGAACATCGGTTTACTTTGTCTTCTTATCCTTATTCTCCCTCTCCCACTGCTCTCCCAGCTCCTTCACCTCCTGGTTTGTCTTCTCTATAGACTCTCTGGCTTCAGGCCAAGGCTTGCGACCTCGACCTGTTTCAAACAATCTGTAAACCGCGGGCACATCAGTTCCATCCATAAGCAAGTTGTAAAACTTTCGGTCGTTCCACCACAGCTTCCAGGCTTCCCAAGTGAAGCACCCCAAACGATCGGTGACTCCTGTACCTGCTGCTTGGTTCAGAAACTCGTAAGTTGGCTTCGCCCTCCACCTAAATCCAGGATGAGGAGCCGGGCCTCTCTGGAGTGTGTTGACAACGTAGTCATAGTGATCATCAATATCCCCACGCCTCTCTTCGGCAGACGGCATGGGGTAGTCTCCAGACCACAAGCTCGCCAGAGCCATGGTAGTGAGATCGTAAAGTACGAATGGAGGTCTCATGATAATCATATGGCCAAGAAACGCCAATGAGTCGGGAAACTGCTCCGAGATGAAGCCATGGAAAAGACGTGCAAACTTGTTTTCCTCGCCGTAGAACTTTGTCGCCTCAATCCGCTTGTGGTGGTCAGGGGCAATGGCCGGGTCGGTCGGATCGCCAGGGCCCTCGACGATAGAAAAGTCATAACCATAGCCCGAGCAGAAGATGATGGCATCGACATCTTCCAAAACCGTACCGTCTGTAAGAGTAATAGTCTTGGGACCAGTTACTTCCCTGATGCCCTGTACAGATTTGACTGTGCCATCTTTGAGGTTATCCGCCAGATGCTCGGAGAACAATGGAACTCGATGGAGGACTCCATCAACTGGTCGAGTACCGAATACTTCCTTCAAGTGTGGCCATTCTTTATCTCGCATATTGATCATCATCTTGGTCATGAGACCTGCAAGGATATTTGGCACGATGTTGCCTATTGTTCTCACACAAATGGACACACGACGACTCAATGTGTGCTCGAAAGCCTTCCCCTTGACTCTCCTGGGGAGCTAAGAATGATCAGGGTCTGAAGCTGAAGCTGAAGTTGGCTGGAGCTGGAGTCCTTACCACGAAGACGGTGCCACGATGGCTAAGATAGACCTTGTTGGTTCCAGCTTTAACCAAGAACGAGGTCGAATCCACACCAGTTGCGCCAATACCTACGACAACCACGTTCTTGCCCTGGTACTTTGAGGCGTCTTTGAACTGCCGCGAGTGAATGGCATCCCCAGAAAACCTCTCTAGACCTTTCACGTGGGGGAGATGGCGGGTATTGAGCATGCCTGTAGCGACAACTACGCGACCGAATGTTCTGACCTCTTCAACCCCCGTTTTAACATCCTTGAGAAAGACTCTCCAGGCCTTTCGTGGCTCATCGCGTTCTATATGGTCAACTGAGACTGAGAATCGTATGTGCGGATATAGGCCAAACTGTTCGGCGTAAGATTCGAAGTATCTTTCGAGATCCTTCTGAGGGGGGTGCACAGGGAAGTCTAGAAACACTATGAGTTTCACGGTCATACGAGCAATGTACGGCTGGCTTACCATCGGGCATAGGAAAATCAGTAATGGAACACTAGAAGCTATTAATACTGCGATCTGCCCCCTTTGAAGAGTAAAAGAAACATACGCATTGCTTGGAGGTGTTGGCTGTCGTGTACTCCAATGCAGTTGTCTGCTCGATATTGTTTGACGCATGCCAAGTTCCACCAACGTACTCTTGCCTTTCAAACGCTTTTGCATTGAGTCCCTGCTCGCGAAGGTTCTTAAGTGCTAGAAGACCGAGTGGTCCTGCTCCTACCACGCAGACGTCGAAGTTGAGTTCTTGATTCTGGGCATCCATGATTTAGTAAGAATATTATCTTAATATGGGTCTAAGAAGAACATACAAAAGTGCGTATCTCTGCTCCTTTATATCCTCACTTTCTATAAGTATTTGATATTAACAAGAGCGTAAAGATCCGAACTGCCGCGCGAGGTAGTGATCGCGCTTAATGCTGACACTTCTGAACGGCGCCAGAATGGAGGCTGTCAGCTTTTAGATCATCACGTAGGGTTACGACGCATAAAACAGATGAGATAAGCTGATTCCAACCAGTAAAGAAATACTATTGCCAACAGGGCTGCTTATTATAACCAGTTGGGATATATCCGAGAAAGTCTCCGGAGCTCCTTGATATCCGCATCAGCAAGGGTGTAAGATTGTACATCCACTGCTTTTATGTATCCGGCCTGTCTTTTTTTTTTTTTTTTGGGCAGACAGGTCTTCTCTTCTAAGATGATAGGGTGTTGAGAATGCAGCACGAAATGCGAAGGCGAAAGAGTCTGTCTGAATATATGGAACAACCTAAGTGGTTGCAAGATACACCAAACTTGGCCAATATCAAGATAAACATTCCCACTATTGGCTGCCTTCATGGAGCGGTTATATGTATCACTTTAAGATTAAAGATATGATTAAGGAAACCGTTGACACAATCTGACGGTCATGAGAATGAGGATGCTAAGGCTTGGGAGATGTTGGAGCGATACGGATAGTTACGATTAGGAGTTATCACGAGTAATTTTTGTAAGATGGCCATAAGTACAGCTTAGGCTGAAGGACTTGGGACAGTGACAATAGTGGTTGCCACTGCAAGATGTACGAGTGAAAACAAGACACGGATTGGCAAATGTTGCTGGATGCCAGACAAACAGCTCATCTCAATGTGATCTGCCCGGTAGATGGACTCAAAGGACTGAAACACTGTGCCAGAAAAGGGTCACAAAAAAGCTAAGGTACATATTTGAGCACATCAAGGTTTTTGGCCTTCTAGACAAGCCGCCTGGAAACTCAACATTGAAAACCTCCATGATCTGGCGGTGATGGAGCATAACGAGAGAAAACTTATAGACCCATTGGTAAAGCTCTAAGCAACTGGCCATGCCAAGTGCCGTATTCGTCCACGGGTATAGACCACACGCAAGTCTAGAGATCTACTTCTTTATCCTGCATCGTATCTGTGATGTCTAGACCACATCCTGAAGGATTGAGAGAAGGGCTTTGAGTACCATTCCTGCCACAATACACATATTCGATCATCCATGCAACTTCACATCCAGACCTGCCAAAATCTCTTGCAGAATCTTCAAAGCCCCCTCCTTGGCCACCAAGGCTGAAAACGTCGCCTGCAAGACCGAGACGCCACACTCATCCCTTTCTGCAACATTTTCCATCCTTGTATGGTATGAGGAACCTAGTGTTGGTACGTCACAGCCATCCTGGCTCCGTGCCGCTCGTAGCATACAGATCTGCGACGACCTACATTCGCCGGTGCATTCTGGCTGTACCCAGCCTCTGCTGAGACGTAGCATGTATTCATCAAAGGCCGTCTGATTCTTCTCGAAGACGTGGGTGACGTTGTGCCAGAATGCAGCGGTGAGCTCCGCCGCGTGATCGATTAGGGGAGGGTTCGTGAGTGGGCCATATGTCTCCTTTGCAGAATAATACTTTTCCCACACGGGGCCTTGGGTCTGGTATATAGGAGATGTCATGTCGGCGCTGTAGGTAGTTGCATCGAGGACAGCGAACGTCACGGGATCAACATCGTAGACACGAAAAGAGGGCATTCCTGACATCGGAGTGAGTGAGGGGCCGACATATGATGTTATTAGAGCATTATTAAAGGTCTTGCCCGGAGCATCACTGTATGTAATCTGAAAGTGATCTCTGTGGGTGTGACCAAAGAACATGGCTGCGATGGTTGCTGAATATCGGTTTACTACCTGGTTCAGGTAATTCGACTGATCGTGGAATGCATTCCGGTCACCCAGCGGCATATGCCCAATGATATAGACACGCTCTCCGGCTTTCTCAGCAGCGTGGAGTTCTTCAACAAGCCAATCGATCTGACCGCTCGGATCGCGCAGCATCTTCCTCTGGAAAAGCCAGAAGTTCCCACGGTAAAACAGATTTGTGTTGAGAGAGATGACGCGCAAGTTACCATGGGGATATTTGGTTGAATAAGCGCCAATTCTTGCTGCTGTAGAGGCTGATTCATGTCCGATCCAACGAGACCATGTCCCTGCGAGAAGGTCATAGATCCACGAGGATGCGTCGCCGATGGAACTAGGCTGGTAGGCGTTTGTGGGATGGGACTCGTGGTTACCAGCTGTTCCGTAGACTATACCGAGATGTCTATCCATGTGCTCATATGACTGTATAACTTGATAGGTTAGTTTTAAGTGAAAGATTTGAGTGAAGGATGCTCACTTTGGTGCTCATTATAGTCCCAAGATGTGTTCCAGATTGAATGATCGACAATGTCTCCGGTGAAAATCGTGAAAGCGGCGTCGGGTACCAACTTTTTGATTGCTTCATACATGCTATGCTCAAGAGAAGCAGGAGAGTCACAAGTATGCTCCCCATATGGTCCAGCCGGAGATACCGCTCTCCCAGGCTCGTCATTTTCTGTGAAAGGTCTTCTCAAGTCAAAAAACAGCAACATGAGCACTGGGCGAAGCGTTACTTACCTGCAGCATATGGGTTTATTACACTCTGAATTCGACCCTTCAGTGTAGAGCTGGTCAACATGTATATCGGAATAGTGAACAACTTTGATAGGGTCTCTTCCACTCGAGACTGGACGCTTTCGGCGCAAGTGATCAGGAGGCACAGGGACTTCCCATTCGTCTATAGCAGGATAGTGGCAGAGACCTAGAAATGTTACGCAAAAATGCTGCGCAGTCTTTGAGCCGATGGCAACGTTTCTCAACGCCTCTGCTATAATAGGTCCTTGAAGCTCGATGGTTCCATCACAAACATCTGCATCTTCGACCTAAATTTGTCAAATCAAGTTTTGCATCTTATAAGGACTTATTAGGCTACCTTTGACTTTTTGCATACGTCCTGTAGTGTGTTGACAAAGTATCGATCACCCAGATTCGCGAGGCTCTTAAAAGTCAATAAAAGGCCCTACACCGTCATCTTCAGCTCTTTGTAACCACACTCATGACTAGCTGTGACTTACCTGACATCCCGAACAAGACGATACACCTTTTATTTGTTTCCATATTCGATCTGCCCAGTCATTTGTATACAAAGTCTTTTGGTTTTCATTGAGACCTTGAGGCACGACAGCCTGTCCGTCAGTTCCGATAGCCGCTGTTATGGCGCCAAGACAGGGTAGGAGAGTTGTTGATAAGCGCATCTTTGTCGAATTGAGAGAGAGAGAGAGAGAGAAACGGTTGGTCTCAGTAATGGCGAAATAAAGAACAAGATATACACTGAACTTGTTTGTACAACACAAGTGAGAACCCTAGAGACCATCAACTTATTGCCATCGTAGACAAATCATCCCCAAAATCGGCTTAGGGCCACCACTATAACGGCCACATGACCCAATTAGAACAATCACACGAGTGCATAAGGTAGGTACCTAGACAGAGGAAAACGTCACCGCTGGTCCATGCGCGTTGGGGTTGGTTATAAGTCAGTTCGAGTCTTGTCTCCAGTAGTCCAATAACTATAACTAATTATTCCGATCTCAAACCCGCCCAGTTTGTCTGTCCGCCCATCAAGGAGGTTGGCAGAGGCTCAACGTATATAATAGTTGCGTAATTATTTCTTATTCGTATCCATATATACATCTCTTTCATACAGCTCCTTTCATGCCTTAAAATCAGACAAATGTAATATACAAGACCGATGATGATGAGTTATACATCTGCGCCATAGATAATGATACACGGAGCACCTCGCTCCAATTCAAGCAAGCTTTTAGATACCGATAGCATTCCTTTTTTTGCAGCTGGCCTGTTCTACTCCTTTATCGGAGATGTCTTCTCCTCCTTCTTCGTCTTCTTCTTCGACCGAACTTTCTTTTCCGAGCCCTTCTTACGTGAATGCGGCTCTTTATTCTTGTTTTTGTTAGTCTTAATTCTTGCGTCAGTTTCCCATGCAAGCTTGACGCCTGTCTGTTCCTCCCTCTGCATGACCGAGTCTCTGTACTTCCTTCCAGCTTCTGTGCGTTGCGGTAGTGTTCCTCCCCACATCTTGTGCCACTCCCTCTCGCGATCCTCAGGGGCTGATACGAGCGCCTTCTTCCTGCGCTTCTTGAGTTCCCTCAAGATTTTATGCGCTCTCTCTGATGGAAGCTCCACGACTGTATATTCCACTTTCCAGTTGGTTGGTTCCTCGGGTTCGGAGCAGGAGATACGTTCCACGACCTCGCCGTCGACCATGTTGCGGACTGTGACATACATACCAAGAATCTCCTTCTTTGGCATGTCGGCACTTTCTTTGTCGGATCTTGGTTCTTCTGTCGATGAGGATTTGTCTGCTCCAGAGGTCTTGACGGATTCTGCTGGAGAAACGCCAATGCTGGCTGTGTTGCTTTCATCAACCTCGCTACTCGGCTCCTTTTGGTCTCGCACCAACTCCGACAAAACTCGCTCAAATGTCCCCAGATTGCTAGGGTTGTTGTCAACACCTTGAGCAAACTTGATGATTAGGTCCTTGAGAGTAGCATCTGCTGAGTCGTCGCTGTTTAATGAGGTGTCAGTTCCATCGACAGCGTCGCTAAGTATGGGACTGTGCCCTTCATCCTCTGCCCTAGCCTCGACAGCTTCGCTAAGGCCAGACTCTGTCTCTTTACCAGCGTATTCCACATCTTTAGAATCCACGTCATTATTGGAACTGTCGCCTTCAGATGCATCAATGGATGAGAGCAGTGCATCCTCAGTTTCGGAAGAAGACTCACTAGCATCCAGTGCGTCGTCTCCTGCTGAATCCTTCTGAGTTGTGTCTTCAAGTTCACTGGCTGCTTCCTTGTTCTCCTTCAACTCTTCAGTCAGAGCCTCAACAAGTTCGTTGATGTAGGTTTCTCTCTCAGGTTCGGGCTTCCCAGCCAGCAAACCACTCTGCTCAAGAGCTTGCTCGATGGCCTCTCGCACACTATCCAAGCCGGCGGCGTCATCCTCCACAGTTTGGTCGACCTTGGCCATCATCTCATCCCATGACTTCTGTCTTTCGGTCGATGATAGCTTTTGAGTATCTTCCTTAGTCTGAGGCTCAGCTTCGTCACTCATCCGGCCCTTCTCTTCATCCTGTGAAATACGCAACATGTTGTTTTTAAACATAGCCACGGCTTCACTCCCCTTCTCCTGGGTTTCTTGCATCTCTTCATCGCTGACAGGTTCGGCAAAGAAATAAGTCAAGGGGGGGTTTGTTGGCCGAGTTTCGATGTGCAACCGAAGTGACTTTTCAGGGAAACGCTTCGTAGCTCTGTCCAAAAGATTATTCAAGAGTTTGACACTAACTTTAAACTCCTCGTTTCCCACCCTGCGGTTCGCAGTTCCGTGAAGAGCCTCGTCCATTTCCTCGAGGCTAATATACTGGAAGCCAAATATTCGTTGTGTGTTATGGAAAGCAACGAATATACCATCCATTCGGCCCATGCGCACTTGTAAAGAATACTTGAGGAACGCCGCTCTGATCATGTCGTAGTACTCACGCTCGAACGACTCCCAAGTACCGAAACGGCTACGAATCTCATATCCAACGCCTTTTTGATAGCCTCCAACATCCATTCGGATGGAAACTACTGCACGAGTTTTCAGATCAAACATGCCTGTTCCTGGAAGTCGTGGATCATAAGCATCCAGCTGTGACCGCATCATGAAATCACCCAGTGTGGAGAAATGGAAGGCTTCATCGGCATTCTTCTCCTCTTCGGATAACTCATGCGAACGGCTTCTCCTGTACTTTTCGAAGTGGGTTTTTTTGAGAGTGAGGAGTTTTTCCATTGATTTCCCGAGCATGCTCAGAACGTTGGCGGTATCGAATTCTTTGTCGGCGTCAATAGCATACACACCGTCTTTATAACGGGCGAATGCGGCAGCAGGACCTCGGGTCAGCGCGGTGAACGTATCATACTCGACCTTGAAAGAGCGGGACAAGTGTCTGAAACTTAAAGGCCTCCACGCTGAGAGAAGAAAGTGGAATTGGGAGAGCATGGCCGTCATACTAGACGTTGAACCACAGTACTTCTTCTTATATTTGGCACACAAGTCTGTCAACCGACTGTCCTTGGAGGATGTCACATACTCTTTCAGAGCGTCGAAATCAAACTCATCAACGGGCATGATTGAAGCAAGGTATGGGTCAAAGTTGTAAACCCGGGTCCGCTGATCTTGAAGCTGGTAGGGTCCGCCATTGAAAAGAACCTTGTCCAGCTGATGGGCAAGCGTGGGGACGCTTCGTCTGGATTCTTCTTCAACTGCTTTCAGCTTGAGGTGGTGGGGCATGATGGTGTAAACTGGAGGCAAAGCCTTCTGCGTTTTGGCCGCCTTCGTCTTCTTCTTCGACGGTGGAGCTGCTACACTGGGCTCTGTCTCATGACTACTTGCTATGATATGCTGATCCAGGTCGGGAGAGGGACTGGTATGGTCTTCTTGAGGGGCGGCGGGGTCCTTCGAAGGTTCTGCGCCCAGCTCTTGTTGCAACTTCTCTTGAAGTGATGCCCAGGCACCAGCCTGCTGGCCAACTACCCCGGAGCTGGCCTCTGATGAATCGGCTTTACCAGTCGTCTGTTGTTCGTTTGGACTACTTGGCTTGGGTCCCTTCTTTTTCTTCTTTTTCTTCGACTTGTCGATACCATAGACTCTCTTAGCCACAGCCAATGCATCACTGATATCGGTTTCAGTTGTCCCCTCCGTAGATCCTTTTACTTCAAAACGAGCAGCTCTTCTCTTCTTGTCCTCTTTTCTCCTTTCCGCTGCTTTCGCTCCCTTTTCAATCTTCTCCGAGGCAGCCTTCATTAGATTGAGTGCATCTTCGGAATCAGGCACGGGTTTCGGCGTGGGAATCGAAGTGTCGTCCGGGCTAGTCTCTGTCGCAAATAACCGGAGGGGTGAACATTGTCGCAAGCATCGTAGATGGGGCCGGCAGATATGCGCAAACGTGGCCGCAGGGGCTATCCCACGCCGTAGTCGAAGCATCGGGGCGTCTTTGACGAAATCGATCAACTTTGGAGAAAGTTAGTCAAAATCGAGATGCAAAGACTTCGTAGGTGACACCGAACCTGGAAAAAAAAATATTGAATCATCAACGGCTTCGGTATAATGTCGGGTCGGACGATATATCGTATGACACGTGATTGGTCAATCACTACCCTGGTGATCCATCGCATGCACTACCTACCTTAACCATCAGCCACAACACTCGTCATTTCCGGAGCCTTCCTAAAGGTTCAAAGAGGACACCCACCACAGAGACTCTCTCGGAAGCGAACCCTCTCGCGGCATCTTCTCATGCGATAGCAATGGGTGCGAGTGATTCAAAGCTCGTTTTCAAACGGGGCATTTTTCGTTTATCAGAAGAACGGCATATCCCAGCGGATGATGCATACTGGACCTCTGTTCGTCGCCTGCTCCACCCAAAGTCCTACTCTACCTTTCCATGGATAACTCATTTACTGACATGATATCACGCAGTTTTGGGAGCTTCCTGAGTCTTCTGAGGATGTCTTTAGTTTATTCACACCTGCCGACATTCGAAGAACTCGGGATCGAGCACCCGAGAACCTAGAAACCCTCATCCTCGCCATCACTTCTCGTTTATTCATACTACGTCATCACCCATCTTTCCCTGATCCTGAACTTGCTCCAGAACGCGAGGCCCTGAACTGTATCCGAGTACTCACACGTATCTTGCCTTATTTATACGAAAAGGAATCCCTCAGTGACTGGGAGCAACAGTTTTTCTGGGCTCAACGAAGGAAACGCACCCGGCATGGTGCTATCGCCAACGAGATCCTCTTTGACGAAGCTCAGGAGGTTGAGCGCAAGACACAAACTGCCGAGTTTGAGGAGGTTAAACCACTCGCTGAAGAGCTGGTAGACACGCTGGTCGATCTGCTATTCTTTTCTGATCTTACTTTACCACGACAGCCCAATGGCCGACCGAAAGTTAGCTATGCGATTTGGCAGAGTGGAGTAGGTTGCAACACAGCTGTTGCAACAACAAAAGAATATGAAAGCAATCGATCAGAGATTCTGCGGCTTCTCTTGACGCTTTCTGGCCAGAGCCTGTATATGACTGCTGGTGTCCTACCGCAGAACGGCGTACGGACGTTAACACACTTATGCGCTTGTCCAGATAAGCAAGTCGTGCTCTCTGTGCTTTGTTCCCTACTCAACACAGTTGGTTCACCTGGGATTTCTCGGATTCGAGGTACTGATTCTGACTTCATTTATAGACGTTGAAATACAACCCTGCTACGTGGCGCGTACCTTATAACACCCTTGTATTCAAGGACGGCAAGCAGATGCTTGTGACATACTCACTACAGTTCCTCTTGGTGCTCTTGTTGTACCCTATTCCTGAGAACCCAGAGAACCCATCGCCTAAACACTCTTATCGTCACTTTCTAGGCCGACTCCACCGGCCCCAAGATTTTCAGTTTATTGTTGACGGAATGACTCGAATTCTAAACCAACCACTTCAAGAGAAGACTTCATATCTTCCAGGTTCTCAGTCATCTGGCCACTTTGCCCCCGAGATACTAATGTTATTCTGGGAGATCCTTCAATGCAACAAAAGATTCCGATCTTTTATCGTGGATACCGAAAGAGCGCATGATTTTGTTGTCCTAGCCCTGTTCTATGCTCTTGAGTATAAAAATGATGCTACTAAGCAAGGAGTTGTGCGCATGTGCGCTTTCTTGCTCCAGACTCTAAGCGTGGAGACTAACTTTGGCGTCAACTTGAACAAGTACTTCGAGGGGCAGGAGAGTCTACCAATGTCTATTCGTGTACCGGGATTCCGGGGGACCTATGCGGACTTCCTTATCCACTCAATCTACAATCTGATCACGACAAGTCAAGGGAAGCTATCGGCGATATACCCAGCTCTGTTGGCGGTGATTAATAACATCGCACCTTATCTTGAGGGGCTGAGTAGCACTAGCAGCTCAAAACTGATGCAGCTGTTCTCTTCCATGTCCTCGCCTTCGTTTCTACTTGCGAATGAGACCAATCACGCTCTTCTCCACTCGCTGCTGGAATCTATTAGCTCAATACTCGAGAATAAATACCAAAAGAACCCTGAGTTGGTGTTTACTATCCTCAAAAATAAGAAGAGGGTTGAAGCCTTGCGTTCATTCACTCTGGAGAGTGGTCAAGAGGAAATTGAGAGAAGAAACAGAAGAAGAAAGGATTCTGGACACCATTTTGATCCATTCGATGCTGCATCTGTGCGCAGCTCAGTTGACAGCTTGAGGAGTCCAAACAGCGCCCAGCCACGGCACTCGTCATTGGAAGAAGTTCCAGAAGACGGTGCCTTCGCGATTGGAGACGATGACGACGACGATGACGATGACAGTGACGATGAGGAACGACAAGAGACTCCTGCACGGTCAACGTCAAGTGAAGCCCCGTCCCGGAGGTCATCGACCCCCAACGTTGAGGATGCCGTCCCAACTCAATTGCGAGGGATGTCCGAGAAGGCTCGTGGCAAGATGCCAGCGGGTGTTCCAACCTTCTCGCGGCAAAACAGCACCACCAGCCTAGGCGGGCGCTCGATATCAGGACAATCACAGGCAGGGGCATTTGAGCCTACGACCCACTGGATCGACAGCTGGCTGCTCGAACTACCTCTCCACACAATCCTGGCAGTCATTCAACAGGTGTCTGCCCTCTTACCGCGACAAGAATTGGCAGCCGATATACCAACACCAGAAACACTACGACGAATTTCAGGTGTCCATGTTGTTGGCATTGAGCCATCGGCTCCCCGTGTACATTCTTTCGAATGGTCCCAGCTCGCGTTGGGTTGGTATGAGTCTCTGCTATGGGGAGTTATCTTTACAAACGAGATGCAGGTTTCCAGAGGAACCATGGGCATATGGAATGGTACTGCTATCAAGCTTTTCAGGGTTCAAGAAACAGCCCCAGAGGGCCCAACACTGACCTCCCCTCGAGGGGCTGTTGACGCTGTTGGTAGCAACATTGTCTCGCGGATAGGGCAGATCAACCTCCGGGGCGGGCCGCAGGGAAACAGCCAGCCGCCACAGCGAAACAATTAAGGGGGACACATGAAGAGTTCGACAAGGGCGTTTCCTCGACAACCCTTCGTTGAGCAATTAGAACTTTCTGCACTGCTTGGCAACTTTTCCTTGAAGAGGGAGCGCGTCCGAAAGCTAAGCAGATGCTAGCATGAAGCTATTGTTTCATGATCTGCCATTGTTGATTCCAACGGTGTTCATCATGTAGGATAAGAGAACGAATGGTACATGGGAAGCGAATTGGCGGGGTAGTCTAGAAACAGGCGTTTGGGTATGGATTGGAGTCAATCAAAAACTCGCATTTGCATCAGAGCGGCTCAGTTCATGCTGTTTTCTATGCACATAATCACATGCGCAATTCGTCCTCGTCTCATCAGCTGGTGTTTCAAGTTTTGACTCTGGCGCAGCAGCTAACATGTGGCGTGTCGAGATGGAGGTGGCTAATTTGACTCAGGACCAGCCACAGCCAACAGGATCTAGGAAACCCCCTCCTGGACAGTTCCACACCGATTCGATTCCTTGTTTTCAAAAGCAAAAGTTGGCAGAAGTAGGCAAACAACGTGATTTATGCCAGCAAAGCCGCAAAGTCAAAGCAAAGCCACGTCTAATGCCTGGAGTGATCATTTCCGAAGAGTGCAAGGGGGACTCGTACGCACCGCCACCGCCGACCGGGGTTCTTCACTTTCACAGCCAATCACAAGCCGTCCCGGACCATTTGTGCCGTGTTCCCCATACGCTAAAGCCACAGTATGCATCAGCCACGTCCCAAGGTCCCTTAATTCTAGCAGCTATCGCGACAAGGGTCTTGTTGAAGGGTGGGTTGTAAGGGTCCAGGTCCTGTTGTTTTTTTGGCCGGGTTACGGTTTAACACGAAAGCAACTCAGCTTATTGATGCAACTCGCAGTCGGTCGCACTTCCTAATTTCTCGGTTCTTACCTGTCTCAAAATGTTCCTTTACTACGCTATTCAATTTCCACTCTGCTTCATTTGATCACTACTGGAACTGGGGCATCTTACATCATATCAAAGTTGGCCAGAACTGAATCTGCTGATACAACACTGGAGCATGTCTCAACAGCAACCCGGAGACTCCGGCGACGAGGTCCAGCCTTATCGTATCCGTGTGAGTACCTCAACGAGAGACACCATCCGATCGAGGAGCTACTAACCATTCACTTTTTTATAGGTATCAAGCAAGTATCTTGATATCACGCGACAGAAACTAGAGCTTACCCGGCTGCCTCATGAGCCTCATTCAAAAGATTGGTGGGAGCCAAAGCCTCAAGTTGAGTCTCTTGTTGACTTTTGGTAAGTGGATCTGTGAGAGAGCTGCGCAGGGTGAAGCTCACGTATTGTACCTAGGCAAGAATCATTCTCATGGCAGAATCACGAAGAAGAGCTGAACCAAACTCTTCCCCAGTTCAGAACAAGTTTTCAAACTTCCACTTCATCAACGCCAGTCCGGCTTCATTTCATTCATGCCCGCTCTCCTCACGCTAACGCTGTTCCTTTGCTCTTAATACCCCCTTTCCCTTTGACCAACCTGTCGCTGGGTCACCTGGTTCAGCCCTTAAGTGATCCTGAAGATGCTGGTACAAACCAGCCGTTTCATGTTGTGATTCCGGCCTTGCCTGGCCTGGGTTTCAGCGATGCTGTTCCTTCTGATGTACCTCCTATTTCTACCACAGCTCAGCTACTGGACAGCTTGATGAAGAGATTAGCCTACGAGCATTACGTTGGAAGTAACGCCGGCTCTGCTTCAATTTCGCCTGCTGCTATTGATTGGAGACTGGCCAGGCACCTCTCAATTCACTATTCAGAATCATGCCTAGGGTTTCATTTTATTGCACCTCCTCTGACATGCCCTGCACTCTCGGACTCGGCCAGTCAGTGGTTAAAATGGAAACTTGCTCGACTCTTAGGTTCTTCGATTCTGGGTTACTCCAAGGACGACCTCTCCGCTATACAGAAGCAGAAGACGCCGCAGTTAAGCAAGAAGAAGTCGGCTGTTAACCTGGGACAGCATAGTCGCAGCGACTTTGAACCGAACACGCCGTCATATGCGCTGTGTGACTCTCCGACTGGCCTCCTCCTCTATGTGCTGAAACTACTCCGGACTCTTGGTCCCAAGAAGGAACTTACACCTAAAGACATCATCACTCTCACTTCTCTCATATGGCTACCTGGCCCTGAGGCTGCTCTGCGATTCTGGGCTCAATGCGCGTCAAAGATCGAGCCTGTGGAGGAAAAGAAGACGAATAAGAAACCCAAGGTTGCCATTACCGTTTTCACTGGCGACGAGGATCAGGTCGAGCAGCAAAGAACACTCCCACGACCTGCAAAGACCATGTACTCTTGCCCTGGCTGGGCTAACAGGGAGTACCAAATCGTGCACCTGAACCGAGCCCCTGGAACTCCAGGTTTCTTGGCTTGGGATCGACAAGATGTGATAGTTGAAGGAGTGCGCGGTCTAGTGAAAGCAATATTGGCAAAGGATAAAAGGATGCAAGTTGCTGGACAGCCTGGGGCCATTCTTCAGGATCAACTCGAAGTGCAGGATGGCCGAATAGCTCAAGCAGATCTGTCTGGAACAACAGTCCAGGATCCGAACGCTAGTCCGGGTGGTGAGGGACCTCCTAAAACTGGTGTACAGAAACCAGCAGGGGGTGATCATCAACACCTTGTCCCTCCACAAGCAGCTATACACGGAGGGGCTCATTGATGAATATGGACAGGATGATGCGTATGAGGGCAGGTGGGTGGTGGAACTTAATTCGATACCGTCATTTGGGTTCTTTTTCTCTGAGCCTCGTCACTTGCTATGAAAATCATAAGCTTATGAGCAAAATTATATACCAAAAGTCTGACAGCAGAGTAAAGTGTACTGCGTTTTTTCTTATCTGGCCAGAGTATCATCTGTTTAATTTATTATCTTTTTGAATATTGCTGAACTGTTTACACTTGACTAATATGGATGTTGCATCTGTATGAGCGAACAAGGCTCACCTCTAACGAGGCTCTTTCGAATTGATGCTTTATCAGCGTAAAAGTATTTTCACTACCAAGCGGTATAATTAATCGCTCAAAATAATGGCGATTTATCTATCCTCATGACTGTAGTTAAATATTTGAGGTTCAGTCTCTAAATCAGATAGTGAGTAGCTGGTTACCCTACGCAAGATTATAGCTCCTCAGCTCCTGTACTACCAAGTGATCCATAGATACCTTAGATAACCCCCTTGGTGCGCCACAAGGTGACCTAACCAGCTCCCACCTCTCGACTTCTAACTTCCGCAACAGCGAACACGACTTGACTCTGTCTATATGGGTACATTGCAGACCTACGAGCCTTCTATTTTTCCAAAACTGCCTTAGCACCGCCCATCGTTTCCAGCGTGGCGACGATGCGCTACGAAACAGCCCATTTCTCTTAATCGGCCCGCCATCTCCCAACCTCATACTCATCATGTCGAATCGATACGACCGACCTCACCGCGAAGGTAACGGCTATGGCAACTTTGGACGCTCCAACGATGACTACCGATCCGGGTATCAAGATGGCTACGGTAGCGATCGATATGCCACACCGCCTGCCACCCAACAGCCGCGACCACCACCCAGTCTTCGACAGATGTCCTCCCGATCACGCATACCACAAGTACAAGCTCCACCACAACCAGCAGACACTCATGCTGCGCGGCAAATCACCGAGGTTATCGACCATATAAAAAAAGAATGGCCTGCAATGTGTCAAGACGATTGCGTCCCTGTTCAACTGGCGTTGCAGCTCCTCGACAGGAGCTCGGTTGGCCGCGCCCACGAATACGCCCAGTTCCAGCAATCACATAACTACCTGCAAGAATCGCTTAAGGGTATCGTTCACGAACACCACCAGGGCTTCAACAGTTCTATAGGTACATTTCACAAAATTCAAAGTAGCATTCAGCAGTCACAGAAGCGAGTACGTGCCTTGAAGGAATCACTGGCGAGTTCCAAAACAAGTCTCTGCGCGACGGATCCTGAATTAAAGAAGCTTTCAAAATCATCACAAGAATTTGACGCCTTGGTGCAGACTCTTAATGAGCTGGATGACCTCCGAGCAGTACCGGATCAGTTGGAGGCAAGGATATCGGAGAAGAGATTCTTGACGGCCGTGGAAGTGCTTCAGAATGCGTTGCGAAAGCTACGGAAGCCTGAATTGGATGATATTGGTGCCCTTACTGACTTGAGGAGCTACCTTGCAAACCAAGAGACTGCTCTGATGGATATCCTTGTAGAAGAGCTACATGAGCACCTCTATCTCAAGTCACCGTATTGCCAGGAAAGATGGCAGAGCTTGGCCAAAACACAAGGCGCCGTCACCGAAGGCTTTGGTGATATTAAGCCCATCGCCCCATTTCACGTTATTCTCGATGCCATTGACGTTGACAAGACGATCAGGGAAGATCCTATGAAAAATCCCGAAGCCGATACATTCTACTATGTAGGACTGCTGGTGGAATCTCTGAACAGGCTCGGACGTTTGCAAAATGCCGTGGAGACTCTTAAGCAGCGACTCCCAGTTGAACTCTTTACTATCGTCAACGAGACTATCAACGAGGTAGATCAAAGGCATCCCAGCTCTTTACGAGGAGGATCAGCCAGAGGCGATGGTCTTCACGTCTATGGAACACGTGAAACACAAATGCGAGCAGATGTTATTTACGACCTCTTATGGTCTCTATATGGCAAGTTTGAGGCAATTGGAGAAGGTCATCGTGTATTCCACGAGTCTATCAAGGTCCTAATCCGAAGGGAAGGTGCTGGTAACAACAGTGCCCTGCTTGGAAGCTTCAAAGAGCTGTGGAATCTATACCAGAACGAGATTAGATCCTTGCTGCATAATTATGTTACGACCGATGCAGATGTCTATCAGTTCGACTCACCAAACCCAGGAGATACGCTCCATGGCAAGAAAGACATACGAGAGCATCTTTTCAAGTTTTCTGAAGCGAACACAAAGTCTGTTGAGATGACGAGTGAATATGACGCATTGGACAACATCATCCAGGATGCCGTTCCTGGGCTAGGATCTCGAAAGCAAGACAGAAAAGGGCGGAACGTCCAGGACGGAGGAAGAAGAGGAGCAGGAGCAGGAGCAGGAAGTGATGGTCCATTTGGAAACAGTCATCAAACAACAGGCTCGTACAAATCTCTGGTGGAACCTAGTGTCTTCAATATGAGCTTGTTACTACCGCCGACGTTAGTCTTCCTGCAGCGTCTCAAGAACATCGTCCCTCCCGGTTCGGACCTGGCAGCAAGCACACTAACAACATTCTTGGACAATTTCTTGGTTAATGTCTTTCAACCACAATTGGACGAGACTCTCGCCAAATTGAGCGACACCGTCTTTGGGGAGGCAGATGCATTCACGCAAGACCCGGCCTGGAGCCAGGTAGCACGTCGGCCTGTGTTCCGAGGAACAACAGCCTTTTTCGAGGTTGTGACGGCTTTCTGTCGTATGCTGGGAACCATACCACCAGACCAAGCACTCAGCTCGCTGATTGTCACTCAAATGATGCGATACTACGACCGCTGCTTCAGCTGGTTCAAAACGCTTGTCGTCAAAGCTCAGGACCCGGCTACCGAGATTAGCAACGACAACCTGAGGTCATCGGCACGATTCTCTCTGGACCAGGGAGAGATACAAGAAACAATGAAGAAGCTTTTCATGTCAGAAGAGATGGACTGGGAATTGGCCGAAAAGGAGATACACCTGTTGATGGAACTCACAGATGAGTCGCCGCTCGACTCAGGTGACATCATCCAGGATCGAGATTCCATCTCATCCCTGTGTCTATTGTACACCAGCATGAAGTGGCTTGCTGTTAAAATTGCTGGCTTGCGGCAGATCACAACGCATGACACAGATACATCACGACAAAATCTGCCTCGACATTCGAGCCGAAGATGGACTCTTATGAACGATACTGGCAAGACCGCAGGAGAAGAAGGCCCTGTGTCACTACCACTAACGCAGGAAACTGTGCAGTAAGTAATGCGACCCGATAGGCAAACATATAACTGATCAATGTTCAGAGCGTTTGACAGCATAGTGTCGTCCTTCGAAGAACTTGCAGGAACTGCGCTACTAACTCTCCACATGGAGATTCGGTGCCGCATAGTTCATTCATTGTCCATTGCCTTGTCCCCCAAGGTGGCACCCTACCTGCTTGACCAGGAAGTGAGTGAACCTGATCCCCAGATCTTGAGCCTCAACTCGGAATTGGTATTCTTTGACGAGACGATCGTGAGGTACCTCAGAGAGAAGGAGATTGCCTTTATCCGAACGGGTCTGGGGCTGCTTATAAACTGCTATCTTGTGAGCAATGCATGCAAAGCGTCGCCCATGAATGACAAGGGCTGTGGGCGTATGCAACTCAACATTCTTGTACTGCAACAGAACCTCAAGAACGTGGAGGAAGGGGTGGACCTGGCGCGTGCAGCAAATTACTTTTCGCTATACGAACAAGGTGCAGACGCCATTGTAGAGAAGGCAAAGGAGGACAAAGAGCAGCAACGAGGAACCAGCGCGCAGGACCCAGACAACTTTTCGTACGACGAGCTCAAGGCACTTGTCGAACTCTGCTATAGTGAGGCTATGGCAAATCCCGAACGAGGAATCGCCACTGCAGCCAAGCGACAGATGCAGGACAAACTGCTCGGGCTGAGTGAGCACATGTGGCAGACATAGATGGACCAAGACGATACGTGATGCACGAAGTGATGGGCTTCAATGGAGTTGAGGGATTGCTTGGAACAGGTATGTTAGTGGTTGATTTGAAGTGTAAAGTAGTAGCGACGCGTGATGAATGGTTATACAAATCAGGTATGAAACCAAACAAAACTGTTTATGATTGCTTAAATATCACCGTAAAACCTGCCGTAGGCAATCAAGCTTGATCGACTACCACGCGGACACACACAGAAATACAGGCCTTCGCTGTTAGTCGCGGCAAATACCCGTACGGAACCATGCGAAAGCCATGATGGACACAAGCAAAGACCAATGAGAAGGAAATTGTCATCTCATGACCATGCTTTGTGTAGCAGACACAAGAACAAGTGACATCACAGTTCACATAGACGCCAGAATTAGAAATTACTTTCCTCCCCCGCACTTGAGCAACGTCTGTGAGTGACGGGATCTGCATGAGGCAGCCCAGCCAGAGGTGGCAATGGTAGAATCCATGGCGATAGGGGATTTGGATTCGGAACGGGTGTAATATCCGTACTGTTCAATGCCAACAGCAGCAGGGGTTGTTGATAAACACATCGTCCAGGCTTACGGGCAAGACGGAGTAGGAAACCTCAATTTACGTTGAGGAACTGTAGGTGAAGAATTCAGGGCCAACATCTCGTATTTCGAAAGATATTTTTGGTCTTTCGTGGAGTTTATGTGGATAGATTATCTGGGTACAGATATATGGATATCAAAGTTTGAACCTCGAGTCGGAGGACGAGATTAGGGGGAGATCATATTACCTGGGTTCAAGGGTGCTAAGATCGTCGGTCTAGAATGAACCTTAGATGTGAATTTGTAATGGAAGGATCAAGCATCGAATCTCAAACGGAGGCGAGATGTCTTTATTTAAAGCTTCTGTATTCAGGTTTGTGATATCTCTCGGGGTTGAATATGGCAGACATGGATATGAGATGGATTATCGATCGATCAGCTGCTCCACAACACCCAATTTGCCATTCATGAAATACATAGGTTTCCTTACGGTGGCCTTTCTATCATTGTTTTGTTTGTCGTCATCCATTTTGCAGCATTGAGTTTCGTGGCTACTTATATATCGGACCCTTAGAAACAAGAATAAGCCACGGCGTTTTCTCTTCGGGCTCTGTCGTCCTTTGAATTTCTGCAG